TAAGATATTTCAATAGATTTTATTATATGCTTATCCGAAAATATTGATTTTGATATTATTATAATAATAATTAATTATCTAATTAAAATAAAGTACTTCCTATTCTACTATAATACCTATAACTCTAAGGAAATTGTCTACTTATTCTAAAAAAATATCTAAAAACTTTATAACTTATCTCTAATAATCATTTCTGATTATAGAGCCTAATTTATATTCGAATTTTGAAAATATATTTATAAATACTTAGAAATATCCATTAGACTTTCTACTACTTACTATTTTGAAATCGATAAATAAACTAAAAGAGTTAATATAATATTAAAGCAATATTTTAAATTGTATATATTTATTTGTAAAATAATTAAACAGAATAATTTTCATTTATTAAATTCTTTATTAATAATATTTAGTCTAAAATACCCAAATAATTCTATTCTTTTTAATTACAGATTTTATTTCTATTTAAATTTTAAATTAATTTTATTCAAAAATAATTATTTTATTATAAGAAATACTAAAAAATTCATTTTAAAATAAAAATAATCTTTTATATCTGAAAACAGAATTGATTACTAATTAAATCTAATATTCGAAAAATACCAACTCCCATTATTCCCCTATCTATTAATATACCCCTAATAATTTAATTTAACTGAATACTAGAAATATCAAAACTCTATACCTTCAGAAGAAATTTGATTAAAAGAATCTTAAGCCAGTCAAGATTTTAAGCCTAATAACTTTTACATCTATAAATTAAAATTGCTTACCTTTATAAAGATTTATTCTATTTTTTATATCAATCTACTATACCCTATACATAATAATCCTATTCCTAAACAATATAATCTATTACTATTCTTTATAAAAATCAATAACTTAAAATATTTCAAAATTATTAAAATCCTAAATTCCCATTAAAAAAAAAAGATTGTAAAGAATCTCATCTGAAATATATCATTCACTAAATTAACTATAACAAATTAATTAAAAAACTTGTTAGCTACTTAAAAGATATATAAAAACTGATTTACAACTTCTATTATAAATACTCTAATAAACCTAAACCCGCCTAACTTGAATTACTATTTATAAAATTGTAAACCGTAACTTACCATTTTATTGAAATTCAACCTAAAAAAAAAAGATAATATTATAATATAAATATATATAACCAATAAGCAATAAACTAGATTTTATTGAATTAGCTTATAAATAAAAACTCTATATATCTTTATATTAAAAGATTCTATATTATAACTCTTTAAACTACATCTTAGTCTACACCCTATACCTATTATTCTTAATACCATCGAATATAGATTCCTGATCCCGCCTGCCTGCCCCGTGATAAGTATTTAAAATTAATATTGTTTTAAATCAATTAATATTTTATTTGATATCTCAAATCTTCTAAAACTTTACCATTATATAAAAGTAATTTCAAAGTTCTCATAAAATAATTTCGAAATAATTATAATGATATTTCGATTTATAATCTATTTTTGTTTTGATAAATAAAAGTGTACAAGATACAGGGTTGTGCAAGATGTAGGGATATCGGTTATGTGTGATTTTTGTTTTTTTGTGGATTTTTTTTTGAAATAAAAGAGATGAGGAAGATGGATTTGATAATTGGCGATTTATTATAGTTGATTACATAATCTTTATTTGAGGCTCTACTAAGAGTATTATTATAATAATAGATGTCTTTCTCTAAGGGTATTTTTATTTCTTGGTACCTACTATTCCTTTCTATAAATATTGTTAGTATAATCATAGGGATGGTGAAGATATTATAGTATTATAGTTTATATTATTATATTATTACTTGAGATTCTCAAAGCTAGGGCTACGAAACGTATATAATGCTGTAGCGCCGAGGCACTAGCGCAAGCGCTAATGCGGTCACATGATCGCTGTCCCGATAAATAGCTTCCTATTAGAATATTGTTTGTAAATGGAATATCTAATATTTGTAAACATCTTTCCTATCTTTATTCTATGAATAAGGATATCTTGGCTTTGCTTTATTATATAATTTCTATATAAGATTTACTGCTACTGAATATAGATAGCTATCCTTTGAACCTAAGGTCCTCAGGCTGCTATATATAGAGTCATAATACCGTTTTGATCCAGAACACTGCAAGCGATTAGCATTATTATTCCGGCCCCTTGAAATACTTGACACAACTGTCAACAGTGATATAACAGCTTTCTCAGGAGAATGGATCCCGGCACTGCTCTAGCTGTGGTATCTCTGTCTTTCCAGGTATTTGGCGGCATCATCCAGGGCTTCACGCTACTAGCGAAAGCGCACAATCTGGGCCGAGATGCCACTCTTCTCCACACTATGTTGCGCGTGGAAGAGTCTCGCTTCATACAGTGGGCAAGAGCTGTGGGCTTGCTGAAGGATTCCGATTTGCAGTCTGGTGAGAGCGATGGCAATAACCACGAGCACGATACAGTGATCACTCAGAATGATTCCGGTGCGATCGGCGAGGGCTCGATTGCGGCACTTTCCGTGGCGGATGAAGCGAGTCTTGTCCAGATACAGGTTGACCCCAGGCTTAATTATACTTTGGCATCTCAATTGATGGCCCAGCTCCAGGTCATACTGACCACGGATGGACTTCGGCAGCGGTACAAACTAGATCTGGTGGAGATGCCAGATACCCTCGCTGGATCCAATACCACGTCATCGATCGAGAAGACCGAGACGGCAACGACAGTATTGGAGAAACTCGTGCCAGATACTTTGCGGCAACGGATCCTGTTCCGGGCAAGACTTGTACAGCAGAAGAGTCACCTTCCGAAGCGTCTATGGTGGGCGGCAGTGGACAAGCAAAAATTTGAGAACATGGTCTGCGATGTACGCGGCATTGTGAATGGTCTGTGGAACTTGCTTGATCCCGTACAACGAGAAGATTCCTCGGCCATGCTACGACAGATCCTTGCTGGGGTCATTCAAATCAGTCAGAGCGTCAGCGAGTTGCGTGCTTTGCAGCAATCTGGACTTGCCGATAGTAATATTACTCCCACGTATGCTGACGATGTGGTTTCTCTGGCTGCAGATCTCAAGTTGAAACGCATTGAGATTAAAGACATCGAGCTTGCTGGAAAGACAGAGGCGCCGACTATTCCTGTAACCTTATCTGCCATGAATAGAAGAATGTTGACCAATGTCACACAGATATCAATCAACGTCAATGTAGCTCAAGGCTTTTACGATGGTCAACCAGTGTGGATCGAGTACAAAGATGTTCCGCAGAGACTGAAAAGCAAGCTGACTTCACGAGTCAAGAACCTTGCGCTACTGCTTGCTTTGACGAAGAATCCTTCTTTTCACACATTGCGATGTCAAGGATATCTCGAAGAGGAAGCTCGGTTTGTCTTTATATACCAATGGCCCGAGTCTTCCATCAGCCAGATATCGAGTGAGACGCGATTTGCTATGTCATTGACCGAGCTAATCCGCGACCCTAAAACTTTTGCTTCAATCAGTGTCACGGATCGTCTACAGGTGGCCAGAGAGCTTTGCAAAACATTACTAGCATTTCATACTGCTGGTTGGCTGCACAAAGATATCCGATCCGACAATGTCATGTTCTTCCGAGAAAATGGCTGGTCCATGCCATATGTCACGGGTTTCAGCTTCGCAAGACAGGACTCACCAAGCGAGATCTCGGAGCAGCCATCGAAAGAACCTTTGGCAGACATATATCGCCATCCTCATGCACTAGGCGAACCGTCGACATCCTTCCAGAAGCATATGGACATGTACAGTCTGGGATTGTTGCTGCTGGAACTGGCTGAGTGGAAAGCACTGAAGCACATCGTTGCAAAATGCGTCGAGGTAAGGAAAGTCGACAGCAACGTTGGCGTAAGACTGGACAACATTGCCGAAATCCCAAAATGGCTGGATAAACACGTGGTTGCAACAGGCAAGCTCAATTTCCGCATGGGTGATATCTACGCTGATGTCGCACATACCTGTCTCAAGTATGGGATGACATCCGCCGAAGAATGCCCCGATACGCTACCAGATCTGCTTCGGTTCGTTCGAATTCTCGAGCAAATCTGCGTATGAGTGTTGGAAGCCTACCTAGTTACTTCATAGAACACCCCGTAAAAAGAATCACGGGTCAGGTGATCACAAGAGTCTCAGGCTGTGGCGTGACGAGACTCGACTCTTTTAAGAAAGAGTCTCATTTTGCCACTCGTGAGACTCATGGGAGTGCTACTTCGTTTGAACGGTTTATAGTGCAACTAATGTTCTAAATAGTCTATCACAAATTGCTATTTGAAGAAAGTTATCTTACAATTCACATTTGCATTGGCGAACATTCATCTCTACTCATCTTTGACTTATATAGGCATACCTACATAAATAACCATAACTTGTGCTGCCTAGCAGCACCTCATACTCCTAAAGTGACTTTGTACCAAAGCTATACCACTCTTCTTGGGCAGCAGTTTGGAAAAATGAGTGCGGACAGCTTCTCCCGTAGCATCAAAACATGTATTTCTGAACGTACAAAAGAACAGCATTGTAGCACAATTCTTCTCTTCTGACTGCCTGTTAAAGCTAGCTGTTATCTGCTTGCCTTTACATCAGCACAATAATAGGCGCGAATTGACCAATATTCGGAAGAACTTAACTATTCGAATCTCTTGTTGATATGATATTGAATATTAAAGATTCTAATTATTAGTATAAAAGGAACTCAAATTTTTATTTAATGTTTTCAGATTTTAATTTTTATTTTGAATTGAATTAATAATTCAATAAATATATGACATTGAGATAGATTCAAAAAGGTCAATTTCCGTCTGCTTTTTCGCTTACACAGAGCTTGCGTCCTGCGTCACGTGTTTAACAAGGCCCGAGCTTGAAGCTTACACTTCTTGACATTACAGACAAAGTGCTATCGGTTTGTTCATTTGGTACAGGTTGGTAGACCTGTCATACCAGATTATTGAGGCGTCCAGCCATGTCGAGCACATTCTCAGGTCAGCCTGATACCTCGAGACCTGCGACCTCGAGGCCGCAGGTCTCGGACGAGGCTGGGCCGATACCAGAAACATCTTCAGAGAACACAATCGTTGAGGCAACCTTCATTCCCAATGTTTTTGATCTCGTCTACATGGGGAGACGAGCAAAGCTCTCCGTCGTACGACCCGCCATGCAGCTGTACTTGGGTGCACAAGCTGTTGACCAGTCCAAATTCCTGGGTCAAGGTGCATCCTTTGATGTATACAGCAAGAAGGTGCCCCGATCGGAAGGCTTTGTCTTTGAAACACGCATTTTTGGGACAGTTTTCGGCACTAGGCAGGGCCAGCATGACGAGAGGACGCTTGTGTACAAGACAGCGAGGATTGCATTCAGCAACTTGGGTGAGCCACTCGCTAAGGATCGCAGAGCCATGAACTCGGTCATGATGGAGATCTATGCACTCATGCACCCACCTCTTTATGAGCACGCGAATATTGTGACATTGCTTGCACTCGGTTGGGGCACTAATCCTTTTGAATCCTCCTATCGACTCCCAGTCATTGTCACAGAGCATGCTGATCAAGGCAATCTGGCTGACCTCCAGGCTAGAGAGATTCTCACATCCGAAGTGAAACGTACCATCAGCCTGGATATTGCTTATGGCCTTCAAGTTCTTCATCGTTGTGGCATTATTCATGGTGACATGAAATCTGAGAATGTTCTCATCTTCTCTCATCCACAAAAGACGTACGTGGCGAAGCTTGGTGATTTTGGCTTCTCGATTGTGGGCGAGGCCTCAGCTCCTCGTGTCAATATTGGTGGAACAATGCCGTGGCGAGCACCGGAGTCGTATGGACTAGTTGCGCGTGAGTATCTCGCAAAGACTGACGTCTACTCGTACGGACTCACTGTTTGGCGTATTGCCATGGATGGAAGCAATCCATTCTCAGTGCTCCATGGATATGGATCTGCAGCCTCAGGGGTCACATTAGCCGCCTTTACTAGTAAACTGAGAGACGACGACCTCGTGAAGGATCAATCACAGCTCAATCGTTGGTATCAACCGTTCATCCTACATGCCATGGACAAGCTTCGTGGCGACGCCTTGCCTCCCACGGATCAGGTGGTGCAACTTTTTCAGAAAGCCCAGGCGGCTTTACAGACAGGAACCATGAATACAAGCCAAAGAATGGAGTTTCTGAAGTACGTGTTCTGGCTGGTCCATCGCCTTGGGATGTCTAGTCAATCATTGTTCGGCAATATCGGCGAGCACCTTATGGCTGCGGCGCTATTGGACGGGTTTTATGGCAAGTTGAATACGGTTTTGGCAGGATGTTTATCGAAAGTTCCCGAAGAGCGAGATCTGTCTGTTGCCATATCCACCTTGTCCAACCCCAATGGGGGACAAGATAACACGGTAGAGCTAAGCGAAGACATGCTCCTACGCCAAAGCTTCGACCATCACATCATGTCTTGGCAAGCAGTACAAGACCTCCAGCCATCTGTGCAAACCTTCTTATTTGAGCGCTTCCGTGCCCGAGCTGATGAACTTGCGTCTCGCAATCAAGTCAATACTCCTGAGTGCTTTGTGCTTGCGTCCTTTTATATGAACGGGCTCGGCACTCAACCGAACTTACAGGAAGCATGGCGGCTAGTACTACATGCTGCTGCGAATGGACATCAAGTTGCACAAGCCAATGCATGGCGAATTGCTAGAGTGGCTGGGACAGAACTAGCGACAATCATTCCTCCGGAGCAAATCCTCGAGCGGCAGGCTTTCAATGGTTCACGTGGCGCGCTACAAGATCTGGCTATCATCGCACCAGAAAGGGCGGTAGAGGCGAAGAGAATCATCAAGGCCGGTCTCGCAGGAGTGGGTGCTTCCTTCTGGGGCAATGATCTGCTGCACGGCTACACTCACGGTCACTGGATCACCTCCTTTCGTAACACGACTTTCCTGGTCGAAAACATGAGAAATCTCCCCGACATCGCTGATTACAAGGTTAACAGACGAGGCGATCGAATCTTGCACATGGCAGCAAGCTGTGGCCAACTTCGAGCAGTTGAGGCTTTGTTGGACAATTTTCCCTCTCTGACTGTGGACCAATTGAATGATGTTGGCGAGACTCCGCTTCTTTCTGCATGTCGATCTGGCCATCGAGATATTGTTGAATCACTCCTTAGTCGTGGAGCAGACCCGAAAATCGCTACAAGCTCGAAGGAGTCACCACTTCATTGGCTCATTTCCTTCAATGAGGACGAAGTACATGCTGTTGGACAAGCTTTGATATCGGCAGGTGCCGACGTGAAGTCTCTCACCACGAAACAGATCAACTATAGCGCATTTCCATCCGGCATCGACTTTGATAACCTGCCACCAGGAACACCATTGACCTGGGCTGTACATCACGACCGGCCGGACATCATAAGGTTTCTTCTCAGCCAACCCGAATCCGCACGCCTGTGCGTGATTAATGCACCCAATGATCCAACTCCACTTGAGTGGGCAGCAAAATATCATCATCGTCATTGTCTCGAAGCAATGATCGTTGCCATGAAAGCACAAAGGGTTAACTTCACGTATCAAGAATTTCTCAAGGCTGCAGTGCACGGTGCAGATATGTTCTCGATGCTCTTCCGAAGTGGAGTTCAATATCTGGAAAGAATGAAGGATACGTTGGACTACCTGCTGGAAGAAACTCATGGTGCATCGTTTGGAACTGGATTAGGCGGATTTGGTTATACGTTACTCTACTACGCGATATCTGAAGGCCGCGACCTGGTCGTTAAGTACCTGCTGGCGCCAGAGACTGAAGCACTTCTTCGCGCAGGCAGAGAGCGACTAAGAGCCGTGGTCAATGATGAAGAAGACATGCCTATGCCACGATATGGTGTTTTCTCCGAGGAACATATCAATAATCCTTGTGGCGTTGAGCTGCGAACACCTCTACTTGAGTGCATACGATGGAATCACCATGAGATTTTCGATTTGCTCATTACCCGAGGTGCAGATATACACGCCAGAAGTCGCAATCCATTTGATGGCAGCAAGACTAATTGGAGCGCGCTGCATGCCTTTGCGTACGCTGGTCATGATTTAGACCTCACCTTAGTCCGAAAGATCGTCGAGGCTGGTGTCGAGGTAGATGCCCAATTCAATGAGTCTGCTGATCTTGAAACACCCCTCTTGGTAGCATTGAAGAACAATGCGTTGAATCTCGCACAAGAATTGTTGTTGAGGGGCGCCAATGTAAATGCTGTATGTATCTCATCAGGCTTCATCACTCTCGAACAATCGACTACCGTCCTCGGGCATCTCGTCGCGTCTGCAGCACGTGGATCTATAGCTCGAATGCAACTTATCTTCAACCAACCTCAAGCTGCTCAAGACCGCGCAACCATGTTCGTAGTCGAGCCACAGCGTCAACTTACAGCCTTTCACCTTGCCGCCAGAGCACACAAAGGCGTCTTCGATCGCATTCCGGATGGTGAATCCTCTGCTGTCGCATACCAACGTACTCAGTACGACTTTGCTCAGAACAGGGATATTCTAAATGAGCTGCTGCAGCATTTCGGCTCATCCGATGAACTCATCAATGCACGGACTGGCGAGGCTCTCTTCCGTCGTACCCCACTACATTTTGCTGTTGATGCCGTAAATCTCAGTGCCGTCGAATTACTGCTCGACCGTGATTCCATTGATATCAACGCACAGGATAGTAATGGACAAGCAGCTCTGGATCTCGCATATCTGGCAGCACTACACCAGAGTATTCAATGCGATGGTCCTTGTCAAAGCAGTCCTCTACCCGGCAGAAGATGGCATTGTACAACATGTCCCGACCACGACTTGTGTGAGACATGTTATCGAGCTCTTCAGGATGAACAGGGCTCGAAAGAGATTCACGCTTTCGAAGAGATGACGTTGAAGCAGACGAATGATGCAGCGAAGAAGGATTGGCGGGTGCACATTCCTGCCGAGCAACTGGAGCTTGCAAGTATCATAGAGCTGCTACAGGAAAGGTTGGTGCGAGATCAACAAGTGTTGGGTGCTACGAATGCGCTGCAGGAGATGCGTGTCTGAAGGTGTTGTTCGTGCTCCTGCTCGTCTGTGTATTCCCAGAGACAGCTTACAACCACTAGCTAATTTTCATTAATTTTAATATTTGAAATATAAACATTCTAGTAAGTAAAACGTAGCTTGAGATTTCGGGTGGGTTCACCCAAAATTTAAATTAATTATATCAAACTCTGTTATATTATCAAGTTAACTATCAAACTATTAGTATTATAACTCTAGCATATACAAAAGTCTGAGAACTTTAGGCTCAAGAAATAGCGATTTATATTTACATGTAGTTGTAACAAACCTTCATATAGAGATTACTCGATAAACTAGAGTCGAGATATTCTTTTCCTCAGTTATTACGACGTGCCTTCTGTAGACACGTGGAAGGGTTTCCATTGAGAACGACAAGTAGAAGATTCAGATTAAAGCAGTTATGACTAAGTTATATGATTACTATTTTAGTTGAGTATGAAGCTTCTTTATATACTAAGGAACCCTAAGTTGGAACTTGGAGCGGTGGGATGATTTGATTGGTTATTTTTTCTTCTTTTTTTTCTTTGGTGGTATGGTGTTCTGGAAATATGGATTTTAGGGGTATGTTGTTAGTCTAGCTATCATGCATTCCTTTTCTTTCTGTTGTCTTCTTGTTGGTATATGTAGGTACTAAGGTAGGTATCGTACGTTGGTGCTAAGCGAGGATGAGCACCAAATGTTTGTTGGAATTTTTAGGTTCTGACTAGGAGTTGGATTTGAAAAGTTATCGGGAATAAAATGTTTCTCGTGTTGGATAAATTCCCCTAGAGTGTGAAAAACAAGAATGTCTTTAAGCTTGAACTTTTGGTATTTTTATCTCACTTTAGCTTTAGGTTACTTGAGGTGTAGCTAGCTAGTCTCTAACACAGATAGCTACACATCTCCCCTCATTTCACAATCCCATCTTCTCAAACCAAAAGCAAAAATATCCCATTCCTCTAACCAAGAATGTCCGAAACCAAGACTCCAGCCGGAGTTTCCGTGATACAGCAATCACCCTCCACAGAAACAAACACACAGTCTACCCAAATCGAAACTGAACAGCAAACTGAATATGTCTTCAATCGTGACTACAGATTCTGGTGCATCATCATTGCTCTCTGCACGATGCAAATCCTGTGTTCGCTTGAAAATACCGTTGTTGTGACTTCTCTACCGACGATTGTTAAGCATTTGGATTTGGGAAGTAGTTATGTCTGGGTTACTAATTTATTTTTCCTTACTGGGTAAGATATTTTCGCACTTTAAGTTTACCTATCGAGCTCAAGATACCCATCCCTATCCACCCATCTCAATTACTCCACTAAAAATTCCCTAGCGCAGTAACCCAGCCTCTAACCGGTCAACTAGCCGGTCTTTTCGGCAGAAGACACATCGCGCTCCTCTTCGTCGCGTTGTATACACTCGGTAGCGGCATCTGCGGGGGTGCAAACACCCCCGCAATGTTGATCGCTGGTCGTGCAATACAAGGCGCGGGAAGTGGAGGCATGACTGCGATTATGGGGATTGTGATTTCAGATTTGGTGCCGCTGCGTTGGAGGAGTGCGTATCAGGCGATTTTAGCGGTGACGTATGCGTTTGGGATGGCGATTGGACCGGTTGTTGGGGGGGCAATTGTGCAGAGGACGGAGTGGAGATGGGTATGTGATGTATTGGGTTTGTGGATGCATTGTTTCTGACTAAGTGAGGAATTTTAGGTGTTTTATATCAATCTTCCTATTTGTGCGGTTTCGTTTGCGCTTTTGTGGTGGTTTCTGAGGGTTAAGTGAGATAGGGAATTGGATTTGTGGGATAGACTTAGACGGATTGATGTACTGGGTAATTGTCTTTTGGTGGCATCAACAGTATCGGTACTTATTGCGTTGACTTGGGCTGGGTCTTTGTACGCCTGGTCATCTTTTAGGGTTGTTGTCCCGCTTGTCCTAGGGCTTGTTGGACTTGTGGGATTCTTTTGGGTGGAAAGCTCTGGGTGGATAGCAGAACCTGTAATGTGTGTCCCTTTTACTCTTTCTTTTTCCAAACTCGCTCCGACATTTCCCTTCCTTTTAAATTTATCAATGATCATGAATAATGTTTTGTTTCCCTCATTATCAAACAGAGACGCTTTATGTTTTCGCCGTCTATCCAAACTCCTTTCCAAAGACCCGCAACACTAACTGACTATAAAAATCCACAGGCCCCGCCGTCTATTCGCCAACCGAACTTCAATAATAATCTACATCAACACTTTCATAATCTCCATACTCAACTACTGGATATTCTTCTTTCTCCACCCTAACCAAATCTTCAAGCACAGCACAATGGATCTGTCTCCAAATCCTCCCATCAGTGGGTGCAGGTATGGTTCTCGATACTCTTCTCCCGGCCGTCCAAGCCGGCGTCGCAGAAGTCGATTCCGCTGCCGTCACGGCAAGTTGGTCATTCGTGCGCAGTTTTGGGAATATATGGGGCGTGGCAATTCCAAGTGCAGTTCTTAATATATATAGTACTCGTTATGCTGACGAAATTATTACTGATCCCACGGCGATATTAGCGCTGCAAAATGGAAATGTGTATTCGAGTGCGACGCGCGAGTTTATAGAATCGTTTTCTGAGCCGACGAGGAGTCAGATTATTGGTGTTTTTACAAAGGCGCTAAGTAAAGTTTTCTTGGTTGGAATGGTATTTCCGATTTTGGCGTTTCTTTTGTCGTTTTGGGAGAGAGAGGTGAAGTTGAGGAAGGTTTTGGAGACGGAGTTTGGACTTGAGGGGAGGGTGGAGGGGAAACGGGATGGGAAGTAAATCTCTATAAACTTTGTTCTAAAGGGCATTAGAGATGGAAGAAATATGGGATAGATTATTGGGGTGATATTGAGAGATTTCAAATTCGATAACTTAAGGTCGTGATTTTCATACATAAAACTTTAGAATATAATCGTTTCTGTTTCTCTTAAAGTTCAGAATATTTCCCCACTCAGTACCAAAAATCTGTTTTCCACTTCACTAACATGTTTATATTCTATTTTATCTGGAGTAGCTTCGTTGAGCATATAATAATTCTTTATTATAAACCCAGTAAAGTGATGATATCAAGTTCTATTCATACACATACAGGGACTTAACATTGTATCACTAACTCACTCGTTTTATTCGTTTGAGGACTTCTCTACATACCCTCGGCTAGGACTCGAAAAGTATTGGAGTTTCAAGAGGTCACCATTAATCTGTATAGGGTTGTATATACTGACATATGCTCGACATCTTTGAATATTTGGAGGGCAGGTAGTACCATTGAACAAGAGAGAGACGCGAATATTCATCTGATTCTCTGTAACGACCGTACTGTAATTTACTAGATAACTATTCACTCACTGCATCCAGTTCTCAAAAATTCCCAAGAATAGATCGCAGCCTCCAACCCACAACCCCATCATTCCAACCACCAAACTCACAACTCCTCCTCCCGCACAAACCCGGCCCCCATCTCCGCAACCGCATAAACCACCGCCTGCGGATTCGCCGTCGGCTCCACAGGAATCACACTCGCATCACACACGCGCAAATTCCTACACCCATCCACCCTCAACCGACTATCCACCACTCCCCCCATCTCCCTCGACATCATTGCGCACGTCCCTGTATAGTGATGCGCGCCATCTACTGTCCGACTTACATATTCTTTCGCGATGTCCAGATCTGCAAAGCGTTTAGAGAAGGGTTTTAAATACCGTGTGAGAGGCTCCGCGCGACTGATGATGTCTTCTGTGAACCGTAGTTGGCGGGAGAGAATCTCGATATCGAGGGGGTGGGTAAGATAGCGGGAGTTGATGGCGACCCCTGTATTAGTGCCGGTGTGTTCGGGTAGGGAACTGGTTATGTGGACGCTGCCCCGGGAGAGTGGATGCGAGAGCTCGATCGCGATGGAGATGGAGATGTGTTTCCCGGGAGCACGGTAGCTTGGGCTGGGTGCATCGAAGGGGGCATAGCCTGAGCCGAAAACGTAATTGCCCAATGCTTCTGAGGGATTTGTGATAATGGAGCGTACGAAGCTCTCGTGTGCGGCGGCGAAAGCGGGTGTAGTTGGAGAAGATTGGAAAGCATCTGAATTAGACTTTGACGCAGCTAATAATTGATCGAGTTCTTTGCGCCCGGCTTCGGTGTGAAATTCAGGTAATGGAAGTTGAGCCATAGTTGTGATATTGCTGGTACTCAAATAGCCCGTCCCTTTGGTAGCATATTCCTGCATAGTAGCAGCAATAGCATCGGGCTCCTGGCGGAAAAAAGCATCGATTGTTTCCACATCGTCGCGCGCTTCAAATGTAAGTCCTGTGAAAAGATGATTTTGGAGATTCTCGCCGACGTGTGGATTGTCAACTAAAACATCGATTCCCAAGCGCTGAAGCAAATCCGCGTCGCCTATCCCAGACAGCTCAAGAATTCGAGGTGAATTGATGGCGCCGGCACAGATTATGACTTCTTTGCGAGCTTTGACAACTTGGGACGAGCCATCTTTAGAGATGAATTCCACGCCTGTAGCGATAGCATCACTGGTCGATGAATATTTTTCAAGTAAAACTTTAGTTACAATCGTGTTGGTCTGAATAGTCAAGTTTGATCGACTTCTAATTGGATCCAAATATGCATTAACAGCATAGCTTCTCTGTTTTGTTTTAGGATCGATGCTCTCAGGAGCGATATTTGGTCCGCCAAAATGACCAGAAAGGGGATCAGTTCTTGGGAATCCCACGGATTCTAGACCTTCGATCCAAGCTTTCTGCCAAAGAGTCTCGGGTGAAGATAGAGTAATCTGGAGTGGACCATTGCCTTCAGTCACACCGGAGGACTTATGCAGAGTATACGATTTCTTCAAAGCCTTTTCGTACGCGGCATAATCCCATCCCTCGTTACCCAGATTTTTCCATTCCTCTATTGTCGCCTTGGATGTAGAGGTGAAGAGGAAGCTATTTATCGCACTTGAGCCTCCAAGAGCTTTTCCCTGCGGAACTATTATATCCCTAGGAACTTCTTTCTGAGGAACCGTTTGAAATGTCCAATCTTCTGGAGAATGCGACAGCAATGGCCAAGCACCCGGAGTAAGAGTATTTTGATCTGCGCTGCGGTCTTCACCACTTTCCAGAACAACGATCTGTAGATTCCGATTTTCGGAAAGACGATTGGCAAGAACCAGGCCTGAAGTACCACCGCCAATAATGATGATATCGTAGGTTTCTGTAGACATTTTGATAGAAGACAAGACTTGTACTTGATGAATGATTTAGAGACTAAAACTTCACAGTTTAAAAACTTATGAATGAAAGGAATGATAAGAGGCAGAAACATACTTGGGGGATATTAATAACACAAAGAAGGTTACACAAACCAACATTTCTAGGTATCACAAGCACAAACCAAAATCAGAATCCGACTCAAAACCAACATCAATACCAACACCAACCGCATCAAAACTAACACGAAATAACACCAACCCCGCCAGACATTACAAAACTCACCGAATCGGCAACTATATCCCGATACTCCTGATCGCATTCCATTCCATTCTATTCTCCCCTCGCAGTACCAAGCTTACACCAGTTAAATGCCAATAACCACGTATCCTTCAACTCAAACTATCACTCCATGATATCTCTACAATAAACCAAACAGACAGTTTACAACTCAAGAAACCATTCAATGCCATCCAGGTATTGAGGATATATACACGGAAGATACCTATGATCCAAGGCCTCTGTGTATGCATGTAAATAGTTGAGGAAAGTTCCGGAAATGCAAAGAGATGTCTTGAGTAAGGATGATATGTATTGTTCAAGCATTTCTAAGGCTCAGAACTCTGTGCTACTTAGCAACTTGTATCTCTGAAGCAGAAGAGTGTCTTAGTTTTACTATGTGCACCTAGATGCATAAATCCGAAGATGCAACTAACAAGTTTCCAAAAATGTTACTTGATACTTTGTTTGAACGAAGAAAAAGAGCCTCAACATGAAAACTTTGGAACTTTTAAGTCTTCCGTAATATTTCTGCATTATACAATACTAGCTATACCCCGAATGTAATAAACCCCAAACCAAGCCAGTCAGCCAGCTCGGTTATACTATCTCTAATATCTCATGACAATTCATCCCATAACCCAAGCGCATTAGCCATCCATAACAACTTTCCATTCCCATTTCATTCCCAGATGCACAATTTCATCTCTCATTTTCGAGCAAATCACATCCAGTGACCAACCACATCCATATGTTTAGGAACATATCCCTTTCCATTACGACTTCCCGCCAATCTCCTAGCCACCTCATTCGCCTCAAACAAACTGACTAATCTTCTCTTTCCAGTAAACTCTCTCTTTGTCTTACCCTCAACATTTTCATCTTTATCGTCATCATCAAACTTTCTCTTCAACTCTCCCTGAACCCTCAAACATTCCTCCCAGATCATAGAATGTGTTTGATAAGATGGGGCTGCATCGTGTTTCTGCTTCGCGCGATAGGTACTCAGCGTATCGGTCTGGAAATCCATCGGATGATATTGCCAATACTCGTGAACGGAGGGAGGGTTAGAGATGAAGTTAGATATATAGTTATCATGAGACATCTCGAGGGGTGTACGACCAGTTGCCGATTCACGATATAGAAGAGTGGGTTTTTGGCGGAGGAGGAAGGAAGTTAGGTTTGGTCTATTGTTTTTGATTGCCTGGATTGGTGTCAGTATTTCGATTTTAATTTGGATGGATAAGAGTAACATACAACGTGTAACGGCAAATCGCCTTCTCCGTTGATCATCTCTAGCTCCTCGCAATTGGAATACTTGAGAAGTACTTCTATGACATCGGCGCTATCATAGTGTGTGGCCTTGCTCATCCATAAAGCTAGAGGCGTAACCGCGCTCGGATAGTCATCCGATCTCTCAAGTAACATTTCTTGAACATCCTTCTTGTTGAATAGTTTGATGATAGATTCTAAGCAAGAGACTGTCTCTTTCTTTACTGTTATAGCATCAGCTGCAAGAGTATGCATAATATTTCGGTTCTGTCTATCACGAGAGCGGGGCGAGGCGCCAACTGAAAGAAGGTACTCAATAACTGGAATGTTTTTTCTGTTGACAGCGAGATGTAGAGGTGAATAACCCTGAGCAGATTTCAATGAAAGAACCGAATCAGGAAGAACGGAAACAAGATGCTTGATGAGATTGAGGTGTTTGATTTTGTCTTCGTCTGTTTGCGGGCCGTGAAGAATGGCGACGTGGAGTAGAAGCTCGCCTATTGAATATTGTTAGTATACTCATGAGCTCTTAAAGAAATCACATCACTTACTATTGATCTCTAACCATTTTGAAATAGTATTTTCAAATCCTGCCCCTGATTCCAACGTTCGAATTCGGAGATCATCCTTGTTTCTCTCAGCGAATTCTTTGTAATGCCTCATTGGAGCATCACTCATGAACCACTCGACGGATTCAATGTTGCCCATTTGTGCAGCTTCAAGCAAAGGTGGGAATCGTCCCTCAAAATGATCAAAATCCTGGACATGAGTAGGAGGTCGTGCCCAATCCTTTCGTTTCTTGCCACCAATCGACAAACCTTCATAATATCTTGGCTTTGTCTTGATCTCCACACCACTAGACGAGACTAGCATTCCAAATGGAACACCAGAGCCACAGTATTTGATCATTTCAGCTATCATTGTGGTTCTACCTTTAGAAAGAGCTTTGTTGAAAACTGAGGTATCCAGACTATAGCATCGCCGATCGTCCTCATGCTTAGCCATCAAAGCTTTTTGCTCGCCTGCAATGTCCAGAAGGAATTTGAACATTTTCATGTCGTCCTGCTCGACAGCATAATTAAACAGATTGGACATGCCGATTGAACTGGAGCTTCCATCATCACTAGTTGATCGACGCGCCGGACACTTCCATTCAATCATACTCAAAGGAAGTGTATCACCTTTTACAACGTTTGAAACCTCCTCAAGAGCATCAATAGTGAACTTTTCAGTGACCAGTTCAGAAAAGATAGGCAGATCTCCTGACTCATCATCATCATCATCATCATCAGAAGTCATAATACCCCAACGTTGACGTCCTTTCTTATCATCCTCATCATCTGCATTATGATATTGAGCAAGGCATATTTCCACAATCCTACGTGCAAGGTCATAATGACCGCGTAGAACAGCGATAGAGAAAGGCATAAACTCATTTCCATCACGAACCGCAATCCTAAGAGGCGGATATTCAACGTTATCATGCTTCCAAGGTTGGAGTGTCAAATTCTTGATGGCTTCAAGATCATTATTCCAAGCAGCTTCAAACAACATAAAATAGCCCTGTCTCTTCCCATCATTAAGGTCCGGGACATGGAAAGTAAAATGTGTTTTGTAAGGTTCTGGTGCTACTTTGTGCCGATGATCGTGGCGCCAAGAGCTACCTTTGCGATTGGGCGGTTGAGGAATATCAGGATACAAATCAGTGAAGGATTTTGCCCCAGCTTCGATGAGGAGTTTTTCAGCCTGCTCGAGATCTTTGATTGCTTCCTTGACTGCTTCGCGATCACCCTTGTACTTTTCAAGCTCAATGACTTTATCTTTAAGCAAATTCTCGTGATCTTGATGCTTGAGTTTATTCTGGAATTTCTCATCTCTGTAGTTTTGTAAGGCTGTCCAGTACTTATAGGTACCCGGTTCCAGATCTGCCGTGTAGAAGGTCTCAGGTCGAAGAATTTCCGGCTTGCTTGACTCGAGGTTATCTGATCGAAATCGCCATTGATTATAAACAGGCTCCTTCCATTCCCGAAGCGTCTTCAATTTGCGTTGAATAACATCTAGGATAGATTCTCTTGCGTTGTGATGGTAATTTCGTGTTTCAGGATTATTGACCACTGACCATGCAATAGTTGTGAGAGTCTGGGGGTTGGCACCATTTGCAAGAAGATCCCCAACAACAGCACCCATCTCCTTACAGATAGCAGTAATAATAGGTTGTTGGGCTGTTTGTTGGAATTGCTTCATGTTCGCTTCTGTATTTTCCTTTTTAGCATAAGGGTTCGTCTCCGTATACACTTTGATCCAATCTTCGAATTCAAATTGAGGCTTTGCACCTAAGTGCAGAAGTTTGGATGCCATCTCTCCGTAATTTTTCTTTATGGCAGTAGAAAGTGGTGTCTCAGCTGATCCGTGTCTTACAATTCCGATATTATTGATGACTCTTTGCGCTGCTGGTTGATCATGAGCGAATAAAACGTCCAGGATGTCGGTATTGTTTTGGGCGACAATATAGTGAAGAGCTGTGAAATGGTTTGTATCTGATTGAGTCGAAGTTGCCCCTAGATTCAATAGTACTTCCACCACTTGCTTTGACTTTTCTTTGGGAAGAGACATTGCTAAAACCAAAGTCATGATTGCCCCTCGGGGATTGGTAGTTCCAGCTTCTACTAGCTTGACAGGGAAGAGAACATCGGCACCATATTCTGAGACGAGAAGTTTAATAACATCGACATGGCCATTGAGAATTGCAAGGTGAAGTGGAGAGAGACCATAGTCCCAAGCAATGACGTTGATATCATAGATGTCAGGATCTTCCATAGAGTCGTCCATAACTGCAGCCTGAAAGAATCAATAAGTGGGAGAATAATAGAGGGGAAAATGGAATATGACTTACAACATCATCCTTATCTTCATTCTTGTTTCCTGGAATCTTGACAAAGCTTCCCATCGTCAGAGCATCAGCTTCCTCTTGTTCACTATCGAGGGTGATCTCTGATGCAGAATCCGATTCCTCTTCGTTATCAGATGCAGTGCATGTAATCTTACGAGTCTGCTTCGCTTCCTCTTCTTCTTCATTGGCCATACTCTTATTCAGGAGTATGCGAATCATCTCAAGATCACCTCTCGCAGCGGCAATATGTAATGCTGTTCTGCCATCTACAAGTCTAGCAATCAATCTGGCTCCATGATCGACGAGACATTTGACAATATCTGGAGTAGAAGTCATAGTGGCTAGATGTAAAGGTGTGCGTCCAGTGAAGTCTCGGCGGTTGACATCGACACCTTCTTGGGAACACCAATCCTGAACATGTTCCAGATCTCCTTCCACGATAGCTCGACACAAACGTGCTGTATCACCGACATAACTCATTGTGGTCCACTCATCGTCATTTATAGGATTGAAACTTCCAATTTCCTGGCGACCGGGGTCGTCTGTGATAAACTTGAGAGTACCCGATACGTTGTTCTTGCTTTCCTTTTCAGCCACCTCCTTTTCTTCGTCTGTGGTAGGAACTGGACAGTATCCGCAACAATCTTGAATAACTTCTTCTGCCGTGCCGAAAAAGCATGGATGACGATGTAGATAAACTTCACGATCTTTGTCTTGGTTCCATTCCGCATTCAGAAGCAAATCCTTGGCATACAGCAAGCGATTGATCTTTGCCGCATTGTACTTTTGCCCATAAGGAACTGTCATAGTATGGTAGTTGGCAATCTCATCCTGTTCAGCCCAATCTGCGACCTCGTCCTCTTCTTGATCTTTCAAATTTCCATACAATCTACGTTGATTGCGGAAACCTCTGTTGAGAGATGGTCTACCACGTTCTTTTCGGCGCTGATCCATGTAGTTTTCCCGATCCTGAATTTGAAATTAGCATATGATCATTGCCAGGCCACATCAAGAGTACTTACAACTGTCTTTGGCAACTTCTCCAGAATCAACAATCTAGCGAGTCCTTCAGTGCGACCAAAAGAACGCTCAAATATGGTAGGATCGATTCTTGAGCGATCCAACATTGGCCAATGGACTTCGAAGCCTCTATGGCTGTATTTGCTCAGGCGATTTTCGTAACTTGGCGATCTTCTGGTCAAATCGATGGTGTTGCATTGTGTAATGAATGATCCAACGGCTCTGGGACTCATATAAACTTGCTTTCCATCATACGCAGCACAAGAACAATCCACATCAAATCCAGTGATGATTTGAGAGATTGAATCATAAAGTCTGAGGACAATTTGAACATGACGAGTGGGATATTGACTCGCAATGGTGATAGCGTTCTTTGTGCGGATCGTGGTCGTCTCATGAAGAATAGCATCTCTGATGTTGGTCTCAATCTGCTTAATCTTCTCCAATCCTTCAGCCTCGGTAAGCCCGTAAAGAAAGAGATCAACATCAGATGCCGGAGCCAAATGCTCGTGATAATATTCTCTCATGGCTCTCTTGCTACCTGCCCATTTCTCTGGGAGTGGAAGAAGAGATGTAGTGACGGCACTACCAGCTGCAACAACATTGTTCCAGTCAAGGTCAGCCAATGAAGATTCGGAAAAAAGGTTGAAATTCGTCTGAAAATCCTTGATGGATCCAACGACAGCTGGTGAGCCATTGGGTCGACGTTCTTCATCCTTCAATGGCATGATGTATTTCTCTGACTCTTCTTTAGACTCATTGTCAAGATCTCTAGCCCGTACCTTGAGATCATTTTCATGGCCAGAAAAGATGGGAACTAAATTGACAGCTCCATCTTTGACGGCTTCATGGTCAGGCTGTTGGGCGTAAACTTTGCGAAGTTCTGATTCATAGGCCTTGTATGGCTCAATGATGGTTGAGATATTTTTGGTTGGGTTTTGAGATAGGTAGGGGATGAAATCCTTAATGGGAGCGGGAAGGCTTGGGAGGTCGATTGGAGCTGGACGTTCAGGGAGAGTATCTGAAGCCATGGTGATTTGGTACGGAGAAACTATTTCAGATATTGAGAGAGTTGAGGAAGTATGGATTTGATTTTTTGTCAATGGGAAAATGGATGTATAAAGAAACAGTTTGAACCAAACATTCATCAAAATTCAAGATAAAATACCGGCGATGACAGTTACAGACACCAAGTAATCTGAAGACAAGAATCCCTTGACTATTATTTTCGATGTAGGTATATTTTGCAGTATAATTGAAATCGAGGAGAAGATGAAGATGAGTTTTGAAATAAGAAAGCAATTCAACTGGAAATCATCTCTTTATAAATTCCACGCGCCACACAAATTCAAAAAGGTAAGAAACTCGCGATGATACACGAAAGTAACTCCTCGTCCCGTGATTTTAGGCAACTCCAGGCATCCACGTGATTTTCACCCGCTCTTTCCACAATAAATCGTCTTGGCGTCATCCGAGCAGTAAGCGGCATAATTTTGGACCACCTTTCCCCAGTTTTGGAATTGACTCGCATCCAATGTTTAGATTGCCATTTCGCATGTTGTCCATATGCGGCATTGATGCCTTCAGAATGGAGTTTGCTACCTAGAATTTGAGGATGATGAGAGTCATGAATAGAGATATCAAGGTATCAAGGTATCATCAGGCTTTACACCAATGTCAGATAGACTATACACTGCACTGCCGGTACTATTCATGATGATCATAATGATTGATGATTGATGATCGTGAACGATGTTTCTATATGAAATTTACATTTACATTTGACTAGAGTGATGATTCAATCATTTCAAATCGAATACGCCGCTCTTCTCCAATCGATAACAATTTCTATATAAATTCGAAAGGCCAACCCGTTGATATCCATCGCACTTCGAATCTGGCTGTTTGCACACGAGGGCACACACGACGGGAGTTTCAGACTCATCAACACTATCGGCATCTACGACTGACATGGTACCTACAAATAGACATTCAACCGTCGAGAAGTTCTCAACGCACCATTCTTGATCCTCCGAAACATCCAGATCCATAGATGACCACATAATTAGAACGAAGTCATCAAGCATTTCCTCCACCAAGAGCGAAGTTTCGAAAAGACCTGATCTTCCAGGACCTCTGTTTCGATGGCTGTGAATCAGTGTAGCGGATATGTATGTAGCTCTGACTCTTATTGAGCCAAGTTTAAGAGCCGTACGAGAATCGTTAGTAACACCAGACATCTCTGTACCCTCATACCTGAAATATTCGTGAACCTCAAATGATGTAAAGGTTGGTCTGCCATAGAATGCAGCTGTTCCTACTGGAAACATGATAAGTGATATCCAAGACCAGCTTGGTGCTGTAGGTCTGTCAAATCGATATACTATTCTCCCAAACTGGAGACTAGCGTCCCACAACAAAGCCCTAGCAATATCTGTCTCCCATAAACCAGCTAGATATTTGCTCCCGAGTCGCCTTTGGAATATGTTTGCTACGCCCAGAATAGCAATTGCTCGATCATCATGCTTAGTCAGAGCCAGCTTGCAATATTCCCCCACTGTGTTCAGCCATCTATCCAATACCGCACTTTCCGATATCGAAAATATATCTTGGTTGATGTTAGAGTCTAATAGTGGATAGATTTTCTCCAGACCCGCGCATTCGCAGAAAAGACCACTCCTGCATTCCAGTATCATTTCGGATGGGTGAAAATGTAGTGTACGAGAGGCAAGCATTCGCTCTTGATAAACCCAGGCTCTGGTCAAAAGTGGAAGCGCATCGTTGTCAGAGGCAGCCGGGTGGTTGTATCGTCATTTCCCACTGGTAGTAAACCGGCGGTGAATTGGCTCGAAAGATGGCCTAACAAAGACCTTTGAAATATCATGACCATCATGAGGTATCTGAAAGGAGCTTATGGAGACACCTCCGAAGAAATATTTGATTTCACGATCATTGAAACAACCCGCTGTACTATCCTTAGCTGCTGTTGCGGCAATATTTAGATAGCTGTTGGTATAGATATCGGCCATGAGCACAGCCTCTTTCTCCCAGTCATCAGTGTCGTTTTGCACAATGCAAAGGCTATCTATCCATATGTAACGGACACGTAATTCCCTGAATATCTCGATTGCGTCTTGGAAGGTCTTTGGAAGGTTGCTCCATTCGATCCTCTCTTTATGGGACATTAGTGTTTCTTTTCTTGTAGTGACCACATGAACCAATCCCCAACAATGGCTGAGAGTGCCGTATTTAAGCTTTGCTGTGGTTTGATCAAAGGTCTGGTCTCTGGTATCCATCAAAACAATGGATGGAAATACAGGAGCATTAAGATCCAGAATTCGAGAAGGTATGAATGAAGCTGATAATCTGGCAGTTGAGCATGCTCGATGCTTGGAATCACATATCGAAAGCCAGTTTTGGACAGTGGCTACACAACTTCGACTTGAAATATCAGATGGCACGTCGCAAGCGGTGTCAATTATTGGCCAATACCGAGGCTGACCCTTAGCTAATGTATAATACTGGAAGCGAATAGGTGTGCCTATCTTTGGGTGCTCCAACTGTAGCTCCAAGGGGAATGTACGATGGAATACAAGTTCTCCTTCATACAATTCTGGAACATCTAGCTTCAGGACACTCTTAATCATTATCTGTAAACCTCTCATGATGATGCGACAAATGACACAGCCTGAACTGACACTCTCTTTGAGCATAGATGACTCAAAATGTAGGTGATATTCCACAGTCATTTCAGGAGCGACATGTAACGTCCATTTATATTTCCCACCTTCTAGCTCCCAATTGAGATCTAAGCACGTTTTGCAAGCAGTCATTTCGAAGTTCTAAATATTTGGATTAGCATACCCGAGGAATAATTTGTGCATGACTGCAAAGCTGATCGCAACTTACTTGGAATGAATGTCGGTATCAGTTCCTGAAGTGACGTGGGTTTACAAGGTATTTGCAGCGTCGTGATATCTGAAGCTTGAATTAGAATGTCATCGAAATCTTGAGTATTAGTATAGACCAGGTCCAAAGATGTGAATGATGATACTCAGATTCATCAATCATAGTCCATGTTCTGATATCATAGTCCATGTTCTGATCATATCATTATGGACATCAATACTGATGGTGGTACTGCCAGCGCATTCAGTCATAAGCCGTTGAGTGGTACAGCGTATGGATATCATACATCTGGGACCCCGAAGGATAGTCATACGATATCTTATGTTGTACTGCATATACAATCCACAGGATGGCATACCCTGCACAACCTAAGGAAACACGTGCTAGCCTGGTCACATCTCGGTAAATAAAGGAGACTTCAAAATTCAAAGTGCACTGAATATCGTAACATGAATTCGATATAGTGCTGAAGTGGAAGAAAAGCATAGTAGAAGATTAATCATTAGATTGGCATTGGATATAGGATCTCTCAAGTTGAATAAGAGAGCTCGATGAATGCGTTATATGAGACCTTCAGTACAAATAGAAAATTCCTAGAGCAAAGCTGATGGGGCTGAGAGTGCACTGGCATAATTTAAACTTAATCAAGCCAGCAACATAAGAAATACTTCTCACCTATCCAAACTGTCTCTTCCTCCTCCCAACCTGTCAATTCACCAAGTTCAATAACAATACCCATCGCCCATTCAAATCGTGTGCTCAAAATTAAAACATAAATCTCGAAAGATTCGAAGCTACCAGCACTCGCTGCCTCGATTTTAAAGACACCCCAAAGAATGTAGACCATATCATTACATATTCTCGGCTCCATTAGTTGCAAATGAACTATGAATGAACGAAATGGAACTGAGTAATAATGTCAGAGATGAGTGTCGCTTTTCCGTACTGCGGAATCATATGTGATATCAAAAAAATATTCATCATCAACAATGACGCATTAAAGGCATGTTATTGACTCCTACATTTCAGAATCAGTGAGTACTTCAATGAGTAAGCTATCAATCTCCCCCCTCTCTCAATCCCAGCACTGTCTATCAAAACACCAATACAGCATGCCAACAAGTATGTGCAGAATCAAGGTTTTTGAGGCTATTTGTGGTTGTGAATGGAGCCGGGAAAGCACAGAGGGTGTCATACCATGTTTCGAACAGCTCAAATCTGGCAAGCCATGTCCCAAAATCGATAGGAAGCCATCACCACTGAACAAAAGGTGCCCGAAATGTGTCGATGGAGATAGATGGGGGGTAATTTCTGGCTCAAAAAATGTTGCAGACCATATTCAAACACACCGCACTATCCAGCGAACATCCACACGCTTTCGACCTTCTCATCAAGCGAAGCAAGCATGAAGGCTGGAATGTCAAGTATTTGAGCCACTTGGCTGGAAAGTTTGTGGACTTTGTACATATTCAAATTATCAGCATGGAAAGCACAGAACAAAACGAGAGATGGCATCATGGTATCTTTGATATTGATTCAATAGACATGCATACAAACCCATGTTGCACAACCGAACAGAACAAAACGCGAATTCCTGTCGAGCAATTAAATGCATTCATTGACCATGGGATATCTAGAATACACGAGCTACGAAAAGAAGCATACGCTCTAGTTCATCGTACATTTCCCTCGTCTCATCACCCATCTCTCCTCTACAAGTACAAACCTTCAGGCTCGCCCTCACTCTTTGTCTTCAAGACACGTTCTCTTGCAGCTCTGAAATCAGCCATTTGGACACGCATTCTGCGCTCTCTCAATGCCATCAAACCAGCCTCGGAACAGATCGCCTTGATATCAGCACCGGAAAGATCATCCTTTTGGTTGATAAATTCTTCCAAATCGACATCTTCGTTCAAGGACATCTTGGATGTGTGAAGAGTGAAGATCTTGCGTTTAGTATGTTGATCAGGATTCTCGAAAAGAATTTTTCGATCAATACGTCCCGGACGAATGAGAGCAGGGTCGAGAGTATCAATCTTGTTTGTAGCCATGATAACCTTAACATCTCCACGATCATCGAAACCATCAAGTTGATTAAGAAGCTCCAACATAGTTCTTTGAATTTCACGTTCTCCACCGGATGTAGATTCATAACGTTTAGTACCGATCGCGTCGATTTCATCAATGAAGACGATGGATGGTGCGTTTTCGGCGGCAACCTATAAATATTAGTATTCGTCTTACCCAAAGTGAACATTGAAAATATGCATACCTGGAAAAGTTGTCGAACAAGTCTAGGTCCGTCACCCAAGTATTTCTGAATCAACTCACTACCAACAATTCGCAAGAATGTCGCACTTGTTTGATTTGCAACCGCCTTTGCCAATAAAGTTTTTCCAGTACCTGGCGCACCATAGAGAATAACACCCTTGGGAGGCTTGATACCCATCTCCTCATATAATTCGGGGTGTAACAAAGGTAATTCGACTGATTCTCGCACTTCTTGAATCTGCGACTCGAGACCACCAATATCTGCGTAGGACTCCGTTGGAGCTTTGTCGAGCTTCATCACTGAAACCAAAGGATCCGTATCATCAGTAAGAACACCAACAATTGAAACGGATTTATGATGCAGCAATACACTTGCACCAGGCTCCAAGAGATCTTTGTCAACAAATGACATGATGGAGACGTAGTATTCCGGTCCAGTAGTACTTGAAACGATAGCATGATCATCATCAATCATTTCCTCCAAAGTTCCAACACCCATTGGACTACCACGCATATCATCAACACGACCTCTTTCATCGGCATTTCTGTCAGCGGCGTCTGCATCACCACCAGCGTTGGCGGGTGCTGCTGTTCCTTCCTTTGCAGCCTTGGCCTTTCTCAAACGTTCCTGATTCTCAACATATTCTTCTTCGAGGAGCAAATGATCGTGAATTCGTTGCATTCGAAGATATCGGAGTTTGCATCGAGACGTCGGATAGACGGCTGGTAACTTTGCGGAGGCATTTGGACCGGCAGCCTTACGCTTCTTGCGACCGATTCTAGTTGTTGGTCTTGGGGGTGGCTCGTACTTTGGCTTATCCTTCTATTGTTGGGCAATCAGTCCCTCGTCCATTTCCTATCATTATTACGAATGTGTATATGTACCTTCTTAGACTTGTCATCTTTTCCATCTCCACCTGGTTGATTACCACCAAGGCCGGATGGTTGTTGACCCTTTGAGATTATGTTAATATTGTCGCTCATACCAATCATGGGTTGGAAGCTTACCATCTTGTTCTTGGTAAATCAAGAAGCTTTCAGTAGGAAGGTAAAGGATTTCGTATGATCCAGATTCTTGATGAGAGATATTCGGATGTAGTTGTGGTGGTTGAAGTTGAGAAAGGTGGTATATGTTGTTTGTAATAGATAGGTAGGTAGCAACAGCTTGGATGCTCTTTTAGCCTTCTACAACGATGCAACAAGGCGACAAGAACGACGCGAATGAATAAGAAGCTAGCTTGGCTTGGACCACCTGGGCGATTCGATAAGTGAAAGTCGTGGATGCCTTAAATTTATGTGGCCTTACTTAAGCCTTCTCGGCCTTCTCGCCTTACACACTCAAAGTATCAGGCATCAACTTTTTTGTTTATTTTTGGCAACAGCAGTGAATTCGAGTGATGCCCGAGAGTCGGGATGGGATGGGATGGGATGTATCTATTGGCTTGCTCGGATGTCATTACTGCGCTGCTTGCAACCATCATTCCCTCCACACATAACAAATCCATCGTACGAAGTATATCACTTCTTTCCATTGACAGAAACACGCACAATCAATACACACACATTCCATCGACACGGCATATGTTGGGTAACCTTTGGGCATAAAGGTGGACATAAGGGCTCTCGTCATATTTGAACCCATTCATGACATTTCTTTGAAACATCATTGATTCTCTTCACTCCAGTCTCACCAGCTTGGATTCTGTATCCCGTTTCCCGCATGGTACGATACCGACTACGATAAACATTCAATTGACTGGCTCGACTGGTAGGTAGAAAGTGGGACAGCTATCCACTTATCAATAACCCCGCCAAATTTAGATCCTCGAGCATCCATAAAGTGCGAGTATTGGTAACTGTCTTGGGTTACATGAATACACCACTACTTTCAAAAGGCTTTATTGGTAGGTGCCTTGTCTTGAATGTCACTCTTTCTTCGTCCTCATTATTCGGCGTATTCTATCCACTACGACCCTCGAATGACCTTCTTAATCTGACTTGAAATAGTTGGAGAGTAACAGCGAAATCACTATATCATTCTCGATACACATTCACCACCTAGGTTGTCAAAGAAATCTTAAAATTGTCTGCACAGAGCAATCGCGAAGTCGTCGAGTCCAGTAAGACATCCTCGAGCCCGATCACAAGATTCAATCTCGACCTCGAAACTCGAGCATACAGCCTCGAACCTCCATCAACATCAACAAACCGATTTACAGCACAAAAATGTCTTCCAATAGAATGCGTCGTATTGCCAAAGAGCTGAACGATATCGCGAATGATCCTGGCGCTCAAATATTTTGTCAAGCAAGAGATGGTAATGATAGCGATCTGACCAGCCTTCGAGGTTCTTTTCCAGGTCCACCAGACACACCCTACGAAGGAGGCACATACCTAGTTGATATCAAGATTCCCAATGAATATCCATTCAAACCGCCACATATGAATTTCGCGACCAAGGTCTGGCATCCAAATGTCAGCAGTCAGACTGTAAGTTTTAGTCCTGTAGGGAACGGAATTAAATGTTGACGTTTGAACAGGGGGCCATCTGTCTTGATACATTGTCCTCGGCCTGGTCTCCGGTTTTAACCATCAAGTCCGCCCTCCTTTCCCTCCAATCTCTTCTCAGCGAACCTGAGCCAAAGGACCCACAAGACGCCGAGGTAGCCACTATGTTGATCAACCACCCTAAGGAGTTTCGAGAGAAAGCACGCGACTGGGCAATTCATTATGCTGGTGCCCCAAGAGTCACCAAATGGTCTCAGGCTGCCGCCTCAAGCCCTTCATATCTTCCCCCTGTCAAACATCAATCACAAGAAGAGAAGGCGCGACAGGAGATGTTGAAGTATGCCAGTTTTCCTTTACTTTTCCCCCTCGAACGTTTACAGTAGATAGCAGACTAACAAGAAACCACAACAGATATCAAGGATACAACAAGGCTCTGGTCGATCGCTTCGTATCCATGGGATTTGACATTGAAAAGGTAGTCGATGCATTCAACTTCGTTCATATCGACCGCCATGGTGGGGAGGATTACGAATTAGAGGAGGCTTATATGGGTGATATCACAGCAAGACTTCTTGGAGAACCATGACTCATGAATGATCTTCGACATACAATGAATGGTGGTTGGATGAATGAATGAATGGACAACCAAAAGGAACATGAATGGCGCACAATTTTTTGATCAAAAGAGGCATAATACTTTTGCGATTTAAACGTACGGCCGAGATTCAAGAAAATAATTTCAAGCTCATTGGCTTTCTGTAAAGGTATACAGAATTGCTATATTATGAGTACAATCAAGAAATGGTGAAGATATGGATGGGGAAATGGCATCTCGGAATTTGAGCCTTCTCCAGGAACAAAGCTTCATTAGCACAGGCGTTGGCATGGATATGTATCCACATGGCGTTACGTATAGCTTTCTACTCAATTACATATCAAATATTTATTCATTTTTTTTTTTTTTTGCTTCGAGCTATGTGATTTGAATTTATTGATGTGCTATCCAAAGACAGAGTAAGAGATTAAGTAAGTATACTCGTAGGGTACTTACTTAATGTTAGATACTCTGGCTTTATATCCAAATTGTAACATCGAGTTATGAGTAATAAGGATGTTTCGATATGACATTCTCGTCTTTTGCTCACCCATATTGATTTTTTGGTTAATGATGTACAGGCTATATCTTTCTGCATGGTTTGTGATAAAAGAACCATCTTAGGGAGGGCACGAGTTGAGAGATATTTATTCATACTTGATATTGTGATTTCACGGCTGTGCGATGTGGAATTTTTGGGTATTGGATATGTGGTATATAATGGATGGGGATGTAGATTGTGATGGGGATGAGGGATGGGGATGAGGGATGGGGATGAGGGATGGGGATGAGGGATGGGGATGAGGGATGGGGATGAGGGATGGGGATGAGGGATGGGGATGAGGGATGGGGATGATATGGAGTATGACCATTGAGTCTTAGATATTTGTAGGGTACCTAGTTGAGAAGGGTGTTGGAACTTTGTATTTTTCTTTGGTTTTGGTTTTGGTTTTGGGGGTAGATTTGCGGTTGAGTTCTGAGTTTGGGGGTAGATCTGGAAGTAGATTTGGAGTTGAGTTTTGGGTTTAGATTTGAAGTGGATGAATGGCGGATGGATGGAGGGTAGAGGGAGGGTAGAGGGAGGAGAAGGAAGAATTGGAGGGGGGAGGGGAGATTTGCAGAGGACTTCGCTTGATGGGGTTGCTAGTTTGTTGTATAAGAGTTGGGAGTTGAGGAGATGAGGGGGTGAGGGGGTGAGGGAATGAGGGAATGAGGGAATGAGGGAATGAGGGAATGAGGGAATGAGGGAATGAGGGAATGAGGGAATGAGGGAATGAGGGAATGAGGGGATGAGGGGACGAGAGTGTGGGTTTGAGATGTTAGATATTAGTTATTAGATACTTGGGATGTATAAGAAATAGATATATATACAAGATTTGTGAGAACTTAGAACTCGGAACTTGGGACTTGGAGGTTTTGAGGGGGGTTGGCTCGGCTGGCTAGGTTGAGTATCTGGATTAGAGTAGTGCAGGGTAGTGTGGTATAGGTAAGTTGTAGTGCTTTTTTATTCCTTTTGAGGGTGTAAGGGATCAATTAGTATTCATCTCTCGATGGTTTGCTTTATTTCGGATGGGTAGTTGAATACTAGAATACTTGATTTAAATTTGTATTTATTTTTTTAGGGGATATTACTGTGATTTATAAATTATCGTAAGCGAAGTTTTTCTTTTTTCGTTGTTTTTGGCTTTAAAAGGCTTTTAAGGAATGATTCAAATACCATTAAATTAAGTCGTTCCGTGAATCACAACTATTCATAATTAATTAGTCGCTCATATCAAAAATTTGATGGAGATTGTAGAGTAGATGTAAGACTTGTTGAATACCGGTACGATTCTCAGGGTGAGGGAGAAAAGAAACCTTAAAAAGTGGATTGTGGATGTGTGGATGTGAAAGGGGCTTCGGTTAAAATATTCGGGGAAAATGTGAGGTCGATTAGCACGGTCTTAGAAGTAGAATTGTATGAATCTGTGGGTTTTTGGATTGATTGTTCGGATTTTATTTTCATTGAATTTATTGTAAGATTTGGGTTTTGGGTTAGAAGATTGATTGGTGGTTTGTTGGGAGCTGGGGTCGTTGGCTGCGGATGGTATGTTGTGTTGCGGAAGAAAAAGAGGTCTTGTGCGGAGAGTAGTGTTTTTGTTAGATGAGATGGATCAAAACTCTTTTGATTAGGCTTTTGAAGGAATTCTTTTACATTGGTTATTGAGTTTACCGCTTTATGTATCATTAGATCTTCGATCTATCCACGCCGTCAATACACTTACCGGTGACTAACACGCATGTACCAGGACCTTCAGAAAAATTGTTCTTAATTGACTAAAACCGTATCTGTTGCCAATATATGTGTTATCTTCCGTCTTCCCTAGAAAATCACTATTGAGATGATGAATTGTGTGACTGACTTTGAGGCATAGCTTTTCCGATTTTGTGAGTCTTGATTTCAGATCGAGGATTATGAAAAGATTGTGTTCAGTAGAAATGAACATAGTGAGGTCTTCATTAATGTATGAGATTTGGCAAATATTGTTACTTCAGTCCTGAAGATTTGACTGGATCTTGGTATGAGCGTTTGGAACAATGAGATCGCATTCTTTAAATCAATCTTGCACAATGAGTTGCTACTCTTCAAATCAAATATGGAGAATAAATCCTCATGTCGTGAATCAAATTTGAACAATGAGGTCTCATTCTTTGGAATTTTCTTGAAAAAAGATTTTTTCTATATCAATTATAAGAATTTGAACCTTTTTATCCAAGCCATATTCGATAATTGAGGGTCTGTTGTCGATTCCAGGCTAGTTTATTGAAGTTTCATTGTCGGAATTAGAACTGAAACACCTAGGTATCTTCCTGGGCTTTATTTCTTTTCATTTGTCGTCTAAGATACATGTTTCTCCGTCTCTATCCCTGTTAGTAGCTGCACAGATATACTAAGAAATATGGGCATGAAATCAAAAGAGAAAACAGTAATCTAGGTCCAAACACATTTATTTTCTTGAAAGTGTCTCATGTAAGGCTGATGCTCGCCTACCAGTCCTCCACGGTATGATACTCTTTGTTGGGAAGAGACTCATCTCGAGTATCAATAGGCTTGTGATCCACTAAGATCCTAATCTCAATATTAAAGCAAACTTCAACCGTTGTAGAATTGCTGTGATCAGAGAGATACAGTGGATAAGTTTGCTTGTTCTCCATGTCATGGTATACTCCTTCTTGGTAGAAAACGAAGTTTGGACCCACAGAAGCATCCCTAGCGCAAAGCTCGTTGGCACTATTGCTAGTGTGAGCACTCGTGATTAATATTCCTACAAACGAGTACGAGGGCTAGTGAAAGTGGTACTGGCACTATTGATTGCCATTGAACTATTTGTCATCCGTCCCTGACCAAGTAGCAAGCCATGAATTGCACATAGGAAATGCCGAAAAGACATCATTCATGTCTCCATCCTTGAATCTTACAGCCAAGCTCAAATCTCTCTTTTAGCCTTTCTAGAGCTACGCGTAACAAATTTGACTCCGTAGAAGACTACGAGTATCAATGCGAAATAGCGAGATGTCAATAACAGGCGAGTAAGTAGAAAATTTGAGCCACATGAGAAGCAACAAGTACAAGGAAGTGGCCATTCAGCGGGGCTGGATCTAATCGTTTACGTTCTATATTCTCGAGATTCATATGTCTTCGGCTCCGAGTATCATGTAAAAGGTAGTTCCATAAAGTATGGCAAGGTATAAAATCCAGAAAAGTAAGCAGAAGAAAAATCTTATGTATCTCCATGGTCATGGAGTGCAAATTCCAATCTGAAATAAGAAGTTCAATTGGAATAATTGCGTGGCTATTCATATTTGAATCTCGTATAGCGTTTTGCCGACCATTAAAACGTGCAACTAGGTACTGTAGAAATTATCTATGTACCTACCTAGGTATACGTTGGTAGGAAGTTGTTTGTTCTGCCAAGCTAAGGCGATGAAAGAGCTGCTGTCTCATCCACCAACGACCACCAACAGTCACAGCTTGAAATACAAATCAATTGAACCCACCAGTCATGGTCAGATGAGTCAATCTATCAATCATGTGTACGGTATGTTCGCACCGTAGCTGAATCACCTATTGATATTGTTAAGAAACGTATGATCTTCTATATAATGCTGCACAATCCCAAAGTCCTGGCGATTTTCCTTGCACACTATTTATCTTCCAAGAGTGTTTTCCAGGCAAGATGGAGGCTACAGCTACGCGTACTATCAATCTAATCAACCTACTCAATGATATCGTTGTTTTAACTTTTGCTGAAATATTGGATACTGTTGGGTTATGGAAGGCTCTTGGCCTGCGAACAGTCTGCAGCACGTTTTTGTACCCCAACAGACCCATCATCATTGCGCTAACAATCATACAGGATATTTTGAGGTATCAATAACAAATGCAATATGTGTCGATTATATCAAAAATCCTCATGGTCCTGTTGATGACGCTCTGGAGATATGCCGCAGATACCCTCCGAGTAAATTACCCCGTATCACCCCTCTTCTCATACACAAAGAAATGAAATCCAACACTAGTGACATGATACTTACTCCAATGCACCGAGCAACTGTTTCTGTGTCTAAAATTCATTGTCTCTCAGAGGAAAAAAAGAGCGAATTGGAGCTCGCTGTATGTGAAGCTGTAGAGTAACGATTGATTTGGGCACCATCCAGCTGCAGGAACACAAACGGAAGGCGGCAGTTAAGCTTTCTCGCTCCAAGGCTACCGCGGACTTACAACCCAGTACCTATAGTCGACAATCATATTCCAGTGGATACGGTCAACGCGAAAGAATACTAGATATGCAAAATAGACTTTGCACTGCTATCATCGCCAATGAAATTGCATACGTACGAGTCTTGCTTGAGAGTTACCATGCGGATGCCAATTTTAGGAACAAATACTTCGGTAGACCGTTGCATCTCACTTCAAGATACGGACGAGTCGATATAATGCAGGTTCTTCTACACCATGGCGCCGACTCCAGCGCAATTCAACCATAATATGGCCCTCACTGGACAGGAGGTTTGGAAAGAGAAAAGTTCTTCTGTTCTTCGGGGAGCGCGTTACGTGTAGCCGCAATGAATGGTCACTTTGAAACAACGAAATTGCTTGTACAACCACGCTATAATGCAGTATTGCCCCTTTCCCACGAAGAAATCCAAATTGTCCTTCGTGTTGCGGCGAGGACGGGATCTGTGAGAATTGTTTTGTTTCTCATGGACATGTGCTACGGGTCACAGGCTGAAAGGAAATATGCAGAAGAAGAAGTTCTACTTCAAGCTGCTTCTTGGGGAAGAGAAAATCTACTTAAAGTACCTAATGTTGGAACGTGGTGTAGATGTCAACTGTATTGCGGGACCGAATCACACTATGCCATATTGGTCGTCCATTCACTGTGCCGCTTATAAAGGCTATGCGAAAATTGTCCTCTTACTGTTGTCAAATGGCGCCGAACTAAATCGTGTGATCGGCCGGAGATCAAGAACCAACCTTAGTATTGGATTTGATGCGATGAGCTTTGCAGTCGCACGAGGTCACAACGAAGTGATTCGTGCTCTCATCGACTATGGCGGGATTGTGTTGAAAGAAAGAATCCGCCCAGATCCTTCATCAGATACGACTCTATTAAATATAGCCGCACGATGGAGGCAACGATGCGTTTGTTGTTGAAAGAAGGGGGCGATGTTACCGAAATAGACTACCAAGCTTTGCATGAATATGCCATCAAACGTGGAGATATCTTGATGACACGTCGTCTTCATCGAAGCTGGCGTTTCTCCTTGTGATAACACCAACAAAAGCCACCAACCAGTGCTTATAGCAAAACTTCATGGATGGCAGCACATTGTAGATCTCTTGATCAGTGCAGGGGCTGATGATATCAATCCTTTTGATACAGATAAGTACCCTATCGACTCACGAATTTTCCTGGACGGCCATTTTCCTCTCAAGCAAAACAAGACACCGCGGCAACTATGGCACATACAGGGCAAATATTGATTTGATGCGACGAGAAAACTTTGTGGATTGCAATGCGCCATCGAATGAACCAAAGGAATGTTTCTCTCGAAATATTTGGTGCAGTTACAACTCACACCAAACTTCATTTGATCCTAAATATTGGCATCCAAGTAATTCGAAATTTTTCTTCCTGAATTAAATCTCCTCTCGAGGCACACATAATTTCAAACCCATTGATACCCTAAACCATAGTCTACCCATCCGATTCAAGCAAAGTTACAAGATCAGATTCAAGACTCTGTCGCAGTGAAAAGTCTTACTATCCCATTCACCTCATCAAAATGACAATTCATACGATAAGAATGTAGCATAAAGTTTGCATATGAGGGTAAGTTCTGCAATCTTAATACCCCAACTTAGCTGAGATGAGATGTGTTCATACATATTCCTAAACTTTGATCCTTCCCTCACCAAATATATCCCCGTGGTACAGTGGTCTACGTAACGCCTCCACCCAAGCCATAGTAATCGGGGCCCTCTCAATCGGGCCAAAAAGGGGACAGTTTGGTACAGTCATTCTATAGTACGAAGTTGATTGGGACCCAGAGGCGCTTCACAGCGCCTCGAAGTTTTGCTATTTTTGTTTTCTGTGTTTATTTTTGTTTTTGAAGATTTGATTTTGAGTGCTTTTGGTTCGGTTCGTCAAATCGCTAGAGCGTCAATTTATATTTTTGTGGGGCAATTCTTTTCTAAGCGACGTCGAGGTTAGGTTTGAGATCCTCACTTCTGGAGCAGTGAATATTTTTGAAGGATTTTGAAAATTTGAACTGATTCATGTGTAATCATGAGATTCATTAATTTTAACTTTCAAGCTGATTATTGCTTTCCAATTTATTCAATTAGACCAAACAGTATTGACAGAGCCTCGCTTATAGTATCCTGCGCTGCTGCACTACTCAACCTGTTCGCGGCAGCAAGGTCTAAGCTTCCATTCATGACTCCCATCACCCTTGTCCCTGATTCGCATATCTCATATATTTTAGCGTAGATGCAGAAATTTCAATATTTTCATTCCCCATCATAAATTAGCCCAACTCGAACCACATTCTCTGATTCCCTCTGAATATCTCAATAATCGGCAAAAATAAGGTCTCGCAGCACCCTTTGATTGTCATTCCCCACAAAAACATAAATACTAATCTCGAATGAGTATGCCTCTTATATTACCCTTGGAAAAAAGTCAAACAACCAGATATTTAGACCAAAAACTATTAATTGCTGTAACTACTGAGGGAGTGGTAACATCTGCATAATGCGTATCGCGGTTGTGTCAAACTCTTGGATAGTGTTGTTGAGTGTTTGAACTTCTTCCTACCTTCTTCATTTTTGTTGGCATGATGCCATGATCTTGATTATTTGATCAATCAATTACATCACTTGGTAGAAGCAGCTGTGAGCATCTTGGTTTGGTTTTTGAAATCAAACTCGGTACTATTGAGGAATGGATCAAAAGCTAATAGATCTATTAGATGGGTGATATATTCGTTCTTTTATCACAATGAGTGATGGTCTCTTGCCCCAAGAAAGAAGTTGGCAGCGACGCGCAAGCTTGGCATCAATTTCTATATTAGGACGGATGTAAAAGCAAAGCAAAATAAAATAGAAGCTCTCACATACATATCAGCAACCTACTCCCAGAAGGCGCGAACGAAGCGATATTATCCAATCTCTATTTGATGCAGTTATCACGTGTCTAATCCACAGATATACACCCTCACCACTAACAAAACATAATCCATCCCCAAACTACCGTCACTATTCCCCAGCTCTAGTACTTATCAATACCCATAATCGAGCCTTCGGATTTAGGAGGTGAAGAAGTGTCCCCCCCAACCTCCCCATTTGTACTTTCTACCACTTTCAAACAACTCAAATGTGACTCCGCACTAGCAGTGATAGACGAGGCATCATTAGAACTCGACGTGTTCCATAAAACTGTGAGGATCGGGGTAATGCCATTATAAAATGCGCCCTTTGCGAGGTCTGAGAGTAAAGCAAAGTGAGCGACATCTACTATACTCGAGGACGTGGTGTTGTGGATTAAAGATAACTCGTAATTCTCTCCAGTTGTTGGGATACAATCAGGTGATTTAAGTGTGCTTGGTGGAGAAATTGGGGAGCTCAAGCCTATTATTGTCATATTAGCCATGAGTTTTCACTGCGATATCTCTCACTATTGAATGTCACATACCTTGTGCAACAATATCTCCCCAGCTACCACCCTTTGCCGCAGTACAAGATGCCGGAACTTGAGATTTAATGGCTGATTGTAGCGCATTGCAAATATTTGTTTCATTCTGAGCATTCGGGGTACCTGACAAAATTTTGGCCATCTGAGATTGAGATTGAGCTAATAGGTCATCAACACAAGACGCTGTCAGAGCATCATTGCATGTTCCTGTAGCGCTGGTTCCAAATGTTAAATCTGATGCTATTCCATCGAAGAACAGTGCGCATACATGGGTGCTTGATCCCGAGGTCAAATTTATTGTCGGAGGAGTTCCAAGATAAAAATCCCGGCTCAAGGTTATGTTGAAGAAGGAAGTGGCAGTGGGTTTAACAGGGCCTGTAGGAGACGAAGAGGTTTGACGATGCTTGAGATGCGTGGTTGGGACAGAATGTTCAACTGTTTCTTCGGATTCTTGAATCCCTAATGTCCAGGTAAATGGTGATGGATCGACCGAAGTATTAAATGAAGTGATTCCGATCACGGAAAGTGTAATATTATTGATTGGGCATAAGGGTGGATTATACTGAGTGACGCAGTTCACAGAATCACAACCGACGAGCGTTTGAGCCTTGATGACAGTTGAGATGGAAAGCACATAAGCAATGGAGCGCAACATTCGTTTCAGTTCTTGATGGTACATGTTGATGCAAAAGCGGAGTTGATGTGGTGGTGGTGCTGGTGGATGAGACTCCTTTTTATTAACCAGGAAATCAAATAGCGAAAAGGATCGAATGTATCAAATTCGGAGGGCTGAGTATATGTACTTATGTATCCTTAAGATTGAGGAGAGGAGATAAAACGTCGAATTAATCACTGGACTGCGGCTTTCTCGTGGAAACAGTGCCGCAATCATTCCAACAAATACAAACGTGAAGTGAATAATTTGGCAAGTCAAATTCCGAAATAACCACTGTGAAGCAAGAATTTCTATAACTATACTCGTAGTGATATAGCCAATCAATCAACTCAACAAAATTTTGGTATAATTACATGAATGAATAGTAGACCGACTGCGCAAAGAAACTAAGGCGAGGGGCACAGCAAGACTTGAGAATTGTCGTACTCAATTCCATATTACAAACAAAAAATCATAACTGCCTTGTAAACTTGCGCAATGGATTGATAAAAATGACACGCAGCTAGAAACAAAGGTACAGTTGAATATTAATGTAAAAGAGCTTTTGTTTCTGCCACACTTGAAGAAGAGACTATAGTCATTTTGGTGTAAATGGCAAAAGGATCGTACTTCATCATCAGGATCTTTAAGGAAGAAACTTGCATTTTTAAGGATTGATGCTGCGGCAGGTACACGTGAGATCACGCGTGAGATCACACGTGAGACATGCATACTGTCTTCTCCTTGACATTGGATAGCATCGTATTACCACTGTAATCACCGTTGTCTCATTTTTGGGGCCGAAAGTAGGCAAGAATTCAGTGCATATCTGGATGAATTATTGGTGAGTCGACGTCGTTGATTGTTGTCCTGAAGGTATTGAGGTCCCGTGTTCCCCACTTTTAATTTCATGAAGCAGATAAGCTAAATCAAACCTCTCAATTCTCAAACAATCATCTATATGTAAGATTATCTACATTCAGTTCATCAACCAATTTCAAGCCTTTTAGCCGACTTTTGATAATCTCGTGGACCACATGCGCATACACTACAGATTGTGAGCTAACAATTTTTCGTTGAGGCGCACATAGATGCATCGACCATGACTTCATTGTCACCAACGCTTGTGGTTGGCAGATGCCAAGATATGCAGCAATTTAGGCCAATTTCATAACTACCATCAGAGTCTTTACGAGTTGGGGTCGATGGAGAAATGAACGTCCTTTGTCGGCGTAATGTTGTGCGATACGGCAGCTATTCCCGAACAGAATACCGATGTAAGATCATCGAGAGATTTCGGGGAAGAATCTGCCGGAAAGACACAATAGACCTCGAGGCAACAATGGTGGATGAAGAATACTTTCTGGAAGTGTCTACCTTGAAAATTTTCATTTTCATTCATTCATCTACCAGCCCAAGATTGAGGGCTGTGAGGTATCAAGAGATGATGCAAATTGAAGTCTCGAATGCTTCGCTCTGGTCTTCTGAAGTATGAGAGGTGTCAGATAAAAAACATTTGTATTTCGGGAATTTCGAAAGCCTACGGTGTTTCAGTACACCTTCTTTTTTGGGCAAACTTTCAGTCTTGATCCACATATCTGTCACGATCTATGAGCTTGATTTTCATCCAAAATATCTCCCGGCGCTGGAAAATCTCCGCATTTATCCGGCAGATTCCTGGGGTAATCATACATATTATGGATCCCCAGATTTCTGTTGTAGCCAAGATGCCATTACCCCTGTGGTATAGCAATATAAAGTTATTTCGCTGGCTTTTATCCCACGAATCGCCAAGCGTACCTTACATCACGCGTTGCTGAATTTCATTACTTTGCCCAATGTGCTAAATTCGTTGTTTGATCGTCGCGAGTAACCTTTTCAATGCCCATCATTACTTCGTTCGGTAAATGGGATACCCATTTTTGGAAGGCCGAATGCATTCATACTTTTACGTGCATGCCTTTTTCGACCCCTTTCCCCTTTCTCTCAATTTATATATAAGCGCAACAATACTCTTCAAGTCCTGACATTGCCAAGAAAAAGACCGAGGTGCCCGGTTGAGCGGGTGGGAACTCGGCGAAAGATCATTCAGCATGCTAGATAGTCCCTCAGTCAAGGGAAAATGAATTGCCATGCACTTATATGTGCTAACTATGATCCCCCAAATTTATGTTCTGTTCATCAAGTGCTATGCTCTCTTTCACTCCACTCATACCCAAAACTAATACCTGATACTCTGAGCCTTCCGAGTTCACAATGCGTCTAAATCTGAAAGCCATTCTACTTTCGGCTTCGTTGTTCTTGCCATCTCTTGTATCTGCCCAGCTCGCTTCTGGCTATCCAATTGGCCCCCTTACTACTTCGGCTGCGAAATGGGCAAAAAAAGTCTGTGATGTGACTAAGTATGGCGCAGTAGCCGACGGAAAGACAGATCTAGGACCAGCTCTTCTTGCCGCGTTCAATGCCTGCGCAAGTGGTGGCGTTGGTATGTTTGTAGACTTGCGTAATTTTGGTGTATGATACTAAGGTACGATCCAGTGAACATCCCTCTTGGGAACTTTGCGATGTCTACATGGGTTACACTATCTGGTGGTAATGCATGGGCCATAAACCTCGAGGGTGTCATTCTTAGAACTGGGTAAGCTCTCTCGCTGCTTCAAAAATATTTTTAGTTTGCTAAGAATTCGTATGCAGTACTGCAGGCGGACATATGATTGTTGGTAAGTTTACCGCCTGAATACTCATAGTTCTAGTATTTTCTAATTCCCACCTATAGTCCAAGACTCTACCGACTTCGAAATCTACAGCAGTAGATCGAGCGGGGCTATCCAAGGTTATGGATATGTATTCCATGCACAGGGAATTTATGGGTAAGACTCCATGATGACAAGTCATCTCGAGAATATAGTTAACCCTTAGTGAAGGCCTCGTCTCATTCGACTGATTAACGTCGTCAACTTTTCTATCCACGACATTGCACTTGTCGACTGTAAGTTTCCCTCTAACTTTCTTCTATCAAAATCATTTCAACTGTCGAATCCATTCCCATACAATCCCATGCAGTAAAATGCACTAGATTTTCTAGCTTTCTTCCAATGCCTCTCCTAATTTATACTGTCGATCTTACTGATCATTCCACTAGCTCCGGCATTCCACCTTATTCTCGACACCGTGCAAAATGGCCAAGTATATAATCTGATCATCCGTGGTGGAAACGAAGGTGGATTAGATGGCATCGACGTTTGGGGCTTCAACGTTCATATCCATGATGTAGAAGTTACCAACAAAGACGAATGTGTCACTGTCAAGGTATGCTCTGTCACCTTTGCAATTCGTTCCAGAAAGCCTCCACTATGGAACCCATCTCATCTAGAACATCACAATTCATATACATGATACTAACGAAACTCAGAACCCATCCAACCACATGCTTATTGAAAACATCCATTGTAATGTAAGCGGTGGATGTGCTATTGGTAGCTTGGGAGCCGATACTGCCATTTCGAAGATCACTTACAATAACATCTACTCCTGGCAATCCAATCAGATGTTCATGATCAAGAGTAACGGTGGATCAGGTAAGTTTTCTTCGCTCACATCACCATTGCCCTTTCTAATCAATGTCTCCTAGGATCGGTATCCGACAGTGTATTCTCGAATTTCATTGGCCACAGTAATGCATATTCTCTCGACATCGACGCATATTGGAAATCAGCACCAGCAACTGGCAACGGCGTTTTATATACTGGTCTCACTTTCTCTAACTGGAAAGGAACTTGTGCAGACGGTACCTTGAGAGCACCTATTCAGGTCATTTGTCCAACAGGCCAACCTTGCGCGGGTTTGAGCATTACAAATTTTGCAATGTGGACAGACACGGGTAGTCACGAGTTGTATAAGTGTCAAAATGCTTGGGGTGATGGAGGATGTTTGGTTCATGGCACTGCGCATACAGCTTGTAAGTTGCCAGATTTTTTTATCATTACAGTGGCTAACGAACTCTATGATAGACTCGATTGTGACACAAACGGTATCATCAGCGCCTTCTGGCTACTCTGCAGCAAAAATGCCGAATGATTTGGCTGGTGGATATGCGCTTACGGCTAGTATCCCTATCCCCACGATCCCTACTACGTTCTTCCCCGGACAAGTTCCAGCAACGAAGAGGGCTTATCCATAGTCGCCAGATAGAGGATGGACATGCATGCGAAAACGTAAGTGTAAATAGTTGCGGGAAAGCAAGATAATCCTTAAATTTTACTTTGCTTCATACAATGAAGTTTTCACTTCCTTGTTGCTCTTCTTCGACAAAAGTGTTATGTCCATATGATATCTGCAAGTTCCCTCTTCGGGGTACAACGACCGTATTGCATTACTTGTGATAAAAACCCAATATCTTCGTCTTGAGATGCAATTCTCGAGATTTTGACCGTAACTCCAATCGCCATTACTCCATTGTCCCATGCGATTTTTACATCATTCATGCAATGTTATCAACATCCATTCCCTCGTTGGCTGCATTTGATGTAGTCTCTGGTGCATCTTGAATCATAATTAGCATCAGAACATCGATATCAATTGCAAATTTATAAAGTACTAACCAGTCATCTTGACCTCTCCTTCCTTCATTGCCTGCTCCAATGCTCTTTGACGTGCACAATTTTGCGCCTTTTGAACCTTACGAGCCTTCTTTCCAGATAAAGGTGCTAAAGGTCCACTCGTAGGGTGCAGAACAGTACTGGCTCTGGTACCTCTTGGGTTTTTGGTAATCTTGTTGATGGCGTTCTTGCGTTGAGTCTTTGCTCGGTTTGCGATCTTGCGCTTCTTTTGGGGAACATTGGGGTTGCTTTTGGATGCCATTTTGAAGTAATTTTCGAATTTCGAGTTGTGGATTGACTTGCAGATGGAATTCTTTGAATGAGGAAATAATTTTGAATGCACAGGGTAGTGATCCACTTCGGGTGAACACTTTCACCGAATTCCGATGCTTGCAGCTGCGCCACAAGCCAAGTTTACTACCTGAGCCCGGAATTCATCATCATTGTCATCACTTTTCTTGAATATATTCACATTCAATCCCATATTTCCAATACATCACCTTCTTTCTTTACCACCTTTGTAGTGGGCAGCATACAACTTTGAACTTCTTTGGAGTTTTCAATTCTCATTCTATTTACACACTATCAGCAGTCCAGTTTTAAAGATATTCAACTATCCCTTCTGTTGTTGTTTACTTTGGATAATTCATCATGTCGTGGGCAGGTAAGAAGAATACATTTGTGAACTTTGGGAGGATAAAAGAGATCAAACTAACGATCTATCTGTGAAAAGGCTTTAAGAAGAATGTCAATAGGGCAACTACTCAGGTTATGATGAAGACTGGTAAGTGAACCTACCTTAAGGAACTTGCGGGGATCGGGGATGGACGTCAAAGAAATATGATGCCATCCCCGAATTTTTGCGAGGGTCTTTCGAGTTATGCTCGGTTTATTTTCCAGGCAGCAAGCTAATTTTATTTATTTAAGGTCATGTTGAGAAAACAAATGACCGCGATTACGAAGTTGAAGAAAGGTTAGTTATAACTTCATTACACAACCACAATGGCTTCAACAACCGCCGAACACGATACCATGGCGGAAGAATGCGACGAGGAAATGAAGGCGCTCTTGAGAGCTGTGCAAGAAGTCAGCTTGCGATTGACTTTGGAGAATGCTGGTTACTCCAGTAACTCTGAATCCGAATCCGATTACGAGTCAGAAGATGAAGAAGAAGCCGAGATCGACAACAACAATTCATCGGGCTATCCTTCAACAACTCCCTCCAACTTTCTATCTACACCATCTGTTTCATCTGCCGGTTACTACCCCTCAAGCCCTTTCTTGCATTCGACCTCGATTTCCTCCAACATTTTGACCGACTACCTTCCATCGACTCCTATTTTACTTTCAAGATCGACCTCTTCCAATTCCGGAAATGAAGACTTGGAATGGGATTATTTTTTGACACAATTCATGGCGGCCGCAACTGAGGAAGAAAAGGGAATTGTAGTTGACCAAGTTTCTAGACGTTATCGCACAATGGAGGCCGCTTCATTGAGACTGCAAAAGGAGTCGAAAGGTTATTTGGATTCTTTGAGAGGTAAATCAATTCATTCCGATTATTTGAAGGTGAGCTGACAACAAATGCAGCAATGACCGCTTCCCAGATGCGCATTGCTGAGACCATTGATGCTTTTTACGGTGATGCCGGCGCAAAGGATGGTGTCAGTCGCAGTTACAAACAAGCTGTAGAGGATCTCGACGCCGAGACAATTAAAGCCCTTGATGGTCCATACCGGTAAGAGTCGCACGTTTGTTTGCGCATAATGAATGAAGCTAACATTACTAGTACTACCGTCTTGGAGCCCATCTCAAGATTCTGTGCCTACTTCCCCGATATCAATGAGTGTAAGGATATTCCCTGGTTTCTTGTGATGCCTGCTAAATAATTTCTAGGTATCAAGAAGCGTAACCACAAGCTCCTCGATTACGATGCCATGCGCGCAAAAGTTAAGAAGCTCGTCGAGAAGCCAGATAAAGATGTCACCAAACTTCCTCGTGCCGAAAAGGAGACTGAAATGGCTAAGGCGGCTTACGAGCAACTCAATGACCAGCTCTTCAACGAACTTCCTCAACTCATCGACCTCCGTGTTCCTTACCTTGACCCAAGTTTCGAAGCTTTAGTCAAGATCCAACTTCGCTTCTGTGCTGAGGCTTATTCCAGAATGGCACAAGTACAACAATACTTGGATGCTGATACAAGAGAGCAATATGCGCAAGGACACCTCGATAGCAGAGTTGAGCAAGTTTTGCAAGAAATTCGCGAACTAAGCATCAGTGGAACAGTTTGAGCAGTGCGATTTCGTATGGGGTTAATATCAAGGAATGTTATTTGCATGGTACTTGTGGTACTTCATGAATATATGACTGGTGTTACATGGAAGAAAGTTAGGGTTTTGACTGGCAAACGTTGTCATTTGACTTCGATATCAAAGGAAGGCGTTTGGGAAAGTTGTATACCATTGCCAGACCCAATTGTAAAGGACTGAGCATGTATCATCTAGGATTGGTTTTTCTGTAGACACGATAATTTTATCTTGCTGCTCGCAAGATCATAATCATCATCTTGAATCATCTATATTATTCATTGCCTGTGATGTGAAATGATAGTTGACGTTGCTGCGCGTCATTCGAGGTTTGGCTAACTGCTAAATAGAGAACCATGGACCCAGCTCTATGGAATCAAGGGAGACTATCGTTTCATACCTACTTGATTGTCATCTCATGATAGCATATCATCAGTATTTCGCGTGGACTTGCTCTTCGAAATTCTCATTTTTAATGGTTAGATGTAAATGCGTCCACTATTTTCCTGGAGGACTATCGTCCACTTGTCGACTCAACCATTAATAGAAGACATCAAGTTGTTCCATTCTTCGAATTATATAAATATCTGTTACATGATTCGGATTATTTGAAACGATGAAATTTTGTATCGACTTCCTTGCACGTCCACTACCGGCACGGATTGGATACAAGCATCGCCAGGACCTCCTCATAGATCGGCAATCGCCTTTCCCCACAATTGAAACCTGGCCTAACATATCTAGGGACCCTTTGCATGTGGGATTGATATCTTTAAACGTTATCTGTTTGGGAATGCGGCGCTTGTACACTTTCTGCCTTTGAATTTTCGAATGAACATGAGAATAATGAGATGTGGTAGACTGATTGAAGATTTTTGAGGCGCGGGAGAGGAGACTGGGGTGTCGTCAGCGAAACGGATTTGCTGGGACTTGGGAGGGAGGAGAGTTATTTGAACATGTTGGTTGGAAGGTTGGGATTCTGGGAGAAGGGGTTGATTCGTCGCTTGTATACTTCCGTGTGCTGGATTTGTTCTCTAGACGGGATGCTTGGCTTGAGAATCGCACGAAGTGGGAAGTCAAAGAGAGGAGTACGTTGCTTCCCGCATATATACATGGGGTATCCTTAGATACTAGGGATCGTGAAAGAGATCCTCCCCAATGAGGTTTACTGGTGGTTTGATCATACCACTCACTTCGAGGTGAAATCGCATTCGCGTCCTTTGGCGCGCTTTGGGATGTTGATACTGGGGATTGGAGGGTTTGGTAGGGCAGCTTGGGACGAAGGTTTGATAGCTCTTGGCGCATACGTTGACGGAGCTAGATAGGGGAGAGTGGATGGGGTAGAATGCTATTATTGGTGTGTTGTGAGAGATAGCGTGGATTGTAGATCTGAGCTATGGGAATGAAGATGAAATGGATAGATGGGGGTGGGTGATGTATATAAGGATCCTTCTCGTCGTTGTTAGCACGGTATCTGGACATCATCACTTCCATTCTACATTCCTATTGACTTTTTAGCAAATCTTCGGCAGGACCGTGTTTATTTCTTACTCTATTTTATATCTCCAACAGACTGTCTATCTCCTCCCCATCTAAATCAATCCATCCAACCCATCAAAATGCAATTCTCCACCATCTTCCTCTCCCTTCTTGCCGCTACAGCTGTTGTAGCAAAAGGCAACTCGACTAAACCCGTCACCGATAAATCCCTCTGCAAAGAAATGAACAAGCTCGAGAAGCTCGTGGACCAAGCCCAAAACACGACCAAACTCGCCTCCAAAACCAACAACAACCAGACGAAAATCGACAGTATTATGGCGAAAGCGAGCGCTGCCGCTGTGCAACTTGATGCGATGCAGGCGAATACTACGTTGGTGTCGACTTGTGCTGTGATTGATGCGGCGCAGACGACGAAGAAGCAGTGTAATAAGATGGAAGGTATGTATTCCATTTCTCTTCCCACTTCTATTCCCATTTCCCATTCCCGTTCTCCATACACAATCCACATCTTCCACAATCTCAATCCCCATTCTCACTCCCCTCAGACCTCCAAAAAACCATCGCCACCGCCGCCAACAGCACCAAGCTCGCCGCGAAAACCAAAGGCAACGCCACAAAAGAAGCAGAATACCAAGCCAAAGCCACGAAAGCGCAAACGAAACTCGCAGAGATGACGAGCAATACTACATTGGTAGATGCGTGCAGTGCGTTGCAGACGGAGAAGGAGGCCAAACAGGCGGATACGACGACCACGAATGCGGCGACTAGCTCTACGCCTGCGAGTGGTGCGGCGGGATTGGTGGGTGCCAAGTTGGGAAGTTTGGTGGGCGCGGGTGTTTTGGTTGCGGTGGGGATGATTTTGTTGTAGAGGGATGGGGATGGGGGTATGGGGGCGTGGGTTTTGTCGGTGAGGGGGTTGGGGGAGGGTGTTGGTATGGATATCAGAAATAAATCAGAGGTCTTGGAATCGGGAATATTCACTCCAGGAATCAACACTGGGTTGGACATTGAAGAAACATCGAGTTGGAGAAAAAGCGATATACATGCATCGTGCACTCGCAGCCTCGTATACTATAACCAGCTACATTCCTTCAACGATTGAAAGTACAAGTTAGGACCAGAATAAATGAGAAATTACAAATCGGAGAAACACACAAACAAACAAACAAACAAGAAACAATGGGTCATCGACCAAAGCGTGACTTCATCATAACATTATCTTAGCGATGAGAATAACCGACAGAAAGGGAAATACTGATTACAACTTATCTCAGAGACCTCTACCTGACTCGACACACATGTTCACAAGGTCAACACATCAGGCATACATAGCCTTCAAGACAGACTTACACTTACCATCGATCCATCGATCCATCCATCCATCCTCGCTCGTAAATACTTCAATCAGATGTAACGGGTGGATTCTACACACTCATGCAACTGCAAGTGCGGCTCAAAATCCCCTCATTCAAACCAGGACCACCATCCACCCTAGCTGGAGTAGGTAATAAAATCCTGAAAGAGGACCTCCCTCAATTCAAACGACACTCGTAATTGGATATCAATACGCAGATTCCAACGACGATCGGCATCTAACCCATCAAACACAGTGAGTGACAACTACGACCTCACGCCGTACCCATCCCAACTCGGTCCCCTTACCCTCCTCCAGAGAGGTCACCACGTCCAAAAATAAATCCCCGTGCTTCATCATCCCGTTCATATTACATATACTCCATATACCGGTCTCTCAACCCTTAGCCGCATAATTAATTTCTCTGCCTAAAAGACCCCGTTCCGTCGCACCAATTGCTCACTGTGGTCAGAACCTTATTTTATTTGCGAACGCCCGTTAAGGCTGTGAGGAGCAAAGCATGGACCCACATGTAACCTTAAACTTTTTGTGGCTTTTTTGACGGGTTGTGATTTGCCCTTACGGGTGAGCTGAAAAGGTGTTGTCGACTTTTACAGTCTTGGGTTTGGAGGAGGAGAGTGGAGTGGGAGATGTGATGATTTGCGAGTTTTGTAGTTTCCATGATTTTATGGTATGATGTGAGGCTCAAGTCAAGAATGCCAAGCATCGGGATAGTGACGTTGAGAATCGAAACCCCAAGCTCGACAAATCGCGTGACCAATGGTGTACTTTCCCTAGGGTGTGATAAATCACAATGACATATCTCAAAGCGCAAACCCGTAATTTTCCAAGCCAAGTAAGGAAGCAAACAAGTATTGCAACCCAAGAGACGATCGACAAAAGTGGAAGTGAGAAATATGTAAGAGGAGTGAGGCTGAAAAATGCCATGCCATGTTGTGCCATGCACCTTCCCGCCCTTCGAATCACGAGAGAGGCAGGTAGGTGCGAAGGGATACATATTTGAGCAACTGGATTTCCATTCAAATGTGAAATTTTTGTACATTACTTCAAGCTCGTGTATTCTTTCGCTGCTACACCGATATTGTTATTCGTACATTTTAAATTCGAACACTGTACCACGAGGAGCCTTCGAGGTGAATTGAGCATATCGAGAAGTTTCCACAATGACTGTCGCGAATAAAACTCATATTCCTGGTGCGAGGGGTGCTTTATTTGGACTTCGCATTGCACAATTGGTGCTTGCTGTTATTATACTTGCTCTTTCGTCGTATGGAGTTTATTGGCTTGTATATGATGGAGATGCACTTACATTGGCTTCGGTACGCTTTAGTTATCTCTCTATTCACTCATGTTTAAGACTAACTGTGAGTGATCTTTAGGCCGCTATCTCGATTGTTATTTGTGTCTATGTGATAGTAGCAAGCACGGGCGCACCGGTCCTGTATAACTACTGGGCTATACTCGGACTGGATATTGTCGCCGTGATACTTTGGGTTGTATCGTTCCCGATTCTCGCCTCGCAAATCGCAAATGCCATTACTGTCGATTATTCTTGCGACTACTCATATTACTCTTGTTACTACTACAAACACAAACGTGGATTGGGTCTTGAGAAGCGTGCAGAGACTACTTGGGAGACATACAAGGGTGTGATGATTGCAACATCTGCATTGGGTGGTCTCGAGTTGTAAGTGCTAAACAGGTTCACCCCTTGACAATTATTAATCACATTTTAGTGTACTTTTTGCGATTACCCTCATCATTCTCGGGATTAATCTCCATCGCCATCGTAAAGCTGGAGGCCATTGTCAACCTGGTGCTGCAGCTCCCAGACAGGTAGATTTTGAGGAAAAGCAACAACGTAATGTCACTGCACCTGCGGAGCCAAGTCAACCTGAAGTTTATAATCCACCAGTCACCCACCACTAGATGTACCCAGGACCCTGGTATACTCTGAGAGAAATGGAGACAAAGGAAAGAGAGTCAAGACCAGAAGATGATGGATACGTTGAAATGCGGTGTTCTGATCAAGATGTTTGATGATACCCGAATATTTCTTTCGTGTGTATAGTGTTTTGAACGAGTAGGAATAATAAGATTGTACTAGAACCGGAGGATAAGAATTGAGAATTGTACGAAGCTTTTAATACGATGTCGCCCGTTCCACATTGATCAACTTGAACTTGAGTGACACGAACTACTAGAAAGTTTCGAAAGTAACTTTAAGCTTAGATTTAGTTTCCGAAGAGCCTTGGGAGATTCTAAATTCCCATGCAATCAATTAAAAGAGCTAGATTCCGCAACCACACAAAGGAAAACACAGAAAACTATTCTTAGCCTTCGAGGGTTCAAAGAAATGATATAAATACTAATACCACTAGGTACCTCAATAACATCACGATGAGAAAATCTAATTCTTTCATCACAGCAAAACAACTTTTCCCCATCTGACTGCCAAGTTCCGTGGCAGATCAAGATGATGTCTAGCTAAGTATTAGCTGACAATTAGACCGTGACTCGAAGTATGATCTAATCACTTCGTAAAAAGTTCGGTGATGACTCAGATCATGTAGAATCCACCAGATCCTTGAACTATTAAGTGGTGGCTCAGGAGGACTAGACATGATATGTAGTATATGGAAAATGATGTATTAATAAACTAGAATTAATTCGAGAATTATTGATCTACAAAAGTATTATATATATATATATATAATCCTCTTCTACTTGAAACCCCAAATACAATAAGAAATCGTCGAAAAATAAGTTCTTAAGGTTACCTATCCAAGGAGACAACAAATTCGAAGATTGTTATCGCTGAAAGAATCACCATATCAATCACTACTAAAACCCCTGTTCAAATGACGCAGCCAAATCGCGTCCGCGCGCAAAAAAAGTTATCAACGATTGAGATTGAGGGGGGAAAAGATTTAGATTCGAGTACGGAATCACAACCAGAACCACAACTACAATCGCATTCACAATCGCATTCACAATTACAATTACCAACCCCCCCATCCTCCTCCACCCCCACACCCTCACGCTCACCATCTCCCTCCACCCAAACCCGAACTCAAACCCGAACTCCCACCCCAACCCGCAAACAAAAACGGCGCGCCCTCCTCGCCGAATCTTTCGCCCTCTCACTCCACCCCTCCAGTTTCCCAATTCCCGCCCCCGAAAGCGATGGTCCCAGCCTGACAAGCAACCCTATCTCACCACACCATCTAAACCTCCCAACTTCCAACCTCCCACCCACAATGTCCACCCCCACCCGTCTCCTCATCTGTTCCATCGGCAACCCCGCCCCCTACACCAACACTCTCCACTCCGCCGGACACACCATCCTCACTCTCCTCGCCCCCTCGCTCTCCAATCCCCCCTTTCAAAAATCTCGTTCCTATGGAAACGGTCTCCTATCCCCCGGATTTACCTACACGCTGTGGAAATCCAGCTCCTTGATGAACGTTTCCGGGGTGGGGGTCACATCCGCCTGGACGAGTTTCCAGCGGGAATCTTCTTCTGCGGAATGCAAACTTGTTGTGATCCACGATGAGCTGGAATTACCAGCCGGAAGAATAAATGTGAAGCCGGGGAGTAATAGTCCGAAGGGTCATAATGGGTTGAAGAGTATTCGGGATACGTTGCGGGGACAGCCTTATACGCGGATTGGGATAGGCATTGGGAGGCCAGAGAGTAGGGATGCGGGAGTTGTGGCAAACTATGTGTTGAGGAAGATGAGTGCTGAGGAGAAGAGGAAAATTGAGGGGTGTGTGGGAAAAGTCCTTGAGGAGCTGGCGAGGTTGAGTGGAGAGTAGACAGGCCAGAGATCGTTTAAACGGTACTATATAGAATGGTTGAGATGGAATGGTATATTAAAAAAGTATTCATCCGAATTTAGTTCGGTATAAAAATACTTTACGGCATGGCATATTTTGACACGAGATATGGGACGGGAATGGGCTGGTTGCGCTGAACATATTATCCATTGGATTTTGTACATTTCTTGTAACAAAAGAGAAACGCCCGCTGATGCATATGATACCCCTAATAGACTAGATATAGAAAAATAGGAAAAGGAGAACAACTTTCATGGGCTTTTAAAATCTACCTTTTACCAAAATGAAATGACAAACGAAATAAACTACCTAAGCTACTCGAGCCTCGCTGTTCTTCCCTAAAGTGCTTGGGCTCTCTGGCGATTCATCATCGCTCATCAATCCTTCCAATTCAAACTCTTCTGCATCACGAATCTGCCTTGAATCTGTATGAACATGGCCGTTCATCCGTGGAAGACGAGCTGGAGCTCCTTCTCCATCCTTTGGAGGGACTGGAGGTGCGCTGGTGTTGACTGCATAAATATGAACCAACATATTGGTTAATAAGAATATGAGGAAGGCGAAACTGTATAATACAAGGACGTAAGATACGTGGGTGATTCCTGCGTCGGAGATAAGTTTCATTTGTTCTTCGGTAGCTCCCATGAACAAGAAACCAGATGCGTAAAGTAACTGTCATAATTAGCCTAAAGTCTTCGTATTCTAGAGATAGAACTTACAAATGGTGGAACGTATTGGAAACTGTTAGCATCACCGTCCTCGGAGAAGGTAGCCCTATCTTTCAAGAGGAAAGCAATTTCAATAATTCTTGAAAGTCCGGCGGCCATTAAAGTATATCCAAAAACACTGTGGACCATGGTACTGAGTGGGAGATGCTGTGGGTGGCCAGACATAGCCCATCCAGTGATGAAAATGACAAATCCAGGAATGAAGTTTCTCTTTGGCGAACCATCTCTCTTTCTGCTCAACCAGACTCCTGCCAAACCAGCAGTCCACCAAATTACTCCCATGGTAGTGTGTTGGATATCATTTGCGACCCAAGCGCCACCCCATCTATGTTCGGTGAAAGTATTGACACAACCCCAAGCTGCGATAACTGCCGAGTCGAAGAATTCTTGGGATCGTCCGGTTTTTCTCAACCAAACTTGTCCAACCAGCATAACAATCGTAAGTAAGATACCATAACCGATGAATGCACTACCCATGATAAAATGTGCGAGACATTGACCAAGATGATCATCACGACAGAAACCCAAAGCTGCGATTCCACCGAAAAGCATTTGTACCCAAGCCACAACTGGCATTGCCTTTCCAACAATTCCATGACCATGAACCGCGACCTTTCGAATCTTTCCGTGGAAACCTTTCGTGATATGAAATTTGAGGTAGATGCCGAATACAACTTGAACGGCAAGCATAAGCATCAGAATGTTGGCGAACGCTGAGTGAACATTTTTCGCAAAGACTCGTCCTCCATGGAGATGCCCCAAGAAATATCCCGCCACTGCGATAACTGTTCCTAATATCTGCACAGGTACATGCCATCTATTTCGCACAATCTGAAGATACTGTTAGCATACCACGATGTTGACCCTTGTCTTTGTTACATACTCCAAGAACCATTCCGGTCGGAAAGATAATGCCAAAGGCAAACATCTGCAGCAAGATATGAACCCATAATATCGAGTCCTACATAATCACAATTGTTAGCATCGCTCAAGCATCTTCCGAAAGATTGTGATAAACTTACAATAGGTTCAATACTCATAGCATCTCCATCTTGAATCTTCGACATATCTCCTCCGTGTGCGTTCGTTCCTTGTGCAAATAGAGCGATTCCAGAACCGGCCACGAAGGCGAGACGACCACCATTCATGATGGACATATTTGCACCAGCGTTAATAGCTAACGGGCGGGCCCGTGTATTGTCTGAGTGTATAGAGTTGTGGCAAGATGAGCCAGATTTCTATTGCAATAGTTGTTTCGAAACGCGCCGATAGGTCCGAGAGTGTGAGTAGATGCGGCTGCTTATCTCAAAGACAATGAAGTGTTGAGATGATAGGTGACAGTCAAATCATGCGACGAGAATGAAAGAAAAAGAAAAAGAAAAACGAAAAAAGGAGCTAATTAGATTGAAACTTCTTTTCACTCGTAAATGTATATAGATCCGAGATAGACGGCACCGTCGGTAGTTTCAAATCTATATTTCTAATTCCACGATATTAAATTGAGGCTTCGTAACCAATTCGCATCTCGCTGATCATACGATGAGTTTAATTGGTGCGGGTGCTTCGGCTCGTTCATTCAAGATCACGTGAAGAGAATGCACAGCCACAAGTTGTAGACTTTCCCCCTTTTATCAAGACATCGCCCCTCTCGTCTGTGTGAGTGCAGATCAGTCAGAGTAGTTACTTATCTCGCATGAAAGAATGCGATAGTACTGCTGAGGTATGCAGATGCCCTCAATCTGTCAAAATATTTACTCCTAGGGTCACGTAGGGCTCTTTGGCATACCTATATCGGTACACTAATGAACCAGGTAATAAACATACACAGCAAGGAAGCTTACGCAATCATTAGCGGGACAGCACGTTTATTCTACGAAGTCTACAATTGTTCGCAGCCACCTCATACAGGCGATGGGGACATGTTGCAATCGCAATACTAGCCATAGATTTCAACTATGCCCTTTCCTCCTACAACGGCTTGAAGCCATCAGGCTTTCCTGAAATCTTCTTGGAGACTTTCGATCTCTTTCCAGTCATCCTCATTCGACAGTATCCTCCTGTATTTGCACTCATGTCTGGGAGATGGCATGTGGCACGACAACAATCGCGGCATCGGTCTCGCTGTAAATATCATTATCTTCAATGTGATCAGAATCTGGTCTAGGATTACAATACAGATGGATAATCTCGTTGTCGCCAGCTCCAATTCAAGAGAATGAGGGCATTCAAATGGTGTTGTCATGACCCGAGATCTAAAGAGCTAATGGCATCTACACTAATCGTTAAATAGCTAGCGTAAGGCATTGCAAGCATTCTCATTGGTCATCACATGATTCTTTCCTCATCGTACATGCCTCCCTGGGTAATATCTAACTAGTTGTGGGTTAAGTATCAAAATGAGCATCATCGTTATTTACCCAGTACCTATCAAAGCAAGAACAAATCATGATATTAAAACTCTTTGGGAAGCAACTTCCAAATAAAAACTCTAGTTCATCTTCTGACACGATTTCTTTCTCGGCTGAAGATTGTTCAACCATCACTCAAAACCAAAACCAAAACCAAGGTTCTTCATATCACATCAAAGAATTGACCAACTATCCAAGCTCGAATATTCATTCTTGACCATGGCAGCCGCAAGTACTGGTACTGGGCAACCGACTAGTATTGCAACTAAACTTTTCTCAACCCAAGAAAATGTCAGCCTAATCGGTATACCACAGCTAGGATTTGGAGTCTACCAATGCAAAGGACAAAAATGTATCGACGCTGTCACCGCCGCATTGAGAGCTGGTTATAGGCACATTGATACTGCTCAGTAAGAGTCCATTCAGATTATCCCTAGCTTGGCGACCACTAGAAGTCTCTAACAGCTATTATAGATACTATGACAACGAAAAGGAAGTTGGTATCGCCGTCGCAGACTTTATGAAAAAAACCGGCATAGAACGCAAGGAGATATTCATCACAACCAAGATCCTCACACCTGCTGGATCAGTTGAAAAATCTTTTGAGAAATGTCTGAAGAGTATTGAAGCTCTTGACACTGAGAACTGTTACGTTGATTTGTTCCTGATCCACAGCCCAAACTGTGGAGCTGAAGGCCGTTTGGAGATGTGGGATGCCCTCCACAAGCTCTACAGTCTTGGAAAATCCCACATGATTGGAGTTTCGAACTTTGGCATTGGACATATCGAGGAGTTGGAACTTGCCAGGCCTTTTATTTCTCCTCACGTGAATCAGATAGAGGTTTGTGTTTTCAAAGTGGAATATTTGCTGCAATTCTAACGATCTTAGTTGCACCCTTTTTGCCAACAGCGAGTTATAGTTCAATACTGTAAGATCAACGGCATTCATGTTGAAGCTTACTGCCCAGTGGTCAGAAATCAGAGGAGCAATGATCCGGTTCTTCAATCGATCGCAGCTACTCACAATAAAACCGTTGCTCAGGTATTGATACGATATGCTTTGCAAAAAAAATGGATCCCTCTTCCAAAGAGTGAAACTCCATCGAGAATCGCCGAAAACGCCGATGTTTTCGACTTTAACATCTCTGAATCGGATATGCGTCGTTTGGATGCATTGGATGAAGGCAGCGAAGGCTCTATTGTTCAAGCTGTCACAAACAGATGAGGATGATCAGACTACGGTTCATCAGCCGGATAGAATGAATCTGGCGGATAACTTACACTTTGTCACTTTGAGTTCATGCATCCAATGGGGTTTTCAGATATATATTATGCAAAACAACACAGATCAGGAGAATGATTCGCGGAGTTGAACTTTAGGGGACATTCTTAAAAGGCAACTTCTAAGATATGTATTATACCAACGCATTAGTTAGCAAGTTTAAATTCCGAAAATTCAAAGATTCACTTGCTCTTTTTATATTGCTTTACAACGGTCTAATTAATTGTTATGCATCCCACAATTGAAGCAGCCGCAGCGTATGTTGGATTCGTTGGTTGTGATCCTACCTACGGCCTAAGCGCCGAACGAACGACGATGACTAGAAATTCTCGGCCACCAACTTCCATAACCAACTGATACAAACCATTTTGATATTCTCTTGTATTTCTTGAAATAAATTTCCCTTGATTCGCAAAGTTTGTTGATTTAAAAAGCGCTTTCGATGCACTTTTTCATACCGGGAACAAGTACAAGAAATTTACATGTCCATGAAATCTTAAAATCTCCACACATCTTTCCTATGTGCTTCTCATTAGTACAATTGGTCAAGGATCAGTACCAGGACACCGGTGCATCTATTCCCTGACCGACCTGAATCTTAGACCTTGCTTACCTAGATAGTTGTGTCCAACGTTGGTAAGTCATAGTCACTATACAAGCAGCAATTCATCTCAATAATTGTATCATATACTTAACTTCATACTCTCCATTCCATTCCCTTTACCTCAAACCCGGGCGTTTAGACTCACTTCTAAGTTAAACTGTAAAAATTAACAATGTTTCATAGTAGCAAATCCTCGAAAGTTACTCTGCACAAGAAACTCTTTGCACCGGTGTCGATTACTAGTGCTCTGGGATCTGGCTCTTCAACAGAACCTAAAGCAACGATACCGGTTTTGTTGCCAGCGGAACCTTTATTAGAGACAGAAGTGCAAGCGGAAGTACAAATAGAAACACAAGAACAAGATATTGTATCTGTGTCATTAAATTCCGTTTCTTCAATAAGAGAACCTGATTCGGCTTTGCCTTCTGCTGCAATCCCAACCCCGGTTCCCAATACTCATTCAACTATAAATACTGTAGAATCGCAGGATACTCAAGCGGAACACAAAGTTGTTGCAAACAGTATCCAGGTTCTACCTCCTAGTCCTCCTCGATCTCCTTTTTATCCTTCCTCATCTGCTTCCTCCTCATCTCACCAATCCTCACACCAATCCTCAACCCACAGACGAAACATGTCTTCCACATCCACCACAACCACACAGTTCGGCTCTCCACCCCCTTCCTACACACCTTTCGTTACAAATTCTTTCTCTCCTCAAGCCTATCAATATCACGTGCAGAACCAATACGTCCAAGCAAACGGCTATCGATACCCGAATGAAAACATGTACAGCAATGGATTTTCAGCAGGTAATCAGCATGTAAATGCGCCTCTGAATCATCAACTTATTCATAGAACGGGCTTTGCATCTCCGTCGCCTTCTCCGTCTCCGGCTTTGCAACTTCCTGATCTGGTGGATGAGGTGTTGAGATTGAGAGATCGGTTGAATTTGTTGGAGGGGGGTGCTTTGGCTATACCGGGTGAGAGGGGTAGGAGTACGGGAAGAGAAAGGGATAGAAGAGGGGATGTTGAAAATGATGAGGAAAGAAAAAATAAGAAAGAGAAAGAAATAGAAAGGGAAACTAGAGAAGCGAAAGAGAGGTGGGAAGAAATCGAGAGATGCGGATTGGGATATGAGGATTTTTTGGACGAGTTCTTTGGTAATGATTATAGCGATTGGAAGATTGAAAAATTTGATTTTGAGGAGGAGGAGATTGAGGGGGGTCTACAGGTAGAATTGGGAGGGATGAAACTGGTGGATGAGGTTTGTGATGTGGAAGAGAAGAGTGGAGATGAATATGAAGACGAAGAGGAGGAAGAGGAGGAGACTGACAGTGAGGAGGATGAAGATGACGAAAGTGAAAGTGAAGAAGAAGAGAAACCCCCCAAACCCGAAGAGACAATAACCCTCCTCCCATCCGTATTCGTAGACGAACGAACGAAATCTCGTTTACACCCCTCGTACTCATCTTCCTCATCGACATTCTCTGCATATTTTCCCCGCTCTTCCGCTCCCTCAACTCCACAATACAATCAGCAGAAATTTCGAAAAATTCCTCTAAAATCCACACCAGTAGCCCCAGATCCTCCTCGGATTATTCAAAGACAGCCGGATCCATTACTTCCGGAATTCGGTTGTCATTACTTCGTAGACGCTGGTTCGATCCAGAATATAACGGTTATATATCCTGTTACTTCTTTGCCACAGAGTATGGATGATTTGGAAGAGGAGAAGGAGGTTATTAGATGTGTGTTGGAGGGATGGAACAGAGGGAATATTGTAAGTCTTTCTCCAAATATCTACTTCATGTTTTCCTTGTGGACTTGGGATTTTTTTATGTGTGATTCCTGTCGTGCCCACTACTAGTCTTGTACCAACACCGTCAAGAGCACAATTAAAACGAAAGCTAACATGATGTTCTACTAGGATAAATATGGACATCGTCCATCAAAAAGAGCATACGCTGCTATTATCTAGTATGTTGATCCCTTCTCCTCGATCAAACACAAACTAACGTCCCCCCAGCCCCGATCCACAAACCCCCCTCCCACGCAAAAAATTACGCGTAGCACTTTCCTTCACCCCTATATATCCCCCCACCCCATCTTCCAAATCCTCCGTTCCCACAACCCAAACTCCTACAAATCCAGAAGATATAACGACAGATACGTCTATCTACATCAGCACTACGAATGGATGTACTTCCTTTTCACTGAGTAACAATAATGGAGTTATGGATTATACGAAATATAAAGTGAAATATGACAATCAGGATGTGCATGAGAGACACGATGGGATTTTGGAGGTGGGGAGGTTGAGGGGAGCATTGGGGTGCGAAGTATTTGGGAAGAAAGGCGAAGACGGAGAAGGAAAGGGGCAAGAGAGGGGAGGGGGGGATGGCACAGAAAACAAGATAGGAGACGAGGAAGAGTATTGGGAAAACGAAGAGATAAAAGATGAGTGGAAAGATGATAGTCACGACGTAGGATGGGGAGATGGTAAGAAAGACTATGGGTTAGGATTGAAGAATGGGAAAGAGATAGAAGGGGGTTGGATTTGAAGCAACTGAGCCTCATCACCATCCCTATTCTCCTTCTATCCCTGCACAACGTTCCCTGTCCTTTTAGAAGGAGGCAAAAAAAACAAAAAAAAAACATACAACAGTGGGGATTCGCTGGTGGTCACCCACCCAACTACTAATCCACCGATCTGAAGCTTGTGTATGGCAGAGCGGACGGGATGCCCAATTCTCTTCAGTCTATGGTCGTATGTGGGAGACGGTAGCAAAGCTGGTATTATATTGGAGAGTTGAGACAAGAGAATGCAGGACGAGATATTGGGGGGATCACGTTGAGAGTGGGGAGAATGGGGTTGAATGTTTTCTGTTGAGATGGAGTTTGGTATTTTCGGAGCAAATACAGAGTCAGATACAGTAAACGATAAAGGGGGATAGATAAGAAGATGTAATGTTGAAGGTTGCCAATCGCTCCACTTGAGCGAGACGTCCCAGTCCTATTGAATCCAGATTCTGTACCCGCCACACATTTTCTTAATTTGAAAACCTTGAGAATCCACATGTCGTTGTCCCCAATGTAGTCAAAAAGAGCTTTAAGCCATAACTGGACATGCATCTTGTATGCTATGGGGCGATAGTCAAACCCTAAGTATGGCGTCCCTCCTTGAAGAGAACACCATGAAATCGAGCTTTCGAATCCTTCGAGACATTTCTTCTGAATTATGCATCACCCTAAAATCTCTAACTATTCTCCTTCTTTCCTTCAGGTTCCCGTCTGTCAAGAATTTCATCGACAATCCCCATCTCCAACGCCTCCTGCGCACTCAAAAACTTGTCTCTCTCCATCATCTTCTCAATCTCTTCCAGGCTATGTTCCTTCGTCAAATGCCTCTTGTAAATCTCATTCAAGCTCTTTCTAACCCTCAGAATCTCCGTCGCATGAATCGCAATATCCGTAGCTTGACCCGAATATCCTCCACTAGGTTGATGTATCATAATCGAACTATGCGGTAAACAGAATCTTTTTCCTGGTTCTCCTCCGCACAGAAGAAGCGAACCCATGGATGCGGCTTGACCGACGCAGACAGTGGAAACGGGCGATTTGATATAGGTCATTGTGTCGTAGATGGCGAGACCGGCGGTGACGGATCCGCCTGGGGAGTTTATGTATAGAGTGATGGCTTTTTCTGGGGCGTCGGATTCGAGGTAAAGGAGTTGGGCTACAACGGCCGCCGAAAGAGATGAATTTACCTCGCCATTTAGACAAATAATTCGCTCCTATTCTTTATCAGTAACGTATCCTATCAACAAAGATCAAAGCATCAGCACGAGGGAAACACACTTGTAAAAGCTTAGAAAATATATCCGCTGATCCTCTTGTCGTCAGTACTTTATAATTCCCAAACTAAATCCGTCGTAAATATACATACAAGTACGCCATCCACCTCCCTGTCTCATTAGCACATATTCGCAAATTTATAGGGTTCTATATCCTGCTCACAATCGTCTCTGTGATGTATGGTACGGGTGTCCATGATTTATTTGGTTCGGATTGCGATGGTAAAGAAGAAATAGATCTAATTCCTGCGAAGACAGCCTTGCGCGCTGCATGCGATCGGAATACCCGTGTTGCGAGCATCTCGAAGTATGATTGATGATGTGACGTCTGTAGGAGTAGTGGGGGTGATGTACCTAGATAGTGAAGCTTGGTTGGGAGACGCGATTGTCGCGTTTTCGCTTGAGCTTTGATTGATTGATTTTGACGAACATCTTTAATTTATACCCCTCCAATTTTTTGGGTTTGTTGACGACAGTGATATGTGGTATGAAGGGATGCAGAATATTTCATGGCAGAAGTGCTGGAAGGTACTTGAAATATTCTAATTCGAATTATTCTACATCGGCTTCAACATCAATTGCGAACGCCAAAAACTTCAAAAATATTACTTCTAGCTCTGCGGCCAAAGATGATTCGAGTCAGGGAGACAATGCTGATGGCATTCAAACTACGACTGTAGACGGAGGAGAAGGGCGAAAGAATGCATATGAGAAATGGACCAAGCGACGAGAGTTACCTCTTTCACCACTCATGGATCCCTTATTTCAAGAAGCCCGAACCAAGCATTCAGCTCCCAAGCCGCAACCGAAGAAAGAAGGCCGAACAGCTTTCCAAGAGCAACTTGCCAAAAATCCTTATGGTATTATTGCTTTTAATTCTCTATAGTGCTCAGTACTAACACGCCCTCAGCTCTCGCCCTCGCAACTCCCGTCCGTCAATGTACCGCAACACAACTCTCGCTCCCTAGTTTCTTTCTCCAAGACTTCACAATAATGGCACATCCCACCACATCTGCTCCCTGGCACGTTCCTCGAAGTCTCTCTCCCCATATATCTAAAGTCGAATCCTCCGAGCAAGACACTTTTCACACCCCCTCACTAGGATCCACCACCTACGTAGCCATGCGCCAACCCCTCCTTCAGTCCTTTTTCAAGACAAAATCTGGATACACGGGGGTGTACAAAAAATTTGGACTCATGCAGGCGAAGAGTACAGCGAGGAAACATGTTGTGCTACAAGCGACTTGGAGACCGGATATGGATACCTTTTTACTGGAATTGATGAGGAGGAGGACGGCGGAATTATTGGAGTATTTGTGTGGGAAGAAGAGTTACATACACAAATGTGCGAATTGGAAAGAAGTGGAATTTAGTGAACAGACTGGCTGTGTTTTGTGGATGGGACAGAAGCTTGCTTCGAGGGAAGAAGGGGAGCAGGGACGGGAACAAGAGCAAGAGCAAGAAGTTCCTCCTGGAGAATTCGAAACTAAGAGGATCGGACCTGGAGGAAGGAAAGTTGTGCCTGTGTTTAATTTGAGGATAATGATGGGTAAACAGTGGATTGAGAAGATCAGAGAGGGGAACCACATATTTGGGAATCAGATCTTGGTTGTCAAACATAAGAATGCGACCAAAGAGATACAGATGAAACTATGGAAGTTGCAGGGTTATGTTGCTACGTATGGAGGGATGCCGGACGGAGATGTAAAAATGCCTACGAAGGCTACGCAGTCGACGAGGATCAGAACCAGGTCGACAAATATCGCCGACTCCGAACCTAGGAAAATCTCTAAAGTTCTACGTTAAACCTGAAAGGGCCTGAAACGGCCTGAGAGGCGAAAATAAATATATCAAATTAGATTATAACCATGGCGTGATATCGTAACGACTTTCCTAACATCCCAAAAAACGCCATTAAATCTCCGTTAAAGTGTCATAGATCACAACTTCGATTGCCCCGCTTTAGTAGCATCCTCATCACATCTAGCCAGAATCCAATCCCCAACGTCCTTAGCGAAAACCTCGCGGTTATCCGGCAGATCCGCATGCAATTGATGGAACCATCCCTCATATCTCTTGAACTCCTTATCCTTCAAACTCGTTTGCTCATTGAACCACTTCTCACTTCCCTCGAAACTCGTCCCTTTATCCTCCGTCCCATGCCCTAACCACAAGCTTTTGACCCCAGGATTTAATTTCGTCTTTCCCTGGTTCATCGCAGCAGTTCTATCCAACATACCAGCTAATCCCTCTAGTGTTCCCGTGTTGTGCATCAGGGTATCCTCATTGATCGACTTGATAACCTCGGGATCTCTGGTAAGATTCTCAGGTGGAAGTTTATTCACCATTTGTTTATGTGGTAGAAACTTGCCTGCCAATCGTCCAAAAAATACGGTAAGAAAACTCGGTTCAAAGCCCTTTGGAAAGGCAATGAAAGGACTCTCCAAAATAAAGCCTCGGATGCTATTCATCAATTCCGCATATTGTGGATCACTAGCCAACGTAATAACCTCACCACCACCCATCGAATGACCCATTAAAAAGACTGGAACTGGAGAAGGCAATTGTGTCTTAATAAACGAAACGATGTCAGAGATGACCAAAGAAGTTGGACCCGTGAGACCTTTTTCGGAGGGCTTGGTGACGCTACGTCCCCATCCTCTTTGATCGAAAGCGTGTACTTCAATTCCGCGTGAGGCGAGTGTGGGGAATAGGATATAGTAACGATTTACGTGGTCGGAGAAACCATGGATGAAAATCAGTTTGGCTACAGGAGGAGCATTAGGCTGGAGGTTAAGTTAGTTTGTATTGAGAATGAGCTGAGGAAGGGAGGGGTCAACGGACTTTCCAGGTTTTGGTATAGAGGGATTGAGAACCAATCTTATGAGTTCCTTCAATTTCTGTATACATCTTCGAATGAGTACTTGAGGTGTCAATTTCAAAGGTAGATTCGAATCAATTTATTGATATGTTGTTGAGATGATGTGAAGCAAGATGAAAGACACCTTCGGCTTTCAGGTGGTAGCTAGCTGAGACCCTTGTAAACCATGCGGCCGCTAGCGTGGACTCAGAAGGTTGCATGTGAAAAGCGGGAGCCATCGATATCAAAATCTTTAAAATCAAACATCAAATTACTTTTAAAAATCACGATGTTGACAACTCAGCGTACCATATCCTCTGGTACTAGGAGAATAAGTCCCTACAAAACAATATGCTCACCATGTAGTCATCGGTCTTTCACTCAAAAATCAGTCAAAGGTAGGAAAAATATCCTTTATTTCCAGTTTTCACAACTTTACTGATTTTTTCGATTTTTTTGAAAAGTCAATGACATTGTTCTATTGAAGCCGGAAACGAATCCAAACGCTTTACCTACTTTGTCAAAGCCTCTACATCCAGGTGATCTTCTTGTATTCAGGGATCACAGAAAAGTCAAGGCAGAGGATGTTATTGGAAAACCATATAGGTCTGTAGTGGCAGGTGGTAGAAGAGCATTATTTCGCATATATGAACCTACTCTTGGTGAATACTGTGATAATGCTCCAAGGATTGTGACACCTGTAGGTTCTTTTGTTTGGAAATTTATGATGCAATGGCTAATTTTGATAGATCTATTCTTCAGATGCAAGCTTGATTGTTTCTTTACTGGACCTCAATTTTGCGGCAGTACCATCGAGACAATATGAAAATGCTACAAGGAGTGAGAAGTTCCATCTCTCTCTCTATAGGCCACTTAACGCATCTGTTGTTTCGCAAGATGAAGATGATTGGAAGCCGGCAACGTCTCCTGAGAGCAAAAATCTGGATTATACAGATATTCCAGGGAGTTCCTTAATCTCTTCCAACAGTTCATCCTTCTCTAGAGATCCGACGGAACTTACAGACGCAGAAGAATCCGGATTTTTGGATTTCGTGGAACAAAGCAATGAAACACTGGAGATTTTCGAGGCTGGTACCGGTGCCGGCTCATTGACTTTGCATCTTGCTCGAGCGATCCACGGAGCGAACACAAGGGCTCCGCCAATACCGAGACATCTTAGAACAGGGGGCAAGGTTACTCCAGATGGCGATATCTACCGAATCGGAGGCAAGTTTAACAAGAGAGATGCGAAATTTACTGATTTATACAATGAATGGCGTTCACAGCGACGAGCTGTGATTCATAGCTTAGATGCGGATGAACACCACTCGAGACATGCACAAAGAACTGTCAGAAATTACCGTCATGGAATTTATTACCCCCACATCGATTTTCATGTTGGTAGTATTCATGATTACCTTTCAAAACGTTTGGAAGAGACTAAAGGTGTCTTCCTCGATCACGCCATCTTAGATATACCCGGTATACAAGACGAAATGGAAATCGTGGGAAAATGCATCAAACCTGATGGGCGTTTAATCACATGGTGCCCTAGTATCACACAGCATATGAAGTGTCTGGAAGCTGTGAAAGGGAAGAAATTGCCTTTCGTGTTGGATCGGGTGTTAGAACTGGGATCGCAACTTAGTACAGGAGGGCGAGAATGGGAAGTGAGATCAGTAAAGCCTCGAGCATTGATCAAAGCCGAGAAGAAAGCCAAAGCTGAGGAAATGGAGAGAGAGGACAGACTCAAAACTGCCCTTCCCGTTAATGAGTGGCTCACTAAGATTTCAAGCAAAGAGGTGGATGAGGTGACCAGTGAAGATGTAGAAACATCTGAGTCTGAAAGTGTTGCTGTTCAAGAAAGTACAGGAGAAGCTAGCGATCTCACTGATATGTCAGGATGGGAAATGATATGTAGACCTAAAGTTGGAGATAGAATAACGGGTGGAGGATTTGTTGGAGTCTGGAAGAAGATGGATATGGATGTTTGACAAACTTTGTAATATGTAACTTCTCTGTATCCATGTATCAAGATATAGGTATGTATATATAAAAACCAAAAATTTACTACAACAAATCTCGTTTCACTATCATTGTGGAACAGCCGCTCCCGCTTCCTATGCATTCGTCTCGTGTTAAGGAAAGTTATTGAGTTTGTCAGGTTAAGGGTACGGGACACTAACGACTAATTAGGATTAGCGTTGCTTATACCCCAGATCTTCAAAGAACTTACCCATGAATAGACCAACGATGCAATCATCAAAGTCTCCCTTGATTTTTTTTCTATCCGCTTCCCCCTTTTTTGTTTATTATAGTGTGAGTCTTGCAATTGGAAGACCTACCAATCGAGATTGAAATGACCTATCAATAACTTCACGGATGGGACACCTAAATCATTCCATCAAGACAAGCTTACCGAACTGCGTGAGCTAGAAGCCGTTTGCGCATAGGTCAATAGAACCACAGCTTGTTAAGATGACGAGAAGAATCGTAGGTATACCTTCTAAAGTTTTTATATCTCCTACTCATCTTACTCCAAACAGGTTCGCACAGCGACGCAACTCGGGGCGCTTGCTCTATTTACCATAATCGTTCTGTGGTTCCTGGACAATCGATACCGAGTTCTACCTTCTGCGCTTCATGATTATATGCCAGCACATCATCCGGGCCTAGTGATCACAGATATAACTGTCACGAAATGCTCGAAAATCAATCTTTTCACAAGCTGCAAGCTGGATTCGGATAAATGGCATCGTATCGAGAAGGACTTGTATTTGGGACAGGGTTGGGTGAATAGCGCTTATATGCATGTGCAAAGGAAGAAAGAAGAGGAACTTACATCGGAAGACAAGGTTGTTATGGATGTTAGCGTTGGGAGGCTGGATCCAGCGACTGCGACGAAAGGCGAGGGCGATGAGAGATGGGAATCAAGACCTGCTGGATTATGGCTGAAAAGATCTGCAAAGCGCCACGCGAGTGATTCGAATAAGGCAGTTACTTCTGTTGATGTGTTATTTGGAGCAGATGCTGTGGATCCAAGAGATGGATGGGAGATGACTGGTACACCATTATTGTTGGATTCTTCCGGGGAGGTCCAAGAGGCCAGACTTAGCATACGAAGAGGCAAGCTCATAATGCCAACCAAACCAACGCCTCGTATAAGGGATAATGGGAAATTCAAGATCCTACAAGCAGCGGATTTGCATCTGAGTACAGGAACTGGACATTGTAGAGATGCAATGCCTGAAGATGGTGGTAAATGTGAAGCTGATCCTAGAACATTGGAATTCGTTGGAAGATTACTTGATGAAGAAAAGCCCGATTTGATTATTCTTAGTGGTGACCAAATTAATGGAGAGACGGCACCGGATGCACAGAGCGTAAGAATGCCCTTACAAAGTTTAACTATTCATCGTCTAACAGATTTAGGCCATTTTCAAATATGCTGAATTGTTTATTAAACGCAAAATCCCATTTGCAACAATTTTTGGTAATCATGATGATGAGGGATCTTTACCACGAGCTCAACAGATGGCATTGATCGAGTCTTTGCCGTACTCATTATCAGAAGCTGGTCCAGAAGAACTCGAAGGGGTAGGAAACTACATGGTTGAAGTTCTTGCCCAGGGTGGCTCCAAGCATTCTGCTTTGACAATTTACTTGTTGGATACACATTCTTATTCACCAGATGAGAGATCATTTAAGGGGTATGATTGGCTGAAAAAGAACCAGATTGATTGGTTCAAGCAAACTGCTTCGAGCCTAAAAAAATCCCACGAAGGATATTCTCATATTCATATGGATCTAGCCTTTATTCATATACCGCTTCCTGAGTATAGGGATGATACCCTTTATAAAGAGGGTGCGTGGAGAGAAGGCGTCACTGCTCCTGGGTTCAATTCTGGATTCCGAGATGCGCTTGTAGAACAGGGTGTCGTAATGGTTAGCTGTGGACAGTAAGTATCAAATCCCCTGCCTACTAGACTGTGCTGATTAGACATTCAGTGATCATGCAAATGAATACTGCTCTCTTTCTCGAAAGGATGATGAAAGTCCTGCTCTTTGGATGTGTTATGGTGGTGGTGCAGGATTTGGAGGTTATGGAGGGTATGGAGGCTATCATCGCCGAATCCGTCTTTTCGAAATCGATATGAATGAGGCTAAGATAGTTACCTACAAACGCCTCGAGTATGGAGATACAGAGAAGCGAATCGATGAACAGATCATAGTTGAAGGGGGGAAACCGGTAGCTCCATCTACATGATACATATGGGTAATTGGGCATAGGCAACAGGTGTTGGGGAATCAAAAGTTCTACAAGGAGCATTTTTTTCACAAGGAAACGGCCAGGCATTTGCATTCGGGGTCTTCGCAATCAGGGTTTCCTACTTTTCGTTGTGCGTCAAATGCTTCACTACACTATCCAAGTCAGATAGTGCTTATTGTATGCAGTCGTGTATAATCTATACCATTTCTCTTCTCGCAAAAAGTGCGGCGTGGACTAGGCGATTCCTAATTCGCCCCACGAATACAATTTCCTGTACTTCACTCAATGCCACATTTCATCACATGGATTTCCAGCAAAATTTCCTACAACGGTGTTTACGATCATGTTCATTTTTATCCTCATAAAACCAAGAAAATCATCTCTGACATTTTCTACTTCCAAAGGGATTTATCGAATTCTCGTGTTTTCATACCAGGGTATATTTCTAGCAATATCCAATAACATTCAATATTGAAATCAAAAGAAGATACTGAATTTGATATGGAAGTCGATAATATTCATTAAGAATATATAATATGAACGTGTATGAAGTATGCATCACTGGAACGGGACGTATTTGAAATATCTCGCACACCACTCTCATCACTAGAACAGGGAAAATATGCGATTCTCATCTTCTCCCTATCAGCTCACCAACGCGATACGAACATCGTTCCACGCTCCTTGTTTGGCATCTTACGCGTTATCACCTGTCTTGTTAATTGATAAAGGCGTTCTCTTTTTAGGTTTGGAAAGCTGGAGTGTAACAAAACGCTATAGGTCTATGTAGATCGTGACCACTAGCGAGCGCACTGATGAAAGGGATACGCTCCTCAACCTTTCAAATACTTCCATAAATCCAACATCCAATTGATTCATCTTAGAATACGCATCTTCATTGCTCAACCTGCTGGAATACACTTTCTCACAATTGGAGAAATATTCAAGTCAGTATTCATAAAGATATCCTTGTGTTCAGTTCTTGTGATGTATCTCTGTTCTATCAGTCCGTGCATCGAGCTCATTCGTCGTAGCTTCCTCGGCTTCTTCCCTCCCTCGAGCCTCCTCGAGCTACCTAGTATCTATTTAGCTCTCGAAGCTATTGTAGTACCCCGCACTTGAGTGAACTTACATCAAGTAGATACCTCCCACTCACCTCTTTACTTGAACATTCTTCCACCATTGGAATCTTACTCCCATCACAAATCGATCAACCACTTTATAACGCAAATCAATCTCAAGATGTTAAAACGTCCTGCTGCTGTCGGCATGTCTTCATCCATGGGTCTTGCCAAGAAGCAACGTAGAACGAAGCCGGTTGTCAAAGATTATCCCCTAGACTGTTACTCCATGACACCTTCGCTTAAAAGGATCTAATTGACCAATCAGATCATCAGGATTTTGAGAATTCTTATTATTTTGATACGTTTTTTTATAATAATGATTTAACACTTATAATTTTAATAAAAACAAATAATACATTTTTAAAATCTTTATATAATCTTTTATTTATTCTTTCTTTTTTTAATAAATATTGAATTTTTGATTTGATATATATTTTTTTGATATAAATTGTATAAAAATTGTATACAAATTTCTCTTATTTTCAAAGGTGAAATATAATAATATTTATAAAATCTTGGAATTATTATTTCACAATTAAAAAATAATAGACATATAATTGATATATTTAATATGATTTTTTTCAATAAATTCTGATCTTCAAATATAATATCAAAACTTTTATATATAATATTATTTATAAGGTTATTATTGTTCTTGCTCAGTGCACGGACCACAAAGGTGTTATGGAGTGACAGTCTAGGGGATATGTCACTCAGCAAGGATGATTTGATTTCCAAAAAAAATCATTTAGAAGTTGTGCAGCTTTTGATGGATCTCAGAGGTGCTTATCAACAGCTGCAAGTTGAATATCGAGAAACAAAACAAGATTTGATAGATAAGGAAGATGAGGCTGAAGAATATTCTGAAGAACTTGAAAACCTGAAATATGAACTACCGGACATAGATCAATTGGAGGTTAAGATTGCCAAAAATGGGAAACTCATCGACATCCTAATCAAGGACAACGAGCATTATAAGGAAACTTGTTACGATTACAAGAAAGAAAATGACGAGCTTAAGATTCTGAACGAAGAGAATGCTAGGAAGATCACACGGCTCGAGGCGCAAATTGCGAAAGTAGCAGCTAAGCCAAGAAAGAATACTGCTGCTGCAAAACAAAATTCTTTCGATGTAAGACAGCAGGCAGAACAAATACAGGAAGTTATGCGCAGTGCTATTAGAGCACAAATCAAATGGGCGTATGTGTTGAAATCCTCTATCTTCTAACCTTCCTGATTTTTTCCCCTCTTAATATCACTCCCATCATTGTCTATACCTTCTAAATTTCCTTCTCATGCAACAAAATTTCATCATCTATTGTCTCTTATGACGTCGAGCCTGCAGAAACTAAACTCACTCTCATTTCTATCAGAACAAGTTGCAAGACTTCCGGAAAACGCTGGTCTTATACTTGCATAGTTCCATCTGCAGATGTCTTCTATACCCTTTTTAATATGGACGCTGCGGCGGAGCTCGGAGCAAAGAAACAGTGGAAGCAAAAGAAGATTAGTATAAATGACTTCAGAGATATCGTTGGTAAATGCTTTGTCAATGTAGGTTTTCTTTTCTATCACACTTCATTTCATTTGGTCTTGGATGGTAGCATAAGGAACGGAATGTTGGATTCACACTCTGGGAGCATCAATCATTTTGAGGTTCCGATCAAACCCTAACAACGAATTACAGATTCGATACAACTCCTTGGAGCTAGTTGGCAAAGATGTCATTTTGAGATGGGATGCTGGAGCAAACAGCTTTACTGTGAGTGGGAAATACGGTGTTTCAGCCATGGCCTACCTAGAGTGAACTTCTAGTTTCTAGATTCTCTTGGGGGTTTTTGATGCTGAGGGAGGGCGGATGTCACTGGAAACTTTGATTTGTTTATGCAGATCGTAAGCTCGGATTTGAGTTATACGTTTCAAGTTATTATAAATGTTACTACGATTGTAAGAATAGAAAGAACGCACTTTCTGAAGACTGTTGCTTGGTATTATGTACACGATATTGCAGCAATTTGTGAGCAACCCATTATCTGAGGGGAAACGTTCCTGAAGCATGGTGTTGAAATAATCAAGTTCGAATTCAGTAAAAATTACACCATTTGACGTTCCAGGGTTTAAAGACATGTCGACGTTACCCATCTTAGTTTCTATCCGGTATTAATACCATTGCTCCCCATTTCCTGAGGCTTGTCTAGACTTTTTTGATAACTCCCGAGGTCCTCAACTTCAATTCTTCAGATTAAAAGATACATTCACTTGAATCTGACAAGTTAGTTTGACTACCTACTCACGATAAGAAATCGGTAGATGAGGTTAACGATTTAAACTCTGTAACAGTCATATATACGCTGTGAACATAATCCAACATTCGATATATATTGCTATCTATCTATATCTCACTTATTTTGCATTCCAATGGAAAGAACTTCAATGATCTTTTTTACTCATCCGCATTTAATGCTGCAAATCTAGATATGTCAAGACATACATGTACAATCGTGTCTTCTTTAATGAATATATATACCTAACATCGTAAATCCCATTACGTCTCCAATAATCAATAATAAGATTGAGAAATAATGAAGTGGAAGTGATAGTTCTGCAGGTAAGCAAGATGAGAAGTCGATAAGCTTTATGATATCACATGTGGAATGATTAATATGAATACTGTTAGTTCTTACCATTCTTTCATGGCGTAGTTTAGATAATTCTGAGCGTGAAGGGGTTTGTTCTCTGCAAATATTCTTTGTGGACTGGATACTGCTATTACCGCCGATATTCAAGTTATATATATGCTGTGCAGTTGAGATGTCCGATGACTTGCGATACACGTGAGATCTCAGATCTCATATGATAGACGAATAATGAAAGACTGCACAAACTTATGGTTATGGCTTGGAGATACGATCTAGGAAAGCTTTAGAAATCTATATCCAAGACTGCTTAAATCTCACTTCAATTACCAACCGGACGGTTTGGACTTTTTCTTAACTCGCAGTGCTGTGTGATACGATGGTGCTATATAAAAGAGATACTTGTGCTGATCTACTTGTAAATGCTATGGAGTGGAGTATACCAAAGTTTCAATAATTCCCAGCACCAAGAAGACTTTCAGTCACAAGCCGCTGTACAGTGATATATCAAGAGATGTGACTGTTTGAGATGACATGGTTTTCACTGTGTTTAAAGGCTCCAAAAAAGGCGGGATGACAGTCTGAGACGACTTGTCCAGTATTGAGTGGGATGAAGTATTGAGTATCATCTCTGTATCTAGTATCTGCGGTGGTAGTTTAGTGTTCAAGAATAACGATGCAACTGCGCTCAGTATCCAACCTTAATTTAACTATCTAGATAATATGTAAGATGGTTCTTAGCCATGAGATTGTGGGTGTGGTAGTCAAAGCCGGGCCCGATGTTCAAAATCTCGAGAATGATGAACGTGTAGCATGGACACTTATTCAAGATACTTGTGGAAGATATAAATAGTGTGCTTGTGGGGCAGATATTTTTTGTCCGGAGAGAAAGATGTATAATCATTCGGCCTTGTAACGGGGGAGTTTAGCGAATGGGATTGTGAAGATGGAGGGTCGAATATTTGAGGTTCTGGAAGAGGTTTCTGATGAGGAAGACGTTTCGCTAATAGTATATTAGGTTCTATTAGCATTTTGCTTCAAGTATAGGCGTTGAAGTACTTGCCTTCTCAGCCACCGAATGCATAGAATCTGATCCCCTCTTTTTCGGTATCAGTGCCAAATTCAACATAACACTTCAACAGCTAGAAGTTTCAATATTTATGGGTCACTTGATATACTCATTATAACTACTCCCACCCTTCTAGACTGGAGTATCTACCTCCCATTCCCAGCACCTAAAGCCAAGATCTTCGCTCTCGCGATTGGTCTTTGTGAGGATTCATAATAAGTCCACTAAATCACTTACTAATATCTTATCAAATAAGGAATACATTGATGATTAATACACATATGATATAATCTTATATTATAAAATCATATTATCATATAATTGTATAATAATATCTTTTATCAAATTGATTTATAATGGAATAGAATGAAATGGAATTAGATAAAAGTATATAGAAAATCTCGTTAAATTGATTAATTGTATTTTCTTTTTATTATCTAAAGTGATTTTATAAGATACAATTTAAATCGATCTTATTTATAAGTATAGAATATACTGGAATTTCATTATAAACTATATAAACCTAGAATATTCTTTAAAGAAAATCTAGGAAAAAGCAAGCAATTTCATCTCAACTCAGCCTAGCTCTTCTAAATTGATTTCAATTCAATTCTTATTCTATATATTCGATTTATCCCTCAAGCTTAAACTGACTAGATCTTTCACTATCCTTATAATAATACTATTCCTTCTTATTATAAGAGCTAACCTCCAAGAGTCTTGAAATCTTATGCTTCCTAACATGCTACTATTTTCGAATAGTATTAAGATGCAGAGAAGTGTGTTGGCGCCTTCGAATGCGCATAGAAGAATGCTGGCTTTTGCGACGGCGAATGGGTGAAGCTTATGGTGCGGAAGTTCATGATGACTCGGGAGGGTATTGGAGGGCTGCTTGGGGTATTGAAGAGGAGTAGATGAGTTATTGGAAGGTTGTGTGAATAGGTTTTAGATCTTTCGAAAGATATTGTAAATTTGAATAGGATTGATACTGAAGAAGTCTCTGGAGACGAAGAATTCCTCTAGATGTCGCGCTCGGTTGGATTGGCTGATTGAAGGGATTAGTGCTATGACTGCCCCCATTTGATATGATGTGCAGTTAAATCTCTCTTTACTTGCTTTAGATGTGATATATTAACGTTGCCGCGCCTTTCTCCCAAATGATATTTGCCATTCTCATCCGCCATCTGCGACAAACTTGAAATTCTGTAGCCTCTAGTTACTGCCCAGGCTCCAGTACGTCGTATGTAATGAGCAAAATATCGATTAGACGATGTATTGAGTAAAAAGGCCTGATGATAAGATGATCTTATATTCCCCTAGACCTCTACCTCTATCGCCTTTTGTAACGTCCGATATAGCACCTCGTGTGAATATACTCTGCATATAGTTTGGAGACGTTCACTGGAAGAATCTAAAGTGGTAGACTGAGTCGGTATAGGTGTAGAGGGGGTGCTGAAACTGCTAGACAGACAAAGGGGATGTTGATGAGAAGACTGGGTATGGATCGTCTTGGTAATGAGTCTTCGATGGAGAATAAGGCTGCGAAAATGACGCTGGAGAAAAGATTAAGAAAAAAAGCAGGAAGAGAGAGAGAGAGGTCGATAGCTGCGGGTTCGATCTTGTTTGGGTTGATAGGATGGGTGTGGATACGAGATGTGTGGCTATCGAGGGCTTTGTGAGATTGGAATGGAACTTGATATTAAAGGTACGATTGCAACCATGAGAAGGAGGTATAAAGTTTTTCAAGAGATGATTTTTTGAAGTAGTAGACGTTTTAGGTTTCAAGGTCTGGTTGGGCAATGACAGGGATAAGTGGAATGAGAAAGTTTCCAGTATCAAACGTGGAAGGAGCGTACAGTAATGGAATCTAGAAGGAATGATAAAGTTATGGAGCCGTGATTAGAAACTTCATGTACCTAGATATATATATATATATATAACTACTACTTCCTGCTTAGCATCAATTATTCAACAGTCAAAGCATCACATGAATATCACAAGATCAAAGCGTCACTTTTAGCGAAACATCATCCGTCCATGAAGGGGAATTCTTTTGCGAGAAGATCGTCTACGAATGCATTCGACACATTTCTTGTCTACTGAATAGCAATTTCTCGATTTGTACTATCCCCTTCACCCCCCACCGAAGCTTGGATTTGGCCGGATCTGGAAACCTCAACCGCAGAGATAAATTTAGGTTTTCGCGAATATGCCAATTCAAAAGGGAATTCCTATGCGTATATATTTAGCTCCCGTGTACTCTTCCATTCTTTTCATATCATTCGTATCATCTCGACAGCAAGAAAAATTCGTTTCAATCATACAATCATAGGTGAGATACATTTTATTGTCATTCTAGCAGATTTGAAACTCAACAATCCAGTAACTTCCAGCCACCATCTTACAAAAGCAATCATGACAACCATTCGACTTCAGACCAAGGCGATGAAGGCCACACGGGCCAGAAATGAGAGAGCTCGACGCCGTAACCCAGCCTCTGTTCAAGCTGCTTTCGGTGGTGGTAGACGAAGGAAAAGCGCTTCTCGAGCCCATTGTTTCGCAGCATTCAAGCGAAAGACCTAATAGAAGAACACAAACAGAGACACCATTGGAAAGAGAGGTCCAGCGCCACGAGAACGAGACTACTGCCGTAAAATCTTCTAATGGACATGCAGCTGACGACAATTCTTCTCCTTCTACTTTGGCTCATACAGATGAAATGCGAATAGAAGCGCCATCATCGGAAAACATCTTGGAGCACATTCCCCCCGCTAATCTTGCTACACCTTCGATTTCGATACAAGCTGTATTCATCGGTCTATAGTTGAAGTCCACCTCTTCTTCAATCAACACAAACAAAAATGACAACGCCAAAGCCAACGAAGATAATAAGATCATGAATCGCATCCGACCTAAGAAAGCTATCGCCGCTACTAAAGCTGTTCCCGCCGCCGAACCAAAGAAGTACAAGATTCGAATCTCAGGAACCAAGAAAGCCAATGCTTCAGCTCAAACAATCTCTGCGGCAAAGGTGAAGGTTGAAGAGAATGAGTCTGATGCTGATGATGCTGCCGCTGGTGTTTTTCTGGCCCGAGTATCGTCATATAAGCCAACCCGGTTGAGATTCACTCTGGTAAGCCGGCAGTCATACTTTGAAGACAAGAAGGGAGATGGAATGGAGATGGAATAGGAGAAGTTGTACCATGTCGAGGGTGGAATAACACAAATAAGTGTACTTTTATGCATCTTGGGAACATACTACAGCGATATCGGAAGAAGCATTGGATATATCTATTTGATTCTTCATTATTTGGCCCTGGATCTTTTAAGACGGTCATACAGCTAGATAATCGAATAGATTCATTTTTTCCACTGATATGCGTACTTTGTACACCATGTCTATGATCATTGTGACAGTAAATTGACAATATAATACTACAATATTCAGTTCTGCGCAACCACTGGATGCCAAGTTCCAATATTTGTAATTTTCCAAAGAGCTAGATATAACATAGATGCCCTTCTTCACTAATCTTTGCGCTCTCAAAACAATGTATATAATTGTGACAGTAACCTGATGATGGAATATGGAATTATGCATTTCTTGCACAATTAACTTAATGTCAGTTTTCAATACTTAGAACGAGAAAGTACATGTATATCCCCTTTGATGACTCCTTCCAAGATAATGCAGCACAAATGATCTCATGATTTCCTCCTAGACACAGATGGCTTCTGACTAGCGTGTGCCAATTCCTCGCCCAAGACTCTGCAAACTTCACGCTAGACTGAGCAAGTAATTATCATTGATCAAACTGAATAGTTAAATGTTTTCACTTTTGGAATCTTCCCTCCTTTCCTTCAAAATATCACCATCTCAAGAATCCCATCTCGCTGAAAAGAACGTAATCTAATAAATATTTCGAAACCTCAAGAGCTCAATACAAAGGTAAGCTACTAATCGTACAACCCGTGTTTCTCCCATAACAGTTTCGCTCATCTGATTTCTCACAGCACAACATCCAGCCACAAATCGACATCTTTCATCCACTCATTCTCGACAAAACACGAAACAATGGCACGAATCGAACTACCACCACGTCCTAAGTTCGTACGGGGAGACCTCATTGCCCGGATGGCGCCCGCTGTAACATCATCCCTAGCTCCAAAGCAAAGGACATCCTCCAAGAGACCTCACAAGCGCAGAAAGGGTAAGACTTTGATCACAAGGGCAGTTGACAAACTCGCTGCCGTTCTCAAAAAGCCACAGTCTACAAATCTTGAGAAGGCCGAGGCATGTTTCAAAGTCACGCATGCAAAGAGGAAAGCGTACGAACAGGAAGAAGAGGGCAGGGGAAAATGTGAAGCCGCTGCTGCAAGGAAGCTCGAGGCTCGACTTGGCAAGACCTTTCATGAGGACAAAATGAATGAGTACCTTGTCGCAGCGGGAGAAGAGCATAATGGGGCGTCTGAAATCTACTGTGGAGTTCCTAACCATCCAGACTTCTTTCAGACGCAATATTTTAAGATAGAGGAATACTGGAATGAATACCCTGCAGGCTGGGTGGGTGCATATATTGTTTACAAGTATGATATGCCAGGTAATCCTATCAGATTTGCGTTGGAAGATGGAACTCCAGTTAAGATTGCACTTTTAGGTGGTTATCATTTTAATACAGGTTAGAGGTCAAAGAGGATCTCTTTCTTGCATTTTGGCAAACATATTTTTCTTGTATATACTAGGATCAATGTAGCGATGAGCGCAGACTTCATGACCATACACTCTATAATGTAATGAGTCATTCATACATGATTGCTCTTGTATTTGGTGAAAATTGATCGTCTGTTAAGATAACCAATAACATCATACCTCGTACAAGCACCCACCCAGATCATTGCAGCTATAGCCACGGCTTATCGCACAATTTTAAGCTTTCGAAATGGCCGACATTCCGGCGTTGAAAACATATTACGCAACCACCAATTATGAATCTCGACCTCTCTTTCCTCATTTCATTGGGTCGAGATCAGAGCAAAACTTCACATGATACATAATCTCGCTCGCTTAACCACATCCAACTCGCGTAAATTACCCCAAAAAAGGCCATGGTGTCGGAGATGTATTGAGTCTGTAACTTCGGCGTCTATCATGTAAGGAATCAAATCTGCACAAATAATACATGTATATCAAGGTTATTGATTCATAATTTGAATCCCATGTACATATTTTAGCTTGCAATACAAAAACTTCGAGGAATTACATAAGATTTCCACTAGCTACATCAAAGTTTGGTGGGGTAGCTAAGCAATCGCGGGGTTAATACCCTGAAACTGAATGCCCTGAAAATAAGATCTTACAATTTTCAATGAATCTATGGGTTTCGAAAGTACTGTAGGAATTTTGATATGATAATGTGCGTGAGATTCGTGCAATAAACAAGCACGATAATTTCAATACTTCAATGATTGCAAGAAAACATTTGAGGATGGATCGAGGTACTTGTGAAATGACGTGAAAAATGATCTTCTACTGTGACTAGTGCTTAAAACCAGAAGTAGTAGACAGACCAAGAAGTTCTAAGCTGTCTAGTGAAATTTCTTAGCACAATAGGAAGTCCAAATAGAAATCTCAAGCTATATATATGAGAAATTTTAACCTTCACCCTTTTTCTTTCTTAATCCGCAAAACCACCGCATACCCACTCGACTTCAGATATCAGTATCATAACTATTTATCTTCACTTGAAATAAACAGATTATACTATCGATTCAACCACCATCACGACAAGAACACGGACGACAATGACATCGCCAAGTCCAACAGTAGAAGCAAAGGCTAAAGTTCCAGCTACACTCTCTTCTTCAATAAATCCAGGAGCAATGTTTCCAATCCAAAAATCAACAAAAATAAAGCTCCAATTGAAGAATAAGCAACCTGCCTTGCCTACCCTTTCTGAAGACCCACCAATTAGCACTTCTTCTTCTTCTTCAGAAACAATGTCTCCAATCCAGAAATCAACAAAAATAAAGCTCCAGCTTAAAAACAAGCAACCAGCCTTGCCTGCACTTTCTGAAGATACACCAATTATCACTTCTTCTTCTTCAGGAACAATATCTCCAATCCAGAAATCAACAAAAATAAAGCTCCAGCTTAAGAACAAGCAGCCTGTCTTGCCTGCACTTTCTGAAGATCCACCAATTAGCGCTTCTTCTTCAGGAACAATGTCATCGACCGAGAGATCGACGGAGGTAGAGAATCTGCTCAAGAAAACTGCCTCTACCCGCCCTTTTACATCGCCACCAGAAACTCAGCGTGTGCATGATCAGCCTTCTTTGGAGTCTTCTTCGAAGCCTACCTCTTCTTCCTCGGACCTTGCCTCCTCTACAATCAATGCCTCTCCTCTGCCTATCGCCGTCGACCCAGAACCTATTCGTTCAAGGTGGGGACGAGTGTTACGCCAGACGGAGAAGGCAAAACAGGGGAATCCCGGAAACAATGCAGTAGCACAGAATGCAGTTGCAAACGTTGCAGGCCAAAAGAGAAAGGCTACTAAAGCTGCTACCTCCTCGAAGAAGCGAGTTAAGTTTGCGGATACCGACAATCACGAGTCCGCAGAGACCACTAGGTCACACAGCGCTACAGTGGCTCAACGAACACGTATCGGGATTGGAACGCGCTTCCCACCCCTACGAAGCAAGGATCGAGTGCAGGCAGTACTTGAAGCATCGAGAGAAGCTCAACGCAGGGCCCAGATGTTAGTATGGCAAGAAGAGCGAGAAGCAGAGAACCGTAAATTAAGAACTAAGATGGGGAATGCTCTCCAGGCCTGGGAAGCACTCGAGAGACAGAGAGAACTTGAAGCCCAACAAGCAAACATAGGAGCTTTCTAGACACTCAATACGACGAACGCCAAAGGTACTGCCTCCAAAATGACGTACAACAAAACTGCTCTTTCTCAATTGGCCATCGGTTTCATGCACCTAGTATGACCGGCAGGTATAATTCATAGCCACAGAAAAGGAAAGCACTAGCTGGTTTAGCATGTACGACTGCAATTTGTCATTGAGGTGGCCTACAAATACTCGAAATTGTTGGGGAAATAGTAACGTAATGTCGTTGCCCCCGAAAAATTTGTTTTCATGATTTATTGATGGGATTTATTGCGTTGATTATTTTTGAATTTTTATGGAGGTTTTGGTAAGGGCATACCTTCCTGATTAATTTGGATCAGGAACATATGGACCCCATGTTACCTGACCTTCACAGCGCCCAAGTTGGGAATGGGTTTGTTTGATATCTTCGGCCGTATCTATGAATACTCGGTTCTCAATGGGTTTTCTGGTACATATATTGTAATTTGTCGAATCGTATCAACGACGGACTCTTTTAGCGGAATTGTCTACAAAGCGGGAGTGTATAAATGGAAGGATGAGCGTACAAATGTAGTTTTGCATGTTATATAAAATGGGAAACTTGGAATGAGCGTACACATGTAGTTATGCATGTTATATAGAATGGAAAAATTGGAATTATACAAATGAATCCCGTGAAGTTAACCCAAATATAAGTGACTGATGAGTTCCAATCATAGCCCATGTTGATATCAGAGCACCTGTGAAAGAAGTGGAATCTTATGCGTCTGAAGATGGAAGGCACAACTTGAATCGTATGAATAGTTGTATTGATATCAGAGGATTGAGGATAAAAATCTGGCAAATTCGCATAGTGCGTTTTGGCATATGTGCTTTACCGAAATTGAGGGCAGAGCTTCAGCAATTATCTCTATCTAGTGGGCAAAAATGCAATGAAACATAGGAAATTTGTATGAAATGTTACGATTGAACTTGCGACTCCAATATCACCATTTTATACATCATATCTCCCATTTTCGCTCCCATTGTTGTATTCACAGTCATCTGAGCTTAAATAGGCCTTAGTTCGAGACGACGTCAAAGAACTCTTAAATATTACATAAGCAGATAAGATAAGCAAGCGAGGCTGAGGAACCTCATGGAAAGGACAGCTTTTGGACTTGGGCGATTATTTTAAGGACACACATACAACCCATCATAATTGCGACCAGCAAAGTCCCGTCGACAACTTCTCAACTCAAGAATCTTGACTATCATCGCAATCGACAACATGGAGGAAACTGAGACTTTCACCCTTTTACCATTACATATCGATTATCAATCGAAAGCCCTGTCCACCTCCTCCAATTCCAAAGCCCTCAATGAAGAGTTAGAAGAAATCAATACGCTCTGTCGCACTCTCCTTGCGATAGAATCCCCAATCCCTCCTCCACCTGTTCCCGTAAACCCAAAACGTTCCGCCGGAATCACCAAATTGCGAGAAGCAGGCAATGGCGAGTTTCGAAAAGGTAGACATGGAGAAGCTATAAAAATGTATACTCTAGGCTTGGAAATGGCATTAAAGAGACCACTTTGGGAACCATGTGGCTTGGTTAGAGATGAGGTATCAGGATTGTATGCGAACAGAGCGCAGGCGCATATGGCGTTGCAGAATTGGGTTGAGGGGGCTTTGGATGCGGAGAGCAGTGTGGAGGCTAAGAGGGGTGGAAATGCGAAAGCCTGGTGGAGGAGAGGAAAGTGTTTGATGGAGATGGGTAGGTTGGATGAGGCGAAGGAGTGGCTTGGACGGGGATTGGAAATGGAGAATAATGAAGGGGATCTGGTGGCTTTGTTGAGGGAGATTGAGGCGAGGGAAAAGAAGACGTTACATGTTTAATTTGAAGGGTATGTGGATGGAAATGGTATGGGGATATGTATGGCATAGAGATATGGAGTCGAGGCGTTCTTTTGCTGGGTTCAGGGACTCATTTACTTCTAGCATGTATATGAATTAAAGATCGGGTTCACTTGGCTGGGAGTCCAGTATGCAATACTCGCAGAGATTTCTGCTATATGCTTCCGAAAGTTTGAGAGTGAAGAACGGCATTGAAATATCACTCTATCTGGCCATTAATTACTTGAGCAAATCAAATTTTGAATCTTTACACTTACACGCACATAAGTCATTCTTGCTTTATATCTAGGAGATGAGCCTGAGCAAGTCGGGGTTGTATCAAACTTGTAGTGACATTCTATATCCTTATTAATTTATATGTACTTCCGATTCAACAAATCCCAATAATCATTATTATTTCAAGTCGCCACTCAAATCTGCCAAATATCAAGCATCTCCAGACTCCCGTTAACACATTCTACACTGCCCCTGAGATTCATATTTCAGCCTACCCCCCAAAAGCACGAGTAACCTTTCAATGCCCAGCCCCATTTCCGTCCCTACCTCTGTCTTGATCTCGTTAGACTCTCCACCGAAGCCCCTCCATCAAACGCTTGAAACATCTGTTCTCGTTCCTCGGGCACCAAATCCCATTTCAACATATACTCCACCAACACACGTTCAACACTCGATCCATCCGTTGAGAGTGCTTGGTGCTCCCGTGCACTCAGTAATCCATGTTGGCCCGCAAGTGCTATTTCTTCCAACTTCAGTCTATGGAATATATCCTTGCGCTGGGCATTATTCGACTCATCATACGGTGGTTTGAGATCGACAGTATCTAGCTTGGCGATTCCTCTCGCAATATTCTTAGCCAGGTGAAGAATACGTGCTGTAGAATATCGGTTGTTTTTCAACGCAGCAAGCATATCCCATTCTTCATCGAGGAAACTGATCTCCGAACCGAAATATTCTCGAAGAGTCTGTGATGTGACATCTCCAAAAGTGGATGCCGCATCGATCGTCTCCGCAGACGGAAATGGATAATAACTCGTTCTCGTAACGAGATACTTGACACACTCGACATCACACCTCACACTCATTTTCCACTCTCCAAACCCCCGACTCAATCCCTGGATGATCACATGCATGAAAATATCCATGGGACACAACCCCAGCGCCTCGTGATACTCATCAATCGGCGACTCCGACAAGTAATCTTTCCACAGCAACACGTAATGCCACGCCTCTCTCGCATCCAACCCATCTTCTCTCACCAGTCGCAAAATCTCCCGGAATCCATACGATGTATTCGCAGAATAAGCAGCCAGAATCTCCTCGTCGGATCGGGGGCTTCCACTTACATCTTCGATGGAACGCGCGCTGGTAGATGCGGGGATTAATGTGTAGTTTCCCAGGCGAGAACTCCATTCTTCTGGAATCTGGGAATCGATTCTCGTAGCTGAATTTTCGAGGTATAGCTGCCATTTGACTAGATGATCAAAAACTGAGATGGCAGGCTTCTGGAGCATTTCTATTCGCTGAGCATTCGCAGCATCTCGTTCTCGCTGCGCCCGTGGCAATGGATTGCTTCGATGAGCGGGAATCGTATCTCGCGCAGCCCCAGTAGAAAGCGCAGCGAGTTGTCGCTCCAAACGCAGATTCTCATAGCTGGTACTTGGTCGTAAGCGCGGTGCACGCGTGAGAGTATTCACATTCTCTAGAATGGATGGCGATATATCTCTGCTTTCTATCGGAAGCCCAGCGCGGATTCTCGTCTCGATTAGTCGTAGCTCGGCTCTGCGTCTGGCGAGTTGGTCTCGCGTAGTGATGTTTGGCATGTCGTCTTGATATGCGGCTAGGATTTGAGAAAGATCTGAGAGTTCGCTGTTGTCGTGCGGCGAGATGTCTCGTGGGATGTTACGATTTGCGATGGTCGACTCGGGATTTGGATGATTCCTTGATATTTGATAGGCGGCGAGTTGTTCGGCCATTGATGGTTCGGCATCTCCATAGTTTTCAATACTGCTCTGCCGTGATAGCGGTCTTGTTAAATCCATGTCGAGATCGATATCTACCCCAGTGTCCTCCACTTCAGCATTGACTCCACCATTCGATGGGATCTCAGGTCTCGTCAAATCAGTACCCATAATTTGATCTCGCACCCTACCGACTTGTGACTCTAAGTCAATGAGTAGATCCTGTACAGAAGGACGAACATTCTGTGTTTCAATTACGGATGGTACTACTGGAGATAAAGAAGCCATTTCTCTTCGTTCTTGAATCTCAAAAAGATATATTTGACGGACATTTTGCACCGACATCTCCATCCGAAATAAACTACGATTAATTTCCGATCGATTGGGCGCTGGTGAATCGGCCGTGTAATATGCATTGGCCGGCTCAAGACTGGGTAAAGCTGGGAGTCCGCTTCGAGCTCTCCTAGCTGCAGCGTCTGCATTGATCTCTTCCTGAACTGATGAATCTGAGTTATTCACAGGATTGAGAAGTGTCCGGCGTTGAGGAAACGAAATAGTGCCGTCTTGATTAAAGGCAACAACTGGTGGTCTTGAAATGGCATTCCCAGAACTTAGATCTCTGGCTTGAGAATTAGCGGCCTGGGATATCGATGAATTGGCAGCTTCGACTCTATCATCTGTGATGACACCTCTCACTGGCTCCTGCGCTTGATTCGCCCAGGTTTGAGTCACCAAAATCGTCAAAATATCACGTATTCCTGCACGCGAGTCGGGACTAGCTTCGCGAAGTCGCTGGCTTTGAAATCGAATCTGGGCCTGTAGATCGCTGTCCGAATCTATACCTGTCGAGCCTCTATTCTCAGGTTCGATTACAGATGATGGGGCATTTCTGAGCGATCGAAGCGAGGTTTCCTGTTCTACTCTCTCTCTAGCCATATTATCCTGGCCTCCGGTCAGAGTAATAAGTCGATCATCGCCGTTTATCCGATTTCCGTGTGGCGACGGTGAAGGCAATCCTGAACCTGGTTGCCCTGTTGTTGGGCTTGGGTTCAGAGGTGCTAGTATCTGGTGTCGCCAATGGGGACTCGTGAATTGTCCTATAGAGTCTTGATAGCGATAACGTCTTCGTTGAGGACCTGGTGCTGGTGCTGGCATCGACCGCGTTGTGGACGTGGATGAAGAACTGAAATCGGAGTCCACGTCTGCGTTATTTAAAGTATCCCTCTGAGATTCTGGCGCAACCGTCTGGGAATTAGCATGTAATGGGTGAAAGTGCTCTTCAGATGAGCGTTGACGTGCAAGACGGTATGCAGATATATAGTTGAGGATCGTACTTTGAGGGAGAGATGTGATGTGAGCTAGAGTTAGATTAGGCTCTAGGTTAGGATTGAGATGGAGGGGTTCAAGAGATTGCGTGGATGCTGATGTTGAACCTGGTGTGTATGATCTCGTGGGTGGAATGTTCGTGATAGTTGAAGCGGATGACGAAGCGACAGTTCTTGGTGTTCGTGTGCGTCCCCTTTGCATATCCTCGCTCTCGTCATCCGAATTTTCATCAACTGGGTTTCTATTCATCGTCGCATCCATACTAGCCAGGCCTGCAGACTCTGAAACTGTGTGTTGTTCTTCCTCATCGAATGAGTTAGAAGGATGGAGTATTGGTGTAGATGGAAGATCAAGAAGATCTTGAGAATCGAGACCTGGGTGGAAATTTGGTGATGACATTTTAAATTATCAGTGGATTTATGTTTGATCGGCGTGGAAATTTTAGTGTTGAGACTTTGTAATAACTTGATAGTTGATACTTTTCCTGTAGACTCCAATGTCAAAGTATTGATTGATGTTTTTGTAATTAAGAAGAAGAGCAGACCCAAGAGATGCTTTTAAGCAAAGAGATATTGTATCTGGTAAGATCTGGATACGGTGATTAACACTAGTGTTATTCGAAATTGATATTCACTCTGAGGTTCGGGCACGAGAGTGAATTGGCTGTGTATTTCGAAGGCCGTATTTGTTAGGCAGCAGTATTCACATCTTAGTATTCGGTTGGATTGGATGACTGATCCACTGTATATATATATATTCTTTTCAGATGCTACAATGGCTCGTTATCCCACGGTCAAGCTCCGTCATATGACAACAGCATAAATATAGAAATTGCTTTCATTCCAGGAAATCTAGCTACAAGTTTTTTCTTTTCGGAGATAGATACAGACATACATGCAAATATCCAATAAAGTTGATTTCCGGCACAGCGCATCTCCAAAACTCCCAGGATTAAAAGCGCTGCAATTTTATTGCTAGACGACTAAATGCAATGAAATACGACGCAACAAAACACAGAAGGTATAAAATACATACATCTCAAATGCTTGGTATATGGAGTACACAAAAAAGAACAACCACATCCATCGTTTTCATTTTAATCGTTTCCATTTCATAGCATGGCTTCAAATACCAAACGTTTCGTCCCCCAAATCCGTATCATTTCTAACCAGTAGAACATTTCGACTCCTAGAACCCGCTAGTAAGCCACTTGCTTAATCTGACACACAAAATCTCTCTCGCACCCACTTCAAAATTTCTCATTATCTGTTTATCCACTACCCAAGATCAGCGGAGTCTCCGTACTTCTCCTACTAAGTCTTGTTCTACTACTTTCTCCTCTTTCCCTATTCCTATTGTCGTCCCCGGGAACTTCAATCTCATCTTTGATCCTACTAGTAAGATATGCAGCGAATAAAGTACTGATACCACCCGCAGCCATAACAACCGCAAAACTTCTGTCTCCTGGGGTCCCACGTGGCTTTTGCATGAATTTGAAAATGATACTGCTGCCCAGTGTAGCGAGAATTTGAGGGGCTGCAACGGACATGTTGTGAATACCGAGGATGATGCCTGAGAACATTGTTAGCAATTGACAACAAAGAAGAAACATGCACGGAATGACAAAGTAAGAGCAACTTACCAGCTTGATCTTCATCCAAATCATCCTCGCCAACTATCGATTGCTGGCGTGCTCTACGTACAGCATCACGTTTACTAACTTCAGCGCTGATGATAGCAAATGGTGCCCATAACGTCATAGCCCACGATACACCAACTAATGCTATTAAAATAGTGGCTGCTGTAATAGATCGTACAATGAGAGTTGAAAACATGCATGCTGCAAAAAGAAGATGGCTTATGAGCCATGCACGACGAAGGGTCAGGCCAGGGATGGCGAGATTATCCATAAATCGTGAGAAACGTGTTGTGTAACTTTTATGAGAGTATGTTGATGCGGCTGATGACGGTGCATCGTAGGACGGAGTAATGAAGAATGGTAAGACGACATTGACAGTCAACGATGTAATAGCGTACATCAAAAGAGCGAAAGTTCCAACACGAGTAGCTTGCTCGTAGAGCTTATCGATTTCTGCTGGAGTCATGTCGGGATTTTCTCTTAGATATGGCTGAACATAAATATCACCGACATAGGAGCTCGAATAAAAAAGTTGAGGGAAAAAGCCAACCCAAGCGAAGAACTCCACTTCACAGACTTGACGAGTCAAAGGAGGTAAACGCCTGATGGAGGTAAAAACTTGTTTGAAGAACGGGATAAGTCCTGATTTTGCTTCAGGTGGAACTGGCTCGTTACTTGGATCACGTTCTTTGATGGTAACACTGCTTATGGTGACAGTGGTAGAAAGAGCCACGCAAGCCATTAGAGAAAGTATCTTGAATTGGGTATTTCCGAAAAACCATAGATACTTTGGTAGATCAATATAACCAGCGAGGTAAGCAACAATGTTACCAATACCTATGACACGGCTAGCGAATGAGTTCGCAGTTTCTAAAGATAGGAGTTAGCTCTTTTCAGGAAACATTACACGAGTGTTTCTAGTAACAAATACCTTGTTGGTGACTAGGGGCGCAATCAAGAATATAAGCTCTGATAGCAGCTTGTACTAAGAGATGTCAGTGAGTTCTCTACTATTAGTATATTGGCACAAACCTGTAGCTATAGCAAAATCTAAAATATAAACTAAGAGAACAGCGACAACGATGATTGAAACTTTGACGCCTTGAGATTCTTTGTCCGCACCGAATAACCCTAGAAATCCACCAACTATTTCTCTTACCCAAGCTAAGAAAACCAAAGACAGGACTGTAGCGACAGTACCTATGGCCATAAAGGGTCGTCTTTTACCCCATGGTGATCGACATCTATCACTTAGTATACCAATATATGGCTGGACTAAAGCTCCTGACATTGGTCCTGCGATCCATACTAAAGCCATTAATGACTTGCTCAGACCGAGTGATAGAAGATATGGTGTTCCATTGGACAACTCCACTCCCCAAGCCACTTGTAAACCGCCTATACTGAGGGTCAAAAGTATCATGTACCATATCCCCTTTGTTTCTGAGAAAGTATCATTGTCATGATTTAATATGTTGCTGCCGTTAATGAGACCTTCTTCCTCTTCTTCCGATTCAGATGCAGACAAAAGCGGTGACTGTTCGTTTGCAGGTTTGTGGTCCTCCATTCGAGTATCTTGATCCCTCTTCGAGTCGGCACTCTGCATTTCATCATTCTCCTCCCCTCGAACAATACGTGTGTCACCTTCTGCCATATTCTTCGTTGTAAGAAAGGAGTACGAGACCCAAGTCGAGGATTCTGTTCAACAACTCTCAAATCCACTTTCGAGTTGACCGCAAGTCCGTGGAATCACTGCAGTTGTCGTTTGCTTTTGGAATTTGTTTGGAGTTTGCGGTCTGTTATAGTATGAATCAACAAGGTTGTCAATGGAGACGCAAGGCGCAATGACAACAAGGAGTCTCAGACATGAGTTGGTTCCTATGGGTTCTGGGCATCACGAGGCTGGAGTGGGCTGCTGTGCACGCGGATCAGCTTCGTCTGCTGGGATGGTCTGGTGGATCAGTGCGCAAAATCAAATGGGTATGAGGTGCATCGGAAAATTCGAGATCTGTACATGTGCGTGGTCAATACGATGTAACACAACTTGACATGTTAGGATGATTGGAGATTGCGGAGATGAGTTGAACGAATTGTATTTTCTAGAACGAGGCTGCGAAATTCAGATAGGAACAGTAGGAAGGTATGTAATGATTCAAGGTCCCTTGTCAACTGATGTGATGTGATGTGATGTGACGTGAAGGTTGATGATTAGGTGAGATGCTGCACCACTGCAAGTGACATAATTATGTAATCAGATCAGATATCTCAGCCTCACCAATCAAAGTAAGTAAGGCTGTGATGTACGTAGCCAACCAATCAAAAGAAGAGACAGGAAACCTTCATAAGATCCGGAGCCTCTCAGACGTTATATGTACGATGTACAGAGGAAATGGCTGTGGATTCGTGGAGATGGACAAATCATACGAAGTATCAGGTAGACAGACGATGGGCCCTAGCTCATGGCATACGCAATGAGAAACACACGCGACATGACAATTTTATATCAATTTCATATGTAACCGCCCCCACTACCATGAGTGTGAGTGTGAGTGTGAGTGAGAAGGACGACTCTACAAAGCATAATTGTCCGGTATGAGGGAATCCGGAGTTGAAGACGGTACAATGTGAACAATTGAACAGGAGCAAACATCAGACTCCTGGTATTTCAGTATAGAAGGAATTCGAATACAATGCATTATGTCTTCCTTTGTGAATGATACATTTTTTAAACAAATAATACAATCTTTTATTCTGCACCATTCGCAACTTTGGATGCTTTGTCGTAATTGTAATATGATAATAAAAATGACAACCTGGCCAGAGAGATCCTGCGTGCTAATCATAATAATATCATGTGCCTAGTAGGAAGTAGCTTCATCCAAGTAACACGGAACCGAATGTTTGATAATCTACCTACTTCGTACCACCCAGTATCTGCCTTTCCCTACATACTCCACCAACTATCACCACCACGAAACCCACATACTTCAGAATTACTTCGTACATCCAGAACACCCCTCTTCACTCTCAAACTAATAGATATACATGCGTCGTTCTCTCGCTACTCGCTGCTCGTCTCTGAGCGACTGTACAGTCTTTCGCAATTCTTCCACATAATTTCGATAAAGTTCGCGATATCGCAATAGCTAGGTATCTAGATACCACTCCATCATGTCTGCGGCGATCGCCGGCTCCGTCTTTGAGCTTCTGAGTAAGTTTGCGATTCTGTCCATCAGGTTCGTTTGTGCGTCAGCTAATGAGTTTGGTTTAATAGAAAGACAATCCGAGGAAGAAGATCCCGACGGTATGCTATAGTGTTTCCAACATCAGAAGACAATCCCCGAATGACAACTGATCCCATTTCCATAGCACCCGATTCATCACAGAAGGAAATATTCTCATCATGGGCTCTCTTCATCTTGATTATGCTACTCATTGTAGCCCTCTTCACAAGTTACTTGCTTCAAATCAAGAAAGTTGAAGCTGTTCACGAAACTTCCATTTCGATCTTTGCTGGTAAGTTATGTTGATCGGGCGGTTCATAAGGTATATATTAACCAATTAGGTATGACCATTGGCTTAATACTTCGAGTCAGCGCTGGAAATTCTATACAAAGTCTTGTGAGCTTCGATGAACAGATATTCTTCAATCTTCTCCTGCCACCGATTATCCTGGCTTCCGGATACGAATTACACCAAGCGAATTTCTTTCGCAACATTGGTACTATTCTTACATTTGCGTTCGCCGGGACTTTTATATCGGCAATTGTGCTAGGATTGGTATTATGGTTGTACACGAGAATTCCCCTTGATGGGGTCAGTATGACATTCGTTGATGCTATATCTGTTGGAGCAACACTTTCTGCCACCGATCCTGTTACAATTCTAGCGATTTTCAACACCTATAAAGTCGACCCGAAACTTTATACAGTAATTTTCGGAGAATCGATCTTGAACGATGCTATCGCAATTGTCTTGTTTGAGACAGCGCAAAGATACAAAGAAGGTGGTAACGCAGGAACTTTGGGTCTCCTCAGTTTGTTCGAAGGTATCGGCATTTTCTTGGCAGTGTTCTTCGGAAGCTTGATTATTGGAATCATCATAGGAATTGCTACAGCCTTGGGATTGAAGTACACATACGTTAGAAGATTTCCAAAGATTGAAAGCTGTCTGATTGTGTTGATTGCCTATGCCAGCTACTTCTTCTCTAATGGTCTTCATATGTCTGGTTTGTATTTCAGCAAATCCCTCATCCAAAGATCAACACTGATATGAAGTAGGAATCGTCACACTTTTATTTTGTGGAATCACCCTAAAGCATTATGCATATTATAACATGTCTCGCCGCACGCAACTTACTACTAAATACTTATTCCAAGTACTGGCGCAATTATCGGAGAATTTTATCTTCATCTACCTCGGATTATCTTTGTTCACTGAGAAGGACTTACAATTTAAACCGCTCTTCATTATAGTTACCGTCATTGGCATTTGCGTAGCCCGATATGCCGCCGTGTTTCCTCTCTCGAGACTCATCAATTGGTTCCTCAGATACCGTGCAAAGAAAAGAGGGCAGGAAGTCGCAGATGAACTACCCTACAATTATCAAGCAATGCTGTTTTGGGCTGGATTGCGCGGGGCTGTAGGTGTCGCCTTGGCAGCCGGAATGACTGGCGAGAATTCATGGGCATTAAAGGCAACTGTACTTGTGGTTGTAGTGCTTACTGTCATTATTTTCGGTGGTACAACAGCACGCATGTTAGAAATTCTCGGCATTCGTACTGGAGTGGTCGAGGAAATCGATAGTGATGACGAATTCGATATTGAAGCTATTTCAGGCGGAAATTATTACAAACATTCCGGATCAGGAATTGGAAACGATCCACGACGAAGCAATGGAGCAATGCAGCTTGATGGTCTTGCTAGGCCAGGACATCGTAGAGAAGCAGAGCGTGGAAGCTATGCAAGCGGCAATGCTAGTCCAAATGCTAGATCAGCAAGTATGAATCGGAAGGGTTCCAATGCAAATGGGAGAAAGGAGAACGAGAGTGAACAGGATCTTCTTGGTAGGACCGGTAGCACAAGCGATGAAGGCTTTGATAGCGATTCATCTGATCTTCCACCACCGGCCAATCGACCACCGAAGAGAAGGCCATCGCCACCTCAGGATAGCGGTGATATGGGATCACCTTACCCAACTTCAGGCAGTACAAGTCGTCCTGAAGCACCACATATTACTGCATCAGGCGCAATCAGTCAATTGCTGCATGGAACGGCCGAGGATCATGCAGCATGGTTCAAACAGTTAGACGAAGGATTTATCAAACCAAAGTTACTTCTTGATGGTGGTAAAGGTCCTCATGGTGGGCCAAGCGGAGGCTAAAGTCCAGTCTCATTACAGTAAACAACAATTTATTCAAAAGGCAGGATAGGGCAAGAACGGCGTTCTTTGGTGTACAAGAGGAGTTGGAATTTTGGCAGTCAGCGATTGCGTGTGCATGTATGAGAATTAGATAGAATTTCCGTCCGATACTCCTTATGATACAATCATCAGGGAAGAAATAGAATAGTATTTGTATCGCAATGAGGTTTTAGTTTGTGTCATTTTCACATGCAAACTATGGAGAACGGGGTTGGGTTCTGTTGCCAAGAGTTTGGCTTATCTTGATATACGTATGGATTGTAGTCCAACATCATTGCGTCAAACAACAGAGACAAATTTGGTGATATCTGCGTCCAGCCGTACCGATATGCCAATCAACAGCCAACAATCCCTCAATTATACTTCATGCATGTTACACAATGAGAATGATTGTTGAAAATAGGAGTATGGTGTAGGTGTGGCTTATTCGCCTGGATAAATACACTACCGGGATTAGTAGTCTCGAAAGTCTGCATAATGCAATTCAAGGGGAGGCGGATGATTGGGAAAGCGAAGCAAAAGGGTAATAGTGAGGTCCACGTACCTACATAGGTGGCTTGGGGAAGATTAAGTGGTGGTATTGATATGAGGGAGAGGGAATAGGATGCTCTTGTTTTATACTTTTAGGATCTAGCTTGCTATATGCAAACTCGGGTACAACTATCTTATTAGATGATATATACATTATTACTAGTTGATTGGATAGCTAGTCAGACTGTGAGTTTCTGTGCGGGGTGGTTAAATGATATTTTTTCGATATTCTTTGCGTACTCGTTTGTGTGAAGGCAACAGTATCTTTACCTGATAAGTAAGAGTTTGATCACATTCATAGGATAGAGGTTCGTTTTTAATCTTAATCTTTTAATTCATTACCACTCGAGTTCTCACTAAAATCTGAACTATTGTACAAAAATAAAGTTCTCTAATTGTGACTAATAATACTCAAGCCGTTCTAAACTTTCTATCCTCTATTCCTAGTACCATCCAGTGATGCTTCCAAAATTCCATTATTCATTTCTCATTCCATTTACAATGCATTATGTCTCCTCCTGCTCTCAGAATCCTCTACTTCCAAATGATGAGCATCGGCGCCGGTTGTACCCTTCTCCTCCCAAACCATACTGTCCTCTCTCTTCTCAGCTGACAAATCTGCTCCTTCATATCCAATCTTGGTGGCACTGAATCCATCAAGTTCCTTTGCGCAGACAGTGTTGAGGTAGATTGGGAATGCGAAAGCGACGAAGAAACCGATCAATGGAACAGTCATGGCAATATGATAGCCCTTCTTATCGGCAAGAAGACCAGTGAGAGCGGGGAAGAGAGCACCACCTGAGACGGCGGCGACAATCCAAGAAGAACCTCTCTTAGTGTGGCGACCAAGACCACGAATCGCGAGAGTGAAAATTGTGGGGAAGATGCAAGATTCGAAGAAACTGATGAAATTAGTCGCTGATTTCATAATGGGGGAAAAGGAGGGAACTTACAGAACAATAGATAACATAGCAACACCAGCCTCGCCCTTAACACCAATAGCAACTGAGATGAAAACCATAATGGCAGTCATGAAAATCATGAGTACATAACGGGGTTTGACAATCATCATCATACCAGCGGCGGCAAATCTACCAATTGCAAAGAGACCTTGAGCAATAGCAAATCGATCGGTAGCAACTGCCGAAGAAAGTGAAGCACTCTCCTCAGCATACTTGATGAAGTTGGCTGCAACACCTACTTGAGCACCGACATAACAGAATTGGGCTGCAACACCGAAGAAGAGCTTATATTGTCTGCGCATGGGTTTCTCTTCGAATCCAGTAAGACCGGCGGATTGTTCGCCTTGGAGTGCCATATCCGCATCTGTGATTTCTGGAAGCTTGCTGAAGAAGAATACAGCAGCGAGGAGGAAGACGAAAGCGGCGATACCGAGATAGGTCCATTGAACTTTCGATAAATCTTCACCTTCACCCTCTTTGAAGAAGACTCTGGAAGCCAAAAGAGGGGCGACAACTGAGCCGACAGCCTGGAACGCTTGAGAGAGTTCGAGACGGAACTCTGAAAGACGAGGAGGTCCGCAAGTGGCGATGAATGGATTTGCAGAGGTCTCAAGAGTACTGAGTCCGGAACCGACAATGAACAAACTTCCACAGAAACCGGGGAAGGACCTGTAGACTGCGGAGGGCCAGAACATCAATGCTCCTACACCGTAGATGCAGAGACCGACGATGAAGGTCCATCTGTATCCGAATCTTCGTACGATCCATCCGGAATATGTTAGGGGACCGATGAAGTAAGCACCAAAGTATGCTCCTTGCAAGCCTCCGGCCTTGGCAGCAGTAATGTTGAGTGCGGTCTGGAACTTTGCGTTCAAGACATCGAGTAATCCGTAGGCGAAACCCCAGAGAAAGAATAGGATTGTGACAAGGGTGATGGGGTAGATAGATTGTCTGACAGTTAAGGCTGCGGCGCCAGTCAAGCCGGTATTACCAACCGAGCGATTGTCCATTACTTCGGCATTGGAAGGGCGACGCTGTTCCAAGACGTCTTGAACTTCGGGTTCTGTCTTCTTTCCGAACATGATGACGTCGTGGATTGGTTTGAGGATGGTATTGGAGAATTGATACAAGTGATTGTATATGAATTTGGATGTGGCAAGAAAGATGGGACAATGAAAGAGAAGAGAGCAAGAAGTATCAGTCAGATGAGACTTGTCGAACTGTCTGGTCTTCCAAAAAAGAGGATATTCTCTTTCCTATTTATCACCATCTGGAGATATCCCCAATGCCCACAATATCCCCAACATTGAAATTTTCGGTGAAATGCTCCTTGGCCCTTCTAGTCACGCACAACCCGCACTTTCTTGCCTGCGCTAATTGATCAAGAGTTTCCAGGAAGTATCCTTACATAGATGGCGTGTGCTACTATACCCGACTACACCAATTGCAGTTACAAATCCAAGACATTTCCTACCCTTAACGCAAAATGAAGACGCGAAAGGGGGTTTTCCCGATTCCCATTGTTGTGATTGGGTCACTAACCCAAGAGTGGGTCATAGATGTCTCTAGAGTCTCGAGGGACTCGCCGCACCGCAAACACCAAGAGATTCGCGTCAATACACCCCCATGTCTGGAGTAACTACCACAAGTCCCTCGAGCATCCTTGTAGGAGAAAAGTTATATCCATATTTGAGGCTGTGCTATTGGCCAAGTCTTGCATTTCAGCGAATTTCCCCCGCACCCCGTGGTGCCCCGCGTTCTTTTAGACGCTTGGCGCAAAGTCTATTTCCACTTTTTTTTTCCATCATCACCATGAACATGGCATTTAAATTCCAAATGAACGAATTTCACAAAGTTTGAGGAGATCGTGAATCTGCGCATCGGATTGATCTCTACCGAACCGCGTGATTTAATTGGTCTCCATGTTCCCCACGGCGAGACCGGTGCCACGCATGAGGCTCTCTGTCGAAGAATATCTTGGCCCGGACTCGCCAGGGCCAAGAGCTTTACTTACTTGCTTGGCTGGAGATAGTTTAAAATTTTCGGCGAAATTATGGATTCGTTGCTTCCCCAAACATCATTAGGCTTGTTAGGAGAGAATTGGCATGCATCAATTGAGCGATAGAAAATGACCTCGAACAATTACCTTTCGATAGATAGGTATCAACAACACGGTACGCATTGAGACTTTGCTCTTGAGGAGAACTTTAGAGTTTCCAAATCAGCATTCCAATCTGTTATCTCACGAGCTAGAACACACTAAGAAGAATGTCATTTGAGAAGGCCAAGTAATTGCTTAAAAGTGGTGGTAGATATTGTATTTCGTTCTAGCCTCTGACCTAGCGATGAGGTCAATATTGCCCAGAGATGTGGCCACCACAATCTCATATCTAGAGTCAACAGATTCTTGTTTGTCAGTCAGTTGACATACTACATGACAAGAAGGCGACAAAGCTTTCATTTTCGTTCGATAACATACAAAACCTTCTCTCAAGCTCCAGTGCCATGCTACTCATTACCCAATGATTTGATACAGTTTTCGTCTCAAATGGCTTTCTTCTAGCTCCACGTCCAAGTCCAAGTCCCCCAAACCCCATCCAGTTCCCCAGATTACATCCTCATTTTGACCAAAGCTTCGCGACAAATCCTCCGAGACCTTTCTTTCCATCTCTCCTCACAAAATCGCGATACTTCTCCAATTCTATCTCGTATTCGTCTTTCATGTCTTGGTATGCGCATTCTCCATCCTCATCTGTTCTGAAGTAACTTTCAAACTCCTCTCCAGACCATCTTCTCAGCTTATCCTTCATCTTCAGGCTCTGGCGCGCAAAGACTGTGTATTGAAACTTCTCCTTCTCATAATACGGCTGCTCATAAAAGAAAGCCATAGTACGACGCCAACTAAGTATGTCCAGGAAGCGAGTGCAGTGCTTACTGGCTAGGACGAAATCGGGATGAAAGCCAGCGTACATGCGTTTATAAACTTCCACGTCCGTCCGCTTATACTTCCCAGCAATATCTTGGTATAAAAGCGCGTCTGCGATGGCGTTGCCAATGTTGAGTAGTTCCTCTCCAGACCCCGCGATCCTGATCTGTAGCGTCGAATCCATCTTCATCTTTTCCGTCGATACTTTGTGAGTTCGTATCTGGGCGCCGATTTTGAGGAATGGTTTCATGAGGTTTGCCTCTCTCGTCAGGGTTTCGACTTGATCTTCTAACTCGCGGACTTTTTTTTCAGCTTCGCGCAACTTTTGCTCTTTGTCGCGCAATTTTTGGTTGTGGATATTGTGGAAGATTCTATCTGATGCGACAAGTCGATCTGTGACTGTACTGCAACCTATACAAGGTCCAATGGGCAACTGGCCAGGAGCATTCATACTGAGGATAGATAAAGGTGGAAGTGTCGTTGGTTGGTAGAGTGGTTGCTTGGATCAAATTTGCTGAAGACATATGTCAGAGACTTTGATGCAGCACAACGACAGACGTGACGCGACTCAGGTATTGTGAAGATGGAAGAACTTACGTATTGAATTTGACGCGCCTCCGTAAAAGGTGAATCGATGAATGCGAGAAGGGCAAAAAATATATCAAGGTGATTGGGCCAAAAGTGAATTTGAGTGAATTGATCAAATTATCTCTGGCTGAGCTGTTTTACTTGTAAGTTAACTTGAGATTATACTCCGGACAACAATATTGGATGATATAGTTTCCAAAGTAGAAGCTATCCAGAAACATTCTGATGACTTCGAAGAGTATCAGACGCGAATACAATCAAGTCGCCATGATATTGCTTTCATACTCGATTTTGTAATCTTGCTATGTGTATATTCCACAATACTCGCAGTATTGAAGTCAAGGAGGTTGGAGAGGGACACACGATTGTCTTGAAAGTCACAGGTCTGTCGATAAAAGAAAGTATTATGAATGGAATCAAAGACAGATAAAGGATTGTCACTAACAGGAGGAGCTAATAAGTAATGTTCAAATGGATTGCTTCATAGGAAAAGAGGAGTACTATCTTGAACAAGATAGATGAGTATGAATGACTAAGATGATACACGTTGTTCTTTCCTTCCTCGGGAGTTTAAAGTTCAAACTCAGATCTAAATTGATCTCTCATTCAGCTCTATCAGACCTCAGCATACAAATCGTTCTTCAAGAAAGGCTCAGGATTATAAATACATCAACGGCTATCATATCTTGTGATTTAATTGTTTCTGAGGTTTCCTTGATGTTTTTGAAACTCTCTTAACCTCAGCATTGTCTTTGTCATTTGTTGGGAACTGTCAGTATCAACAGTAAACACTTTTTCCTGAATCAGACGAATGTCTGAAGTTTCCTGTCTATCTCTGAATTTCAAATCAGAAGCATGCTATCCTCCAATTTATAGGATCTCTAGATGGTATTTTGTATGACTGAGTGGTCATTCGTTCTCTGTTTACACATACCTAGTCGGCGTAAATATCATGAATATAGGATTAGAAATTTTGACTCGCCATCTATTTTGTCCGCTGCAATATCGCAACACTTCATCTACCACTTAAGCTTCCTTCGGATAGTCCATTATTTTATCTCCGTGGTATATCACCCGCTTGAAGAGGCGTATTTGTCGATCCAAACTCTTTTCATAGCCGCACTTCTCTTCTAATGTTTCCGTATTGCTTCGCGAATCCTAAGGATTCTATACTTATAAGGCAGGGAAGATGAAGTCTCAGTATGTCAGATTGAGTGCCTGAGAGCTTGAGTGCTCAAAGCTCTTTCTACCGTTTAACTTGGAACTTCTTCACCTTCAAAACCTCTCTAGAAATTAGATGCACCAGCTAGTTTCGTCAAATGCGCTTGAAAACATATTGACAATGTAGACTGTGAAATTTATTATATTTCTAATTACTCTTAGTTCTATCATCCTAATGAATTGTTCGGTCCGCGATCGAATCTCCCATGTTTTGACCGTTATGTCCGAGTTTCCTACAAGTACCTAATTAGCATTAAGTGTGTGAAGATAATGAACTTCTGACTTACCAATCCGATTTTCGGCGCCTTTTCTCGTATTCTGCAGTTTCATTGTACTCAGAACACATTGACAAGAAGACAGGATCCGAGGTAGATTCTAAACTTTCATTTCCATCGACATGACTTTGAGATGACGTAAGCAGTTGGCGCTCTTCCATTCCTTCGATAGCCGACATGGTCTCCTGAAAATACCGCTCAAAAGCTGTATCGAAAAGGTGGACAGTCTTAAACTTCTTCATTTCATATCGCATGTCAAGAAGCTTTTGTATTCTTGGAGAGTCCTTGTGCTTGGCGAAGGTCTCAATGCTAATACCGTACCAGAGCCTAAACCATTCGTCGTCTCCATCGTTTGGACTTAATTCTTTCCTTCTCAATACAGCAAGACAGCTAATTACAAAGAATTATTAGCCGAAATTCTCATAAGGCTGATGCTAGAATAGAAGATACAAACTTACTTTCCCCCATGTGCAGCAAGATTTCCCTGATCTATGATCTTCTCGTTGCGTGCTCTAGGATGCTTACACCACTCAAACTCGCGAGCCAGGACTCTTTCAGCAAGATCGCGATACGGAAGATGCTCCTTCTCGACTGCCATGATTCGAGTTTCGCAATTTTTATTCAGAGCGTTGATATCTGTCTCGAGTTTCGTGATTTGAGCTTTGTAACTCGCATGCAGGGACTCAATAGCCTTCTGGTGCGCGTCTTTGAGCTTGTCTTGCTTAATTTTTTCATCCGTGCGCTTTATACTCGCTTCTTCTTTCATACCATCTATTACCTTGCCATGAGATGCTATTAACTTTTCCTGGCAGTTTATCGTTTCTATTTTCTGTGCCGATAATTCGTTCCTGAGACTTGTAATCTCTTCGTGCTTTTTACAAAACCCATTTTATATTGATACTCAGACTGGCAGTAAGTTGCTTGCAAGATTTCGAGGGTATCCAGGTATGAATACGAAGTCTGCCACTTTCCGACAAGAACTCTGTAGTCCTATAGAATGATATCAGTATTTGGTACACGGTCCACTACATTCTTTCAACATGTTGGAAGACTCACCGATGGACCATTTTTTTTACTTAACATGCTGGTTCGCACCATCCTGGGCAGAGAATATTGCCAACCCCTTTTTCTTTCAACCTGCATTGTGTTGTATTCTACCCCCACTGATGTCACGCCGTTATCTGTATTCAAGTAAAACGCTGTCAGAATGCCGATATCGTTTTGGGTGAGTGACCGAGATAGAACGGCTAGATCTATTTTCATATATTTTATCTGAGCTAATTGCAATGCACAGTGCTCACAATCGGCATTCGCATTGTCTGTAGAAGCACCAGGAATACTTTTTTCGATGTTTGAAGGCTCTGGTTTTACTTCAATATCTTTAGACATGTTCTTTCGCTGCAGTTCGAGTATCGTTGCTTTTAGCCTTTCCACCTCGCTTAGATGGGTCAATCGTTCCTTGTCGAAATCTTGCTTCAATACTTCTGTAGTGATACATCCAGCTTGTATGACAGACTTGAGCTCCTTCACTGTTGCTTGTAGCTTCTCCTTCTCTATCTTCGAGACCCTCATCCCGCCCTCATAATTCAACACATCATCTCCATATTCTCCCTCAAGCTCTGCATAAGCTTGATTTCTGGTCTGTAATTCTTCTCGTGTATTCTCTAAATTTGATTCGAGTTCTTTGATGACAAGGTTTAAACTAGAGATTTCGACTTGTGATTGTTCACGTGTATTTCTGAGTGTATCCTGTGTATCCTTGAGCTTATCCTCTAGACGTCGCATTTCACTTCGCAATGCATTCGAATCCGTTTCTTGACTCTGGAAACAAGTTTGTAGTTTCTGGATCAATTCCATTGGATTATCCACGACAGGTGTCTCATCAGCAGTTGCTCTCTCTGCAGTTGTTCCCTTGACAGGTGTCTCCTGGGTGCAAGCTAATTTTGTATCGTTGTTTGTAGGACTTCCAGCCTTTTTCTCGCTGCCATTCTTGTTGTTTCGTTTTCCCATTTTGAGTTTGTCAAAAGATTTATGGAATGAAGACGGTTTCTGAGTTGTTGATGATGTCAAAAATAATGAAAAATGTGGAAAACCAGATTATCAAAAGATGTTGTTAAGAAGTTGATTGACATTCCACAGAAAGCATCTCCTAGATGATGTGCTCCTACTGCAGTTGATGATCTTGATACAGCTCCTGTTAACCGAGAATGTGCCTGGCCTGGACCTTTGCTCCACACTAGTTCCAATAAGCGATGCTCATTCACAAAAGTGGGTACTGCAGATAGATAAAGATTTGAAGTATCAAGTGTTATAATTATGATATCCTGAGATGTTAATCTGTAAGAAATAATAAACACTAGTCATTTCAGATTACATTACAGACTCTTGAGAGATTGAACAATAGCTCATTTGTAATTTATATAGATCTAGAGCTGTGGTTAGAGATACATAAATAGTGACATTATATAAACCCGATGTTTCTTCTACTTGTTGTAAATCTTCCTTTGGTATCAGTATACTGAGTTAATCTAAGCTAGTTCATTATCAATCTTCGTTATTCACCAATCTAATACAGTTGATATATGCTTTCAGGGATGAACTTGGAGTGAAACAAAAAGAAGTTATGGTCAGAAAGCTACACTTATCAGTAAAGTTAAACCAGAATCTGAGCAATATCATCTGAACTCCCTAGTGAGTCTTTCATCCAAAGGTTATCTCTTAAGATTCATTAGAGCATTTCGTGGAATATAATGATCATTATGGGTAAACCCCACATTTAGGTTAGGCTGTATGCAAGTCTTAGTAAACAACTACGACAGCGGAGGAATCTACCTAGACCTTACGTGTTATTTGATTGTTATTTGTCTCCCTTCCTCTCTCAAGTAGTGGCTGCCGTCTCTTGGTTTTTTGCCAATTGATAAGTTATGTATTGATCTAATTACAATAGTGCCATTGATCTAAGATTTTAATCCATAGAAGTGATAGACGTTTAATTACTACCTAGTCCCTTCATAATGATTAGGTATACTATATAGAAAAGATATTAGATTGAGCATATAGGTTTATTAATGACGTCACTTCACTCGGATCATATTATAGATGAGCGAATTTGAATTCAAAGGTAGGTAGTTGAAGTTATTTATTTGATTAATAAGTTTCCAGAAATGAAGTAGTAGAGACAGAAATGTGTAGATGCATTGTGATATGGCCCCTCTGAAGATGGCCGTTATGCTAGTAACAGAACAGATATACCAAAGACATGTAAAACCAATAGTTCGCGAATTGAGTCTGCATTGTTGAGATCCTCTTTGGCGCCTGGTATTTAATCTTAATGTTTAGTCCAGGGCAAAGCCTCTTTCGCAGAGGAGAAGAATTCTTTGCCATATTCCTCGATTTGGTCGAGTTTGCTTCTGCTCTGAGTCTCTGCCGTCCAAACCGAGGCATTAGATTTCACGCTTCTGAAGCTTCCTCCGAAGATAGATTTCTTTTTCCTGCGATGAATTAGTAAAATATTGGATGTGTAAATATCAGGGTACTTACGGATCTCTACTCTCTCGGAACTGCTTTCTTTGGCAGACTCTTGCAATATCCCAGATACTACATAGTTTCTGGAACATTTCTCTTCCGCTCTTACTTTCTAACAGAAACCTATCAATCGACTCCGGTGTTACTTTTGAATGTTTTTCCAGACTGCCAGCGAGTAGTTTCTGGAATCCCTCTTCAAATTCTGTATCAACAGCCCGGTTTTCTGCGCCGCATCTGTACAATTCATAACGCATGTTTATAAGCTTTACAAATGCTGCGCTTTTTCCATATCTCTCCACCGTGTCTATAGATACACCATATATCTCTTGGAACCATGCTTGCTCGTTGATATCAGGATTGGATTTGATTCGAAAAACGTCGGCCAGACAACTACACGAATATTAGCAATTGAGTCCATGAGGAATAAGAGTAGATTTCACTTACGTTCCACCATGTGCTGAGATATTTCCTGTCTCAATAATGTAGTCATCCCGAATCTCATGTGGCTTCGTCAGCTCTCTCTTTCGGTTCAAGATGCTAACAGAAACTTCACGATGGGCAGCTAGTTCCTGACCGACTCTCTGCATCTCAGCGGCTGAAGCTAACTTTTCTTCTTCGAGTTTGGCGATTATGCTTTCTTGTTCCTTTAGCTTCTGCTCATATTCTATCTTCTTCTCGGCTGCCAAAGATTTTTTGTTCTCTTCAAGGTGGGCAATAACCATGCTCTGTTCTGTCAACTTCTTTTCATAAGTATTTTTGACTGCAGCTACCGAGTTCTTGGATTTCTGTTCGATATCGGCGACAATAACCTTCAGTTCCTTCAACTTTGCCTCATACCTCCTAGTTTTCTCGGCCGCTGATAATTTCTCCTTTTCTTTCAAGCTTGCGATAACTTTACTTTGTTCCATCATCTCTTTCTCATGCTTACTTTTCATTTCAAGAATCGAGATCACTTGGGTTTTCTCTCTCTCCTGAACGCTAGAAAGAACGCTAGCTTGCACCTTCAACTTTTTTTCTTGCTCAATGCTGTTACACTTTAGCTTTGTGTTCTCAGCCGAAATCTCGGAATGCTCAGAACTGATTTCAGTTACTGCTTTTGCTAAAGCGTCTGATTGTTTATCGAGCTTCATAAATTGATCTTCGAGCCCCTTGTTGCTAATAATTATCTCAAGGTCATCCCGTCTAGTGTGCGTCATCTGCCATGATGCAACCGCCGATTCGTAATCCTAAAGAGACTATTAGATTTTCTCACACAACTGTTCACAGGGGGTGGAGACTACCTCTCGATCTTTCCATAACCGTGTTGTATCGAAAGTTTGTCTCTTTTGAATGATATCGCGAATGAGACGTGCCCAAGTCTCTCTCGCTTTAAGCTGAGCGTCGTTGTAAACTATATTTGATTCGGCGTCGATTTTCTCAAATATGCCGATCCTGATTTTAGTCAACCTTTTCTCTGCTCCAGCTATCTCATTGGCTATACCCAATTCCCTGATTGCTACTCGAAGCCATCTGTTTTCCGTTTTCAATTTGAGATTAGCTTGTTTCAGTTTATCGATCTCTAAGATTTGGGTCTGTTCAACGGGCAGGTTCGGGACGTCATTCCGAAACGTGAGCTGGGTGCTGGTCGGAGCGTCTATAGGCGGCATTTTAGACTATGTAGAGTTTGAAGTAAGAAATCGTAAGACTTGGTTGACTATTGTAGGGTCGCGACCATAGTTTATCAGTGGTAGTTAAATATCAAAATATATGGAGAGTGTGTCGTGGAAACTTTATGGGTATGTTTTCTGAAAGACTGGGGTGACCGCTTTTTTATCACCAAGTTAAGCGAAAATTATAAGTTTCACTACTGCTAATTCATAAGGATGTTTCAATTCACTCGAGATACTGTCTGCCAAGCATCAATACAGACTTGTACCTAGGAGTAATAGCAATCTAGCTATTTTCAAGAATCACATACAGGCAGGTACTGCAACACATAAGACCTAAGCTATGTCGGTTGTTTTGATCTTTCTGGGTGATAAAGAGGACTAGAATGATTTTCAGGGAATATTGTTAAAGCATATAATGATCATATTCAAATCATCTTGGATTAAAGTATTGTAACTCTTGATGGATGTATGACTAGAGCACAGCCACATGCACATCTTTGATTATACTGCGGTCACTGGGTACATACATATAGTGAAAGTCTAATCGTGTTGATCCTTGCTTGTAATTTTCGACAGTCTGGTTTGTTACCGTCTGCATTCACTCTCTGGGCCTTTCAGGCAGGAGAGTTATTAGAGTAATGTGACCGATAGATTACAAGAATGTGAGAATTACATTATACACTTGCTGAATTCACACAGATTTATGAAATTTTCAACCAAATAAAATTAGAATGTACATAATTAGGTAGTAGCTAATCTAATGAAGTAAATTGCTTTTTGGGGATAAAACAAATGAATCTGTACAATGAAAAAATAAGGTTTCTTCAAAAACCAAGAATACATATGCATAGATTCATACGAAATGACCTTGTTCATAATCACAGTCCTAGAAAACCAAAACATGCACATACTATATATTATATGAGTGAGGTTGAGTACATCAAATATACACATTATCGGATTATTTTATTGTCCCTATTAAGGGACAGATATTTCTTGCGGTATTTCGTCCTCCCACAGAATGCAGAGGTCGAAATAGGCGCGTCTGGGTTCCGTATCCGTGTTTCCCACTAGGATGCTTTGCATTGATTCGGTTCCCCGAGCCTTGACCAAAATCTTCTCCAACAGCTTTTGAAAACCCTCTTCAAAAACATCAGCAATATTTCCAATGTTGTATTTATAGCGATAAACCTCGTATCTCATATTAATGAGTCTTCTGAATGCCGTGCTGCTTTCGAATTGCAATACAATATCGGGAGTTGTACCGTAATATTCCTTATACCATTCCAAATCGTTGTCGCAAGTGGACTTGATCCGGTAAGCATCTGCGAGACATCTTCTAAATGTTAGCAATTAGATCTTCAATTTATTGAGAAAGAAAGAGATTAACTCACGTTCCTCCATGCGCAACCTTGTTGCCTTTTTCAATGATTTTGATGTCGCGTAGATGAGATGATTTGCTCCATTCGCTTTTTCTCTTTAGAATACCTTCAACTACTTCACTGTAAACTTCAAGCACATGATCCAGGTCCATAAGCTCATTATTCCGATTCTGAAGAGTGCTTCGTAATTCCTCCCTTTCTTTCTTAAGACTGGTAATGATATGATCCTTTCTGCTCAAATCCTCGCACGATTGTTTCAATTGAGTACGTGCTAATTTGGCAAACTTGTCACTTTGCTCCTTGGCTTTGTCAGCAGCCGATGCCCGCGCTGACAATCCTTTGCACTGGATTTCTAAACCATCCAAGCGATTGGTGAGCAGGTGGGTCAATTTGTTCTCTTCAGACAACTTCTGCTTTATACTGTCTAGCATCTTATCTACAAGTGAGATTCTCTCAGCCAACGCCTTCGAGGCGTTGCAACGGGACTGGGTCAACGCGGACTGAAGAAGTTTGTTACCCCTATGAAGTGCTAACTTCTCCTTGATAAGCCTGTCTCGTTCTTGTTGATGCTGAGATCTAATTTTCATACTCTGGCGTCTCAACTTCAAGCATAGATTTTTCCAGTCAGTTGTATCTTCGCCTACATCACAGTCTTCGTTTTTCTCAAGCATTGAAATATTCAATGTCATGGGAATACCGCTCATACTTTCATGACTAGTAAGCTGCGATATATTCGGTAGTGATGCTGACAGGGAATTTTGGGATCTTGGGGCGGACATCGGAGTCTTTCGGTCCTTCATTGTTGATTCGTTAGCAACAAGTTTATATATTTGTAGTGTTGATTTATTTATGTGATTGAAAACTTTTGAGACAAGAGACCGAGAAAAATAAAAAGGGAGTGGTTATGGTCGCAGATTTTGAAGACTAGTCCGTGAAATGATGATCAATAATGAACTAAAAGAATGGAATCAGTCTTGTAAATGTTTGAAGATTTTATACTAAGATGTCAGATGTTGGCACAGTCATGTGGTTGTACTGACGATAGCGCTAGCGACTCGAAACTACCGTAGCAACAGTTTTATGTACTTAGATACGTTCAATTACATATAGACTAGTTTCATTCAAGTAACATAAACATCGTGAGCTGCAGTATTATATCGACCGCAACACATCTTTGGTAGATGGCCTTTCTGTGCCTTAGCTGGATTATACACGAGGATTCGCATATCCGCGAAAACCTTCGATTAAATTATACGTCACCATGGCTGCAAACACACTTCCTAGCTTGGTTTCAAATTCTGACCCTTCCCAGGGTGTATGTAGCACCCAAAGACATGTAATATAGCAGTAGGTAGGTACCAATCGTAAGTCCAGCGGCATCCATATAAGGAATTAAGCGAGATTCACGTGTTCTGTTCAGGTACGGTAGGTAGAAAAAAGATTAGGCTAGTGGTTTCCTCTGATAGTTGAAGGCTGAGCGAAGATATGATCATCAATTATTAATTTTAGAGAAGAATCGGGCCCGAATTCTTAAGTTCGAGTTTTCCTACTCACTGGCGATACCGGGCGTATCATTATCTGTGTAAGTGTTATCTTCGCTTGTTGGTTTCAATTTGTGTGGGTAAATGTGACTTGTGAAATAAGTTGAGAATTTTTATAGATACAGTAATCTATTAGTTTGCCAGTATGACCCATTTGTATCGTGTAAATTGTCCTTATACAGTCGTAAGTTATCAGAAAACAAGTAATCTCTCTCATCACAGGCCAGCTTTTCCCACACCAAACTAACCGTCCAGGCTCCAGCCTAGAGAATCTTCTCTATTGCACTCTTCATGCCCTCACTGATAGTTCCCATGATACTGCTACCTTGTTTCCATCTAGAACGATTTGTTCTTCCAGAGAAGTTAGATCTGCGTCCGAAAGACATCGCTTTGCTGTTTTGTGTCTAGTTAGCATACTAGAAGAATAAAATTGGAAGTCTCTTTACTTACGGATCCTTCCTGATCTCCTTACGAGTGGTCTGATCTTTATCAATTGCTGCGACCCATTTGCTACAAACTTCCTGAAATAATGCCTTGACAACTGGGTCCTTCAACAGCAGCGTCTCCATGATATATGCATCATCTTTATCAGTTTGGCCTTCCGCGGGTAGACTTTCGTTGATCTGCGTCTTTATTTTCTGGAACGTAGTCTCAAACTCGCTTATAATCTGCTGATCGATGTATTCGAGATTTCGCAAGTCGAATCGCATATTAATGAGTTTTCGAAACGCAGAACTCCCCTTGAACCTCTGAGCACCTTTGTCTGTTACGCCATACCCCTTTTCAAACCAGTCTGAGTCGCCATCCATAGGCTTAATTTCTATTCTCTGCAAGTCTGCTAAGCATCTATTAATTTGATTAGTAAGTTTACAATTGTCTTTCACTAATTGAAATGACTGACCTTCCACCATGAGCAGCAGAATTGCCTTCCTCAATCAGGGGTGAGTTTCTCAGATTGCCAGGTTTGGAAAGCTCTCTCTTGCGACCAAGTATCTGAACTGCAACTTCGATTAGTGGCTCGTGTTTTTTGTCAAGAGTCTCAAGATCTGCGAGGGAAGATGTCTGGAGATTGGCGATCTCCACATTTTTTGTCTGGAGAGATGCCGCATGTTCTTTTGCCATATTCTCAACAAGAAAGCTGTTTTGGTTCTTCCATTCAAGTAGCTGGGCAATTTTGATATCCTGTCTCTGGATAATCCTGTCCGCTTCTATTAACTCTTTGCGAGCTATCTTTAATTCTGTTTCCTTCGAGTTATCTAAGATGGGACTGGTGACTGGCACGGTCGTCTCCTCAGCACGGTGATTTTTCTGCCCAGAGAGTGGTTCAGAATCGACACCACGAGTTTCGTTGGTCACTTTTGTTCCGCGTTTTTGGAGTTCCTCCCAAGTCATTTTTTCTACCCCATGGTTTATTGAGAACGGGGTAGTACTCGTAGTAGACTTTTCTGGAGATGACTCGAATATATCTATGATTGTAGGAAGCTCAATAGTGTTGGGTTGTTCGTTTGTTTCATCCACGGTACTCCCCTTTGTGTTGAACGCTACCTCTAGCCTACGAATGACTCCTTCTTTCATGTGTTCGGGGACTAAACTCAAGTTAAAGAACCCATGTGCGAGATCTATCAGGAACATTTTTCGGTCTGCTTCGGGAATGTCCATAAAATTGATGACGTTGTCATTGACCGAGACTCCGTTGTTTCGGGAAGAGGATTGCGAAGCCGACATCGTAGCAATTGCGGAAAGACGGACTATATCTGGAAGTAATTGTTGAATAGTGGAGAGGTGAGGCTGTCACCACGTCGGAGAAATACTTGAGGTAATGTGAAAGAGACAGGTTTCAAGACTTGATAGGAAATTTTGCTCTTATTATTGAAATCAAAGTTAACGTCGTAGTCTTAAAAAAAAGGAAGCAATAAAAGTGTAAACATTACTTGAGTATGGTTCTTTCAGTATCTATTCAGAAGTTCTTATTTCCTGAGTATACGGCTGCAGTCATCTGAGTATACGGCTGCAGTCATACAGGGTTATGTTTCCCCGAGATTACCCCTTTGCCTCACTAAATCATGCAATCTCGGGTGCTTGATGGGCTTGTGAATCTCTTCAAGTAGTGAATTTGGTAAAAACTATTGCGTTATTCAATGTAATAAAGATTTAACAAAATTGAGGGGTAAAGACATGGATGTCAAGAATCATGAATAACAGAGATTAACAAGGCAGCCAAACAAAAAATTCATGAGGAACCATGCAACAATGCACTGGTAAGGTCGAGTTAACTATTTAAAGGCTACAATATATATATATATGTGTGTGTATGTGTATATTTAAAATCAAAACTTGCAACAGCATATTTGATGCTCTCTTTTCTGTGGAGTAAGTCTCAGCTTGTGTCTTTCATCAATGATGTATTTCACAACTAGGCGAGGTTGTCAGGGGGTCAAAGCATGCGGAAAATGTCGAGAGTAAATAATATCACATTGTAAACCAGAGATCTCAATGGAGAGATAAACACGGTGAGAGTCAGTCTGGTTGAACTTCTATCTCGCAGGATAAACTTGTCATGGTGGAACTGTTCTGTCAAATTTAGCATGGGTGACTTGTCGTTCCGGGTGATTTCATTACAATTTGGGATGTTTCTACATATTCAGACCATTAGCTATTGACTACGTAGCCGTCAGATTGTTGCCAATATTAGACGCATGGAACTTGACAAGTCATTATCAGATTCAAGGTTGATTGGATGATGTGGATTGTTCGACCATAATGCTAAGGCGAATTGAATGCTGATTCCATCTTGATACCTCAGTATAAATTTCTCCAAGCCCCACCAGTTGGTAGATACCCAAACAGTTCTTGAGCGAGCTCCAAGTTATCTTCAGTGCGGCTTTCGAGATCATCCTTTTCCTCTTCACTTTATCCATGGCGCTGACGAGTCTTTCTTTGATCAGCGTAAAGTTGACATTCGATCTCGTTCAACTCTTCAAGCTCCTTGCATACTTCAGCATCCGCAGCCCACTCAACATCATTCTTAAGCTTTTTCTGCGGGTATACCGTTAAAACAAGTACAGCCACTTGATATTGCAGCTGCTCATGGTTCAAGCCCCTCGCAGACTCCAAGTCTAGAGGCAATAAAAGCTTGAAGCTGCCATTTATTTTGACCAGTTGAACAAAAATGCAAAATGATGAGTTGGCAATGATGACGCTAGGTTCAACACAATAGATGTCCTTGTAATGTTCCGAGAAGCCTTCCCTATACTCGAGCAGGGACGGATGAAGAACAACAAATGCATCGGCAACTGGGTTTGAACCATGTGCAGCAAAATTGCCACGATCTTTGAAATGTTTCTTGGGGATTGAAGAAGTTTGGATAGATCCTGACAGGCTGGAAGCCATCAATCGACGCCGAATTAAGAGACCGACCAAATACAGTGCAGTCATCCCTTCATTCTGCCTTTTGAAATCATTAAGCTTAACTTTCATATTCTTAATGATCTCCCTCAATGTTTGCCGTTCTGCCTCATCTTTTATTTCTATTTCATGCTCGGAATTTTTCAAGTCGGTCGAGTCGGACTCGTCAGAGATGTCAGAGTCATCATTTTCGTCGGAGTCGTAGGAATCCTCTGAGTCGCTGGAACTATCGGAGTCATTATCGGAGCCGTCAGTGTCGTCGGAGTCGTCGATATTATAATTGGAGACTATTGGGTCATTTCTGATGATAGATGCTTGTTTCTGGCGCTTCATGACTGCCTTGAGGCTTTCGATGCAGGAATTTCTGTCCCTAATGGTCTTTCGCAGTCCATCGATGATGCTTCTGTTGACTTCATTTTCCGTTTTTTGTGCCGCGAGTTCACATCGAAGGGTAGCAGTAATGCTCTAGGGCGGAGGATATTAGCTCATGTCAAGCAATTAAATTCTGAAAACATACCTTGAACTGCATAAACAGTTCTTCTTCCTCCATCTTGGCACGCTCTGGATTCCCTTGATGTTATAGGACTCTCGATGCCACAGGGCGAATTGCGGCGTTGTTGGCGACAAGAGAAGCTTGAAGGGACACCGATCTGAGAAAGGTTCGATTGTTTTTCTCGATTTTTCTCTCAGAATATTTACGCGTTCTAGTCGCGGGTTTGAACAACGAGTGAATTTACATCTAATGTCGGGAACTCGGCGCAATCAACTATGCCACTTCAACGAAGAAGATCTCACAGTCATTTGAATACTTGGTTCTTATGTTTGCTACCTACGCTCAAAACTCGGGAGCAAATACTAAGAATTCAAAAGAATGCATGTAAACGAAATGATTAGTGAGAGGTTCTTGTCTTTTCCAAGCAGGTTATTTACCATACATCACGGTATCTCCAATAAAAGAATCGTACATCTTCATTACATCCACTCGTGATGCTCGCAAGCCTTTGTGACTGAGCACTATGTTTGTGCGGTATTCCTTATGCTGTTTCTGAAATTCTTCTCGAACGCTCCAAAGCTTATGGCATTCTCTAGGTAGACAAGGCCTCACATTGGCGAGGATCTTCGTTTATATTATATCTCTAGAGTTCTTAGAATATTTTAATTGCCCCCTATATTCCCGGCATTCATAGTATATCAAGCTTCTACAGTACCATGATTTAAATTTCCAATAAAAGCTGACCATATTTAAAATATGCTGCCTGTTATTACAGGGATGTGCGAGCCCCAGAGCAATTTGGGGTGTAAGAGATGTATCTCGTCATTCTAGCACTTAAAAGCAGGATCTGGGCAGCTTCCGAAATTATGCTGCGGGTTTGACATCATCGCCATATGCACATCACAGCATGCTTGAGCATCGCGTGCTGCATCATTGTCGGATTGTATGACGTACTCCCTGGAGACAGCGCCGACCGATTCTGGGTTCAAATTCGAGTTCTATTATTCGGGCTCTAGCCTTAAGCTTGATGCTATCTGTTGCATCTATTAAGGCTCTGTCATCTCTCGACTCAATATTCAAGTCTTCAAGTACGTACTCCCAGCAGATAACTTCCAGAATCTATTGCTGAGCTATTTCATCTCATAGCTTCTTCCATGTCCCTTGCTGGCCATCTTCGTATTTCTATTGTAGTAGCGATTTCTTCTAGTTGGTCTAAGACTCATTAGTATCGAATCTCGTGAGATTGTGAGAAAAAGATATTACATACACAGAGCACTTGTAAGTTTTTAGACACTATTTTAACATCTTGATCTGGAAGGAGCAAATATATGAAGTTGGGGTTCTTGTTTGAGAGGAAAATCAGATGCCCAAGAGAATTGGAAGAAGAAACCGAATTGAAGGGTATCGGTGGCTGAAATTCTGTAAAATATCGATATTACAAGTACTTAGAAAAATATTTAATTGAAAGCTAGCCAGCGTACAATTTGTACCCTCCCTCATCTGAAGTGTTACATTTTTGGATAGAATGAACATCATGTTTCTCTCAACTTTGCTTTGACCTTTTGCGAGAGAGACTTAGATTTGCACGGAAACTTCTATGTGCAGCTTTTAGCTTGGACATTATACGTTGTAGATCACCAAATTCCTTCATCACTTCTTCGTCCTCCTCAAAATCATCATCATTCACAAACTCTTCTAGAGTAGAAATCCTATCGACCAGATCTTTGATGCGCTCTCTGAGCATACCGTATGTATTACCTACGATACCCTCAAGATTCCACAGCCTGAGATTCTCATACCAGTTGATCAAGTAAACCAGGTAAGAGAATCCTGTATCCTGGGATGAATGCGGTTTTGATGACTTGAGTACAAGCTCAGGAGAGACAATATAATTCAACAGGAATTGCTCCCTGAGTCCAGGGCACCGATTCAAAGTCGCATTCCCGCTTTCGCTGCCAACTTCAACGGTGGGGTCAAATTTACCAATCATATGAGCATCAGCAATTGCATCTGCGCCATGTGCAGCAAAGTTTCCGGGTTTTAAGATATTATCTCTAGCTGTAGAGCCGGTTCTGGCTGCGAAATCAAGCTCCAACTTGCGAGCTCGAATCTTAAGGCCTATCTCGGATAATGGCTTTCTGAACGATTCTGTCTCTTCGAGAAACTTGTGGCCGGACTTTGCACTGCTTTCCTTTTCGCAGATATACGTAAGTTGACTGGACAAGTGTTCAATGACATTCTCATTAATTGCCTTTCTCTCGGCATCCAGCTGCACCACCTTGACTACGTGATGGAGTTTTTTCTCTGCGACAAATTAGTATCAGTAGATATTGATCCAAACTGTAAGCTTTCTTACCTTGAGTTAATTCGCCTACAAGCTCGAGGACTTCCAAACTACCAAAAACTGGTCCAGAATTTGGTTGCGCACTTGAAGGGAGTAGAGTTACCTGCGCTATGGTTCTATCTTTGTCTGCCAAGATTTGATTTACGTTCGAGATGATACGATCCTTTTCAGCGATAACTCGGTCATTGTTATCGACGTTTCTCTTGAGGGCCTCGTTTTCTTCGCAAATATTCTTGAGAGCGTCGGTCTGCTTAAGCGCTTTCAGTTCTTTGGTTTGATTCTCGTACCCAGAGTGTAGTATCATATATCCTTTTTGCCAGTGTTCCAATCTGGAGCCAGCATCAGAGACTTCCTGCTTGGAGCTTTCATTCGAGGTCTTATGAAGACAATATCCCTCTTCGCAACTCTTTTCTTGCCATGCAACAATTTTTTGAAGTTTCTCAATGGTGATGTCTCGGTCCTTGATAGTTTGATCTTTTTCTGATACAGTCGTATGAAGTTCTTTGATCTTTCGATGAGTTTTGGAGGCGTCGATCGAAGCTGATATAAGAGAGCTGCGAATGCAATCATTATCTTCTTTCGCCTTTTTCAAAAGAGCATCCTTCTCCACGAGCTGCTTTTTCAAATCGCATATCAGAGCCTGTCAATTAGTCAGAAGCAGCTTCACAGCAAATTTCAAAATGCTAACAAACCTTAATGGGCTGAAAAATCTCATATTCTTCCATTTTGTGAGATTGTCGACGAATTTCCAAATGAAAGGCTGCGAATTTTGTTCTCTTGGTTACGAAGACGGGGTAAAATAACGTCAAGCAAATCCGCCGCCAAACCCGAATTTGTAAAGATCGAAGTGCGAATCAAACTGATAAGCCAAGCAAAAGCACAGTATTGAAGAGCGTCGTCAATATTGTACATCAATTGAGCCAAAGACACCGATAAACAAATTGTCGTGATGCGATTCCTGAGCGCGACAGCAAAAGAAAGTGAAATTGAGAAATTATGTGACCAAGATCAAAGTCGCAGAAATCAATCCGTGCCTCTGATAAACTGATCCAGAGATAGTGCACTCGCGGTTGCTGTCGTCAGTTCCTATCCATCCAATAAATTTTGGTGTCGTCGAAATGTTTCTTGTATTACGGGCAGAATGGACGGAAGAGACCAGACGAGAGATTTTGGATTAGGCGAAAAGTTGCGGAGAATTTTTATGCTGGATTGAGAATTGTGGTGTGTGAAAAGTGAATCACTTGCTATTCCTGACATCTCGATGGCATAGAATATATTGATTTAAACTTGGGAGACTTCATTTTGATGCTGGTTGAGTGTTGAATTTGTTAAATTCAAGGTTAATTTTGTGGGCTTCGCATCGTGGACTGGACAGAGGAAGAGTTACTCTTATAAATAGGGGATGGGCATGTTAGAGAATCGCTTGCACACATTATTAGTCTGACAAAGCAATCAAACGCTGTTTGTAGATCGCCAATAAGCAAGCTAGAGCAACATCTCCAGCTTTGTGATGGATTCTGGAGAATCATGTTTGTGTATTGAGTATTTTGATTCTTGTCTATGATCTAACTACACTTTTTTGTGACAGCTCAAGGCAAGCAAAACTGTAATGTAACATTCCACTCCATCGCCGTTTGATACATGTCAATTCCAGCAATCATGATAATAATCCGAAGTTTACCAAGGCTCGATGTAATCTGCCTGTAAATCCTGCAGCTCTGATGTTTCCAGGACTTTCAGATTGTGCTGATATGGATCATTCTTACTTACCCTACTACTAGTTTCTCTGCTTCCCCTAGATTCCCTACCTCCTCTAGATGCCCTACCTCCTCTAGTTGTCCTCCCTCCTCTAGCCGTTCTACCTTTCCAACCTCTCATCGTCCTGTTCCAGTCTTCATGCATTGGCTTTTGAGATGGAACAGGAAGAGTAGCGGGACTAGTACTCCGCATATCTTCCAGCGAACTTTCTTTGGTAGTTACGGTACACGGTCCCCAACCATCATCTATCGGGTTCTGACTTTCATCAGATGCTAATTTGACGCTGGATACCGATGGAAGTCCATTCCAATCAAGAGGAACCGGCTGGAGAGGGAGACCAGAATTCATATGGGGAGGAGTATCAATTCGATCCTCAAAATATTGACTTTGACTCATACCCGGCTTCGAACTTTCTTCCGTTGGACTCTTGTTGTTGATGGGAGACTCTGCTCTATGAGTATCCTTGATTGACCAATCCTGTCCACTGATTTGGACGTGGTCGACTTCTAAGAAAACAGGTTGATCGACTCGTTGATATTTTATCTTGTTCATATTTTCCTCCTTTAGGTACAGGCTTTCTAGTTCTCGGAGGATAGAGTCCCACTTAATAAGTTTCAGCCAATCGTGCTTGTGAGCTGTGAATGGGTATATGCCAAATTTTGCACTCTCTGTAACGAAATCCGTCCTAAGATAATCTCGGTTGGTGCGCCATTGTTTGATGCGAGCGAACCAGTTAATCACTTTGATCAATGGCTTAGAGTGATCATAGCTAGCCATTGAAATAATCTCGATTGGAGAATGGTGGTAAGTTTGTTGGTATAGCTCGTCATCATGAGGCTTTTCGCACTTGTTATCAAACAGTTCTGGGACAAACATTACAGCGTCAAGTAAAGCGTCAGCATAATGTGCGACCTCGCCTCCCTTCTCAATGACAGTCATATCCCTTCCTTGCGGAATCTTCAGCCATTCTAAATGACGACTTCGGATTGCAAAGCCGGCTTGTTGTGGAAGTGCGCGTAATGTGGCACAGAACTCTTTCTTTTCCAGTATTGCCTCTAGTCTCATGCGATCCAATGCATGCCGCCTTGTCAATTTTTCATGGGCTTGAGTGCTATCACTATTATGCGTTCTTTCGATCTCAGTGAGGGCAAGATTCAGATCGACAGTCGTCTTGAAAGTTTTCCGGACATTTCTCAGCCATGCAGTAACTTCTTCAAAGTGCGTCTCATCGAAAGAGACACCCATGCGCGACCAAACTTTGAAGAAGGTCGTGGAATCAAATGTTTGTGGACTGTAGCTCTTTGCTAAAGCATATTGGTTTACCAAATCTGCAAACTTAGGAAAATTTTCAAATCTTTTGGCAGTAGTCCATTTGATACCATATATTCGGGTAAATGTTTCGCCGTCGGCACGATGTCCTGGTATTTGAGGATCAAGGTATAGAGTCATGTCGGCAAGAACATCAAAATCATGAGTCGATTTAGATCCATATGGAACAAGTGCTTGGGTAGGGGCGAAAGAACCTGGGTTACGCAACCGATGACTCTCAACGAAAGTCGTTCGCACCTCTAGCCCAACGGTGTCAAACTCTGTGCTTCTGCAGCTTAATGCTTTTTCCACAGCCTCCTTCATCACAGTTTCAAACTCTGTTCTCTGACGACTCAACGCTTTATCCACGGCCTCCTTCACAGCAGCAGCAACGTGTTTCTTCGCTTCCAAATCTTTGTTTCGGTTTTGGTTCTCCCAGGACCACTTACAACTTTGATGCTCAAGCTTCAGGTTGTCGATATTTCTTTTCAGCTTTTCAACCTCGCTATTATAGTAATCGCAATGGTCCTTTGCGAGTTGCCTGAGAGACTCCACTTCCTCCTTCAACTTCCCATTTTCTCTGACTAAACATTGCTCCCATGTCCATTGTCGCTGCTGAAAATGTTTGGCTTGCCGAATTGTCTCCAGGTAATGATCCTGCGACAAAATTTCTCCAACAAGTGTATCGTGCGCACTCTTTGCAGTTATCAATGACGCTGTTTCCTCCGCCAATTGAGCGCCCGCTGTGTTCATTTCCAACTTCTTGCGGTCGAAATCCTCTGCGCAACTGCGAATCTTCTCTTCTTTGGCTTCGACTTCTTCTCTCAAGCTAAGTAGTTCGGTTTTCTTTGTGGCTAGTTTCTCTTTGATTGCGGTCGTTGGATCTGGAAATTGGTAATTATGGAGAGATGATATGAAATCGCCTTGATCTTCCGAGTCATTGTCTTTAGAATTCATACTTGAAGCTTGATGATGAGGAGATGAGTAGGAATCATCAATTCCCCATCCGCCGCCGTCATTGGGGGGTGACCACGACATGGTGCTTTGTGTTTTGAAAAGATTATCTTGATTTGTGTTGTGACTCAAGAGGGATGAAATCAAGACGAAATCGGGAAGCGGGAAATATATATCTTCACCAGGCTACCAGTATTTCCAAAGTGAAAATACGCTAAGCCAAATGGATTTTCAAGCTTCACTTACTGAAGCGAAGTTTGAAAATTAAGGATGTTGGCGATGGCTGTCATCTCGTGAGCTCATGTGAAGAGACATAACAGTGTAACCAATAAAAACGAAATCGTCAACGTCAATGACTGAATGTTTATCTTATACATCTTGCGAATTCGCATTTGTGATATCAAAATCTCACAATCATATAAGCGTAATTGACAGCGAAAGGTCATCAATAAACTGCTCTGGATCACATGATTTACCTACGGAGCTCACTTAAATGGCAGATACACTTGTACCAAGCACTTGATCCTCTCCTGGTTTAGAGAACACTCTTCGGCGTTGTTTTCACTCGGGAATATGTATTTAAAACACGCGATCCTATATCGTTGCATTTGTGGTTCATACTCATATTTTTCACACTGGGTAATGATCTTGTGTTTGACTTGAGTGAAGGTACTTCCATTCGTCATCGCACTCCTACACTCCCACGTTCTACCTGAGAGGCACACTTCAAAGCACATAGAAGTCTCCAATTCCAAGCAGATCATAAAGCACTCATCTATCTCTGGACTTAAATGTCAATATCATTTATCTGAACCGTCCAATCTTCAGTGTCATCAAACTATATACAAAAGAGAACTAAAACTCCTAGTCCATTGGGTATTTTCTGTTGCTTTCTAAAGGAAATTCGTATGCAAGCGTTATGCAGGTGTATCTGTTCGGTCCGTCTAATATAAGTTTCGTGTAGCCAAATTCGTTATCATAAATGTCGTAAAATCCGTCCATATCCATATTCCATCTCATTCTCGTTTCCATGTTTCAAATTGATGCTTCGTCATGCGTCATGCCTTCAAGCCAGCGAACTCTCTCCAACGCTTCACGCCAACACTATTTTCTCCCCTCATTTCCAGAAGCACAAACTGCGTAAGGAACTTTCAACGCGTGGGGAATTCCAGTTCCAATTCCAACCTCGACGCTGTGCAGTAAGTGCTGCACACTCACCCGCCAACCACCCCAACATCAACCCAGTTCTCACACACACCAACATATCTTCCATCTCCAAATCCAATATTCCCATTCCACACCATTCGAGATCAATCTCAAAATCCACGTCCAGCAAATCTTCCAAACCGGAACTAATCCAGTCATTTTGCTCCACCCACCACACTATCCAGAGCATGAATTGACAAAGCATAATCAACGCCAACATGGTCCACCTAATCACACTCTTCACGATACCTCCTTCCATTCTCATCCCCATCCCGTCTGCAAAAGATTCCATCCCGCTTCCAAAAAACACACCCACTTTTCGCACATTCAGTATATAATATGACATCTTTAAAAATAATTTATGATACAGTATCTCTTCTGCCGAACGGCAATCTCGATACCCGAGTGGACTTTGCTACTTTCGCAACAATAGTTTCAAGTGGAACCTGAAGCTGTTCTCCACAATCACAAGCACAAGGAAGATAATCAGACTTACCATTGCCTGATCCCAATCCCACGCTTCGTCTAACCTTCATGTTTCTTCTTTTCTCATCGAGATAACATGCCTTGAGCTTCTTACGGGTAATGTTTCCGCAATATTCGCGCACGGCGTCGAGATCCATGTCCTCGAATGTTGTGTCGATATTCTTGGTCCAGGTTTTGAAGAATTCGGTTTCCATGTAGTCTGATTTGCGCCAGGCCTTGACAGATGAATGCCAGCGGAGCATTTCAATAAATTCTGCGCAATCTTGGAGACGAAGGACGGTTTGCCAGCTTGCCCAGTACAATTCCTTGAAAGTTTCCTCGTCTGTACGTTTCTCGAATGCAATACCCGGGACATGAGAGAAGAGAGTGGCATCAGTAATAGGTCGTCCATTGTAAACACTCGAATTACCCAGTTCGTAGATAGCGTTGCGTTCCTTGGCTTTGGGATCATATGCAGAGTTTCTCTCGAGGAAACGGTTACGGACACGTTGGCCGACAAAGAAAAGATGCTTCATCGATTTTCGCTGTTGGCTAAGAGCAGAGCGAACAGTTTCGGCGATGTATTCTTGAATCTTGGGATTTTCTTTCCACTCTGAAACTTGGCCTTCGGGATTGACAAAGGTGGTTTCACTTTGAAGTTCTTCGTGTGGAGGTGCACCATAGTCGAAATCTGGGTGAGTTGTATTTTCAAGCTTGCGCTTCAATTCAGAATTTTCGACTAGCAAGGCACCAACGTCGATTTTGCCTTTGTGGTTCACGGCTTCTTCGTAAAGTCTGACTTTCTCTGCCAATTTTTGATTCTCCTCGGACAATTGCTCGCATTCTAATGTTTTCATACCAAGTGATGACTCCAGATTGAAGAATTTGATGTTGGTCTCTTCTTCCCGAATCTCAGTTGATAATTGTCCATTTCTCTTGATGAAGTATTGAACAATTTCATTCTTCTCTAGTAACTTGGAGTTGACTTCCTTGAGCCCTGATTCGATTTTCTTTGCCAATGCAGCAAGAGCCACAGCTTCGGAGTGTTCAGAAACCATGTCTTCAGCGCACTTCTTGAGATCTAATTTCTTCACTGCGAGGCGGTCTTCTGGCGTTTCTACTGGAGTGCTCTCTTCCTCTTCGAAGACTATTTCAGTCTCATCATGAGCGTTTTCGTCATCTTCAAAGATAGCGCCGAGACGTTCTCCAGGAGTTTCATCTGGGTAATTATCTTCATCCTCGAAAACAACTCCAGAGTCTTCCATGAGGTCATATTCGGGAGCTGACGAGGTGGGTTCGGCCATGTTAAAATATCCAGATTCTGACATGGTGAAATGATATACTGTACGAAAAAGAGTGTCGTGATATTTTTATTTAAAGATTGAAATATTTAATAATAAAATGAGAAAAGTCTAGACAAGATCAACAACAAAGCTCCCACAATTGGTTTGGCGTTGTGTGCGAGGTTGGATCAAATATGGAAGCTGTGACCGAAACTAGATATGTGGAAAAACCGGTGTAGAAAAAAAGAAAGAAAAAATTCAAGAAACAACTAAATGACTTGAAAAGTTGGAAGATAAATAAGTTATCTACGAAATGAATCGCAGAGTGATGATGGATGAGGGTGGGTTGTGGAGAGAAGAATAAACCAGCGGAACCCAAAGTACATGTATAAAAATAATGCAGGTACGAACGGTACAGTCAGTCATAGAGTCATCACAAAAAAACTTGGACACCAAGCCGACCCGACAACAAAGCAGCAAACAATGTGAGGGTGTATTGGGCGATAAAGAAACACTTCACTTCTCTAGGTAAAGTTTCAAGGTTTCATGTACCTACTGTTGCGATGCCACGTGTTTCATCTCATTCGTGGTTAAAAACGAGGCGGTGGATACGATCGACCAGATTCTTTCGCAACCGCTGGGCCAACAGATTTTTCGACATACTCCGATGCATTATGCATATCAAAGGTGGTAAGGGTGCTAACGGGTTCTTCTCAGGCCTCGAGCTGAATCGGACCATCGACGATTGGAGCCTCATTATTTATCACACCCGCGATGTTTAGAACTTGGCGGTTTATTGGAAAAGAGAAGCAGTAAGCTGGAAAGTTGGAGGGAAAGTTGGAAGGAAAGGGCTGGGAGGGGGCGGGTTATCCTACGAAGGACGAAGTCGATAAGCTGGCTGGGCATCTGCTGGTGGTGGGGCCAAATGCTGTACGTTCCGTGCTTCACTCCTAAGGCCGCCAAATGATATTGAAGAATCGCGGTGTGATTCCCCACACACCTCATGCAGCAAAAAAAGTCCTTTGAATGAGCCAAACGTAAGAAGTGCAGTTAGCAAGATTAAATCGAATAGGAATAAGCGAACATTCTGGGTCGTCGTTTATGCAGAGAATCGAGTGGAAGACGATGCAAAATAACGGGTCAAAAGTGGTCAAAATCACGAAGGTTTAGTATGTAAATCACAAATTGAGGAAGGAGAAGCGAAAGACCATCCACACATGCAAGAATGGGTGACGAATCTGACGATATCTCCAGCTTGTACTCGGGACACGATAGTAAAAAGATATTGGGACACCCCATTTTGCATTTGCATTTGAATTTGCATCTGCATTTATGCATTTTATGACGAAGCAACTTGCTTCTGGTTCCATTGTACACATTCATCAAATGTGACCCCGGAGCCTCCGAAGACATCCAGAGCACTTCCGATTGTAAGATCAACCTTCCCATCACTAAGTCTCTTGACATTATCAAGATCTTGAAGGTTTCTTCCGCCACCAGCATAAGTGACCGGGATACTACACCATTGTGCCAGTTTCTCGACGAGTTGTTCATCGATACCTTTTTGCAACCCCTCATTGTCGGCTGCATGGATTAAGAACTCGGAGCAATATGGTTCTAAAGATTTTATAGATGCTAGAAGATGTATGAGTTTTCAATGACGAAGAGAGGAAAGAAATGAAATACTCACCCTCATTCACCTCCATATCTGTAATGGTTTGCCATTTATTCATAGCCACAAACCAAGTATCATCTCTCTTTCGACAACTCAGATCAATGACAAGTTTTTCTTTATCACCACCAAGAGATTCCAATACGGAGTTTAGTCGTTCTTGGGAGAACTTCCCATTAGGAAAGAGGAAAGAAGTAATGATGACCTACTATTCCCATCAATATCGAACCTTCCACCTCTAAAAACACGACATAAACATACCCTCTCAGCACCCCATTCAATCCACTGCTTAGCATTTTCATCCGTAATACCACCTCCAACCTGAAGACCATTCTTCCACTCTCCTACAGCTTGTTTCGCAGCCTCCTCATTGCCAGGTCCAAGCATAATGACATGAGCACCTGTAAGATCATTGTCCTTGTACAGTTTTGCAAAATGACCAGCCGGTAATTTCGATACATAGTTGGTCTTCAAGTCAGATGAAGCAGTTGTTAATGTACCGCCTACAATCTGCTTCACCTGACCTGAATGCAAGTCTATACAGGGACGAAATTTAGTCATTGTGAGAAGTTTCTCGACGTGATATCTTGCTGTGTAAAGATATTGACCGACAAATTTCTATGTCGAATAATCCCAGGAGAAAGAAAAGAGAGAATCAACTAATTCCGAGATGTGTTGTTGACCCTCTGCCTGTGTAACTAAAATCGTGTTTCGTCTCCCACCAAAATCGTATCGGCAGAATTCCGGCACGATGCCATAATTTTTTCTTATCCAGAACATTTAATATTCTGGGGAAGCTACAAACATCAAGTTTGCGAAAATTACCAAATCCCAGACAAACAATCTTCAAGATGCCTGCCTCACTCGGAAAACGAAAGCGCTCATCCGCGACTAATCCTACCAGCTCGAAACTTTCAAAAGTGCCTAAAACTACCCCAATTATACCAGAACCAGCATCTGAACCCCAATCGGAAGAAGAAGCTTCAGATAGCTCTTCAGAAGGCGACGCAGAGGAGGAGGAAAATGATACTGAGGTTCTCGACCCCCAAGAAATATTCCGTCGTCATTTCGAATCACAGTTCAAACCGCTTCCTCCTACAACCAAAAAGCCTAAAATCACTCCAATAATCGAGAATCCCGACAATGAAGACGAAGATTGGGATGGCTTATCAGACAATTCCGCCGAAGACGACGAGCAGGAAGAAAACGGCGTACAGGTAGTCGAACATGTAAAGAAAATCGATTCCCGGATCGCGGGGATGAGTAAAGGGGAATTGAGGGCTTTCATGGTATGTACAACCATTATTTTCCCTCTACTATGTTTCATCCATCTCCCAAAATTCTCACACACTTTATCTAGTCCTCCAAAATCCCCAAATCACGCCCTACACCCTCCCTTTCCAAACTTGCCGAACTACCAGCCGGCTCCGCAGACGACCCAGGCGCAACCGAAGCACTCAATCTCAAAAACGATCTCGCGCTCCAACGACTCCTCGATGAATCGCACCTCTTGACATCGTCCTCCTCTTCCTCGGCGGCAAACTCCCATGCCGTCCATACTTTACAAGGAAAGAATCGATTGAAAGCCCTGGATATGCGTGTCCAAGCATTGGGCGGGAAAACTAGTATACATACACAAGAAAGTATGCCGATGAATATGCGAAAGGGGATAATCAGGAAAGCGGAGGAGAAGGAGGAGAAGCGAAGGAGAGAGGCAAAAGAGAATGGGATTGTGCTTGAGACGAAAGGAAGAGGAGGAGGAATTAGCGGGGGAAGGGAAAGAAGGAAGGAGAGGAGTGGGACAGGAGGGACTTTTGATTCTGGTCCTGGGGTTGGGAGGATGAGGGGTGCGACGTTGAGTTTAAGTGAAAGGGATGTGGTGGGAATTGAGGGGAGTAAAAGGGGTGGAGGTAGGATGGGTAGGAATGGGAAGAGGGGGGGGAGGGGGAGAGGGAGGGGGAATAGGAGTTAGTGGATTGGTTGTTTGAAACCAATAGGTTTCTATGCAAGAAGTAAAGGGGTGCTGCATGAATACATATTCTACAAAGCAAATAAAGAATTGATACCCAAGCAAACTACATCAAATGTCACATCCGAGATCACAAACAGACATCACGAGCACTTCGGATTGCATCCATCCACATACAAACATAAACAAGGTATCAGTCAATTTCATAATGTACAAATTTCCATTCTCACCAAACCCGGCGCTCCAGAATTCACCAATATTGATTCACAAAGGTAAAAGTAAGTGCCATACAACCCATCCTTTCAGATGATTTGCAGTTGCGTTCATTTAAACAAACAGTTCAGTTCAGCCAAATAACGCGCCCAAGCCCTACCCCTCATGAACTCCGTCCTTCAGTCCCTTCAAATACCAAGGAAGCCTAGGAAATGTCTGTTTTTATAAGTTCTCCTGCCAATAGCTAGAAAATGCTGGGTTTTGCTAAACTCTCCTTTACTGCTTATTTGCATATTGAAAATGTCCGAACGCACCTCCACCATTACTTGGTGTTAGCGGGCCTAAACCATTTCCTCCATTATTATTATGCGCAGGGGTAGTTGCTAAATTGGCATTTCCATTATTCGGAGTACTGGGTGCGCCATTTGCAAACGACGATCCTGAACCATTTTGGTTCGGAGTATTATTTTCTTGGTATTGATTGTAATGTTGTGGGGTGGTTTGCTGGGTAGCAGCTGTATTGGCTTCTTGGAGATTGATACCGAAGACACGACCTAAATGCTCATCTCCAATCTCGCCGTCAAAAAGACGTTCGCGGAGTTTGAAAAAGACTCGACCGTTGACGAGGGAATCGGAACCAGCTTGGTGGACAGCACCTACACGTTTAACTTTGAGGACGTCGATCATGGTTTCAATGTTGGGATGTCGCTCGGTGCGCTGGAGGAGTTCTGCGGTGACGGCGTCGACATGAGAAAGCTGGCCTAACTTGTTCATAATTGTTCCTTGTTGCATGAGATATTTGATATCATATACACTTGGAAAGAACTTTTTCATGAGCATATCGAATTCTCTTTCGTCATCCGGTAAGGGTCTCTGAAGCAGAATCTTTGTAAGATATCCAAAATCGTAGCCGGCGTGCCCTGAGATCCAACGTTTCTCCTCATCACATACAAGTCCGGAACTAATCAATACCGCACCAAACTCGAATGGATCGATGCCTTCTTCCTTTAATCTGTTGAAATCCGTACCGGCAATCTTCCTTTCGTCAATGCCCTTTTCTGCATACATATCATCCGATAGCGAGAATTTAAAGTTGAACTGCCATGTACAAGGTATCTGACCCATGCCGTTGCCAATTCTTCGTCCTGTTGAGTTCCGATCTAGTCCCGAGTCCGAGGGAGGAGTCGCAGGTAATGATTCTCCATCCTCCGAATATAATGTTATGCCCAGTTGTATAAGTTTCAGTAAGTCTACGTTGCATCGTAAGCATTGATAGTGATAATCTCCTTTGCCATTAAATGATCCCATAGGTCGAGCAACGATTCCAGGAAATTTCGCGTCCTAGCAATGTTAACTCCGGCGTCAACAATCACTAATGGAGTATCTTACCATAGAAATATAAGGGTATTTGTCCACTAGTTGCCGCAGAATCGCCATCTCCTCGTGTAAATTCCCCTTCCAAACATCTCTTATTCTACCCTTATCACGTATACCCCGCGTCCCTGAATCTGCCATTCCGTTGTGCCCTTGTTGTTGCAACGGTGCTGCAGCGAAGCTCATTTGTGCAGCTTGACTTGCTAATCCACCGCCTTGCAGTGGAATACCAGGTGCAGAAAATCCTCCTGGTATACCCATACTAGCTCCATTTGCGAATGCATTGCTCATGGAGTTCGCACTCATAAATTGATTTCCGATCGAGCCAGGCGGAGGAAGTCCTGCAGTATGTGGTTGTGTATGAGGCGGATATTGTTGATAATGAGATGCCATACTATTTGGGGCAGCCCCATAGGCTTGCATTCGTGGAGGCATTTTGTTTTCGTCGAGTATGTATGTTGGGTATAGAAGGTGGGTTGATGGCTTTCATGGACGCAAATTGCGCAAGGAGGGGAAGGGTTTCTTTTTTGCAGTCGAAAGCAACAACAATTCTGGACAAGAAAATAAGATGATTATCACTTTGTAAATTATTATTTGCTTTAAAATTCAAAAACTCTCAACACCAAGTCTTGTGTTTCTTAAAGTTCAAGCTGGCTGCTTTGATCAAGCATGAACAATTACTGTAGCTAAGGATGGCGCTTAATGTTAGACGCCCTAATCGTACCCGAACTATACCCGAGCTCGACCTCCATGTTCAATACATTGTTTACCACTTGCCAATAAATCATTAGGTGAAAGTTGTAATTCTCACAATGCAGTGCACAAGGTATGTGTTTCACTGAAGATAGATAATGGTAATTTCTACGTCTCAATCGCTGACTTTTTTAAATAGAATTCTTAGAGCTGCACAACGTGCAAATCTTACTGGTTTCGACCCAAAAGCATTAGCTGCCGCTTCTGGTAAAAATGCAGGCGACCCATGGGCACGACGGTGAGCTCGGAAGCGCATATCCCCAAATTTCGGACTCACCATACTGATAGGTCTTATTAGTGAAGCTTGGAGATATCAAGGACAATACTCGAGGCGGAATCGATTTTCGAACACTTTCCCTGGATTAGGCATTGCGACGGTAGCTTTTGCAGCATATTGCGGATACGAATACTTCTTTTTGGCGGACGAACATCACGGACATGCAGAGGGTCATGGCGATGGACATCACTAAAGAATAAATTGATGGAAAGTTGTTGTACATATGGGTTAAATTTTATCCTTGAGACTGATCCCCTCATTCTCAACACGCACTGCGCACGCTCCATGTATATGGATATGATTTGAATTCTTTATTTCTCTGTGAGGAGGCAAAACATTGACGACTCACTTTCCATACAACGGGCAATATATTGGTAAGCAGCGACGAGAACAAGCACCCTATATTTTCAAAATTCATTGTGCGAGTGTGCAATGATCAGTTTGTCGATATTATGATTCTCCATGGCTCAATCACTGCCAGAGTTCGAATTTCGTTGATTTGAATGGGAGAAATAGGGTAATCTTCCTATATTGAATAGGAAAGGATGGAAGATGTTCACGAAATGATGTTGGAGATTGCTAAACACATTCGTCGATTATATGTTAAAATAACAAGATCATGTCTACTGTGAGAAGCCGAAGTCAAAAATTTAAGGATCCAGTTCGGATGATGCAAAGATTAACCGGGGATGGCAGGAAAGTGAATCGAGACTGGATCGAAAGTGTTGATTGAATAACGAAGGGTTCTCTATCCCCGGAATGAATCTGCTATTTATTACCCAGAAAGTTCAAGAAAAGAACATACAAAGTGAACCAACTCGATCTCTTCGGCTTGGAACACTCTCCCAACTTCGGTCGATCGTCTTCATGATCACCTCTCCCAATACACCATATAGGGCCACAAAAAGATGCCAGAAATCATCACACGATATACGAAATGACTTGCATACTAGAGATGCCGTCTCTTTGAAACCTGGAAAACCAATTGAATGTATGTTTTGAGTTTGGTGTGTGATTCTTTCCATACATAACATCACCATCTCCCAGGCCAAGAGATTCTTTGTAAACAGAATTCCGCCAAATCTCCTTCGAGTGTTCTCATCGGTGCGCTGTCAGTGATATATTGAAAGTAGATTCTGAGACTTCCTCCTCAGCACGCTCTGCCGTATTTTTGACTATGAGAATCAGAAGGTTAAAATTAACTATTAGTACCTACCTAGTACATCCTTATATCCAATTTGCCGGCCCCAACTACCCCGTGCCTTCCTCGGGGATATGTGATCCAGCCTTATCCATCCGAGGTCTACCCATTTTCACAGGCCGGCGCCGCACCTAGTACTAATTAATCCACCGCCGAAAGCCAAAGCATTTCGATATTTCAGCCCGAGCATGACTCGAGGTTAGAATATCCGATATGCATATGGAATAGTCTTGTCAAAATCTGTCCAAATTGGATGAATGTTCCAATGTGATGCACAAAGTTTATTTAGGGAGACGAGATGAATCTGCGTGATTAAGGTTAGGTACGGCTACTATATTTACCAAGTACCTAGATACTAATAATAAGATTACTTGCCTCGTATCTAAGGTTACTTGATGCTTTTTTGTATGAAATAAAGAACTCTTGGCTCGTTATGTTCGTACTCCGTATGTGCCCTCGTATTCTCGTACCTACATCCCATATACCATTCGTACGGTAGATGATTAGTAGCCTTACCGATCAAGTATCAATTATCAACCTTTCATCCATGCAATAAATGACGTCGACCCAGTCAGCCACATTAATCAAAATCTCAGCCTCGTCCAAGGGTAAAAGCAAGCCACAAGAGACTGGCCTATTCTACGAAGTAATGCCATAGGTAAACCCAATTTCTAAGGTTTAAGCTTGTTTGATCAAACCCTGAATCTTTTTTTCTTCATTTGATTCTCTCAATTGATGTTAATTTGTTTTTGCCTCAGCAAGATATTCTTCTTCCCCTATCTTGTTGGTAATACTATTATTGAAGTAACATTTGTTTGTTTCCTCGGAATCCTCAGGAATGAGAACGTCTTTTGGTATTCTTCTTCACACTAACACCTATCCGTCACCACATGGAATCCATGAATGTTTGTTCCAATGGCGATTTCCTTGGGGCTATTGAGGAAACCTCAATATTAACACAGAAAACCAAAGACATGTATGCTTCGCAGCGTGCACTTGAACTGAGAAAGTAAGTCTGGTCCTTTTTCATTGGCTTAAAGGTGTGACCCCTTCGTGGGTGTCTCTTGCTTTCTCTGCTTTGGTGCCAATCTTAGCTTGATTTGGCCGTGTCTCACGTGCACCATGAAAGCGAATACTCGTGATTTCTTGACTAACTGCTTCATTCCTGTCTTTTAGATTTTATGATCCTTATCAAGCGGATATAAATCCTCATTCTTCTGAGGATACTCTAAATGGTCGACTCAATTCTGATGGAGCCCTCGACAATTATGCCGAGGTTGCTATATGGCGTTTAGGGGGCGTTCATTCTATGATCAGGTATGAGAAACGCCAACTCATTGACAAACCGATAGAGCTAACACACACTAGTATCATTGATGGCTCTACTCAATACTTCATTGCAGGAGCACGGCGCGATAAATCTCTACCCGAGGAAGATATCGTCAATGATTCATGGTTTGGTTGTTTTCAAGTGCCAACACCAGGTGGACTTTGTGAAGTCAGGACAAACCAACCACAATCCTAAATATATACTAACCGAGAATTTCAGAATACCTTGGCCATCAATGATGACGAAGATGATCCTTACCCTTGTTTTATTATCGATGACTTAAAGAAAGACCCACGATTTGCCAGTTTATCCATAGTTGATGGTACTTTAGCTTCATACGTTTGGTATGCTGGGGCTCCAATTACTACCAAAAATGGTATCAACATTGGTGTTTTATGTGTCTTCGGTGATCGCCCTAACACTGGGTTTAATTTAGAAAGAAGAAGATGTAGGTTTAGGCCGCAGCTTACCTCACTAAGATCTGTGTTGATACTAACCCAACATCCAGTTTTATATCATCAAGCGAACAATATCATGAAGTACATGGAAACGCAACGAGAGGCTATCGAAAGACATCGAGTTGCGCTCATGTCGAAAGGAATTGCTATCTTCATAGAAAGAACTTCTCGTTACACTAACATTGTCTCTGACAGCCCATACTCCTCAACCATGTCTGTATCAAATACGACCAATGGGTCCGGTACTCAATCCGATAATGATACCAGAATAGACCTTTCTCAGGATGGACAATCTGACACATCAAATCAACCACACCAGTCTTCCGAATCTGTACTTGATCAGATACGAATCACTTTGGATCATGCGGCCGAAATTCTTCGGGAATCGCTTGAACTCAACGTTGGAGGTGTTGTCTTCTTAGACACAACTAATGGTCATGCTGAAGTGGGGAATATGGATGCTTACATGGATACAAGCACTGATATAGGTACAGAGGTGAAGGAGGCTGAATTGAGGAGATCGCTCGTACAAAATGAAGAAAGACCAAAGTATGAAGAGTACCGAAGGAAACTATCTCAAGGCACCATACGAACTTCCACGGATAGACATAAAGTGGCAAAGGTCCTTTCTATGTCAGCGGCAAAAGTTGCAACCTGGGACTCAGAAGCTCATGTCCTGGATGGCAAAACCCTTCGGTCGCTAATGAATTCTTATCCCAAGGGAAATGTCTGGTATGGTTTGGACTACGTTCGATCTCGATAGGACCATTTAACTGACGCTAATAAAGGTATATTGACGACAATGGCTATTTCTCAAGCCTGGAACAAGTTAACGATCGGAAACGCGCGCCCTCGACCGATACTAGTCCTACTGAAAGGCCTAAAACATCTGGCTCTTTCGATGCTATGAAGCAAGAAGCGGAAGCAACTATGCTTGGCAAAGTATTCCATAAAGCAAGACAAATCATATTCCTTCCTCTTTGGGATTCTGCTGGCGGTATGTCATGCTTCTATCACGTCGCAATAGCCCCCTCCTGTTCTCGGCTAATCAATTCACTACAGAGAGATGGTACTCAGGCCTATTTGTATGGAGTCAATCAGCAGTTCCTGTTTTTACCGTAAATAATGAGATATCTTACCTGTCTGCATTTACAAACTCGGTCATGATGGAGATTAGTCGATTAGATGCTCTGATTTCTAATAAGATGAAATCTGATTTTATTAGTAGCATTTCTCGTAAGTATTGGCCATTGCAAGTATTCACTTAAAAGCGCTAATGATGAGCAAAGATGAATTCAGAAGTCCGTTACATGGCATTTTGGCTTCAGCAGACTTCTTACGGGAATCGAACCTTGATATTTCACAAACAGAGTTTGTCTCAACAATCCAGAATTGCAGTGGTACTCTCCTGGTACGTGCAACAAATATTATAACATTTTATCAAGGTTTCCAATAGTTCGGACTACAGTCCGACGATCAGAAGCTGTCAGTTTCTGAAACTAGTTAGACGATCCAAAAGGTCTGAAATGCTGAATTCACTTCAGATATTTTACCCCTTCCTAGCATTGAGATATGAAATCCCATCTGCGAGTCCGGGCTATTGGATTACCTTTTGCATTTGATCCACTTGCCTATTGTTGCCCCTAGAAACTTAAACTGACACCACATCATAGGATACAATTAATCACGTTCTTGACTACAGCAAAATCAACTCTTTCGAGAAAAGAGAAGGTTCTTTACAAGGTAGGTTTTTTGTTGTATGCTAGGCTAGATCATTCTTGAATTAACAATGTATCAGGGTCTTTCTCGAGCGAGCTTCATCAAGTGACCAACGTAGCATTGCTATGCGAGGATACCATCAATGGTATGATTGCTGCTAACCACTTTAGAAGTGTTGCTCCCATGTATAATTTAGCACTTTCAAATGGTTCACCAAAAAAGAAAACTGGTCTCTCGCCAGACGTAACGGCACAACCATTGCAAATCATTCTAGATTTCGAAATGCGGGATTGGACTTATAAAGTTCACGCTGGTATGTATTGGAAATTTGGCAGGAGTGGCACACTGCTAATATCCTTGATAGGTGCAATTCAACGTATTTTGATGAACATATTTGGCAATTCGCAAAAATATACAGATCATGGCTTTATTCAAGTACAGTTGCAACTGCGACAACAGAAAACGGCCATCGACGTGCCACCTTCAGATTCTCATCCTACCGGGGACTTCATGTGTCTGCGCATTACAGATTCTGGCAAAGGAATGTCAACTGAATACATGGATCGCAAACTTTACCACCCATTTGCCCAAGAAAATAGCTTTACACCTGGTGTTGGCTTGGGTCTTTCTATTGTGTGAGTTTTTCCATCTATTTCACATGAATGAGCTAATGAGGAATCTAGCTGGAGCATCGTGAAACAATTAGGTGGAACTATACTCATCCGCAGTGAGGTAGGCATAGGGACCGACGTCGAGGTTCTCATTCCTGTGGAAAAATCCGAACCCCCTTCACACGATGAAGTAATGAGCGGGGATACTGTCGATATAACTGATGTCAGATTTGCTGCCGAAAAAGCAATGAGATCGCTCCGTGATAGAGCAGCAGGAAGAGTAATTTCTTTTGATCGTGGCCAACTCACATCTTCACAAACTAATGCATGGAATTGTATTCAAAAATACTGCTCCGAGTGGTATGGTTTTGATGTCCGAAAGTCTGATGGAAATTCACAGAGTGAAGATCTACTTCTCATTAATGAAACATGTAAATTTCCAGAATGTTCTCCTTGTCAGAGGATATTAGTAATACATGCCGCAATGAGCTATCCAACTATCAATAGGCCAGATGATCAGCATTTCATTGCCAATATTTCTCAACCAATAGGACCCTACAGACTTGCCCGATCAATTCTTGCTCTGTTGGATCAAACTATTTGCGAATCACGCAATAAGCACGCTACCACACAGACTCCTCTTGGGTCACCAGAGGAATCACATCGCACTGAAACAAAGGAATATAGCTTTTTACCAGTGCAAGAGCCGGAACCCAACAAAATAAATGATATAACACTTACTTTAGCAAAGCAAAAAGTCCGCGAAGAATTCGCTGAATCTCTTCAAAACTTAGAACAGCTTCAACTCCAAGCACCTCTTGCTACTCCTCTGGAACCAATACCCAAACCGCAAATTCCCGAACGCAAATCATCAAAACATCCTTCGCCTCCGCCTCCTCAAGTCGCCCAAGTCGCCCCAGAAAAAACCCCTCTCCATATTCTCGCCGTCGACGACAACGCACTTAATCTCCAATTGATACATCGTTATCTTCAAAAACGCAAAATAGACACAATAGTGAGTGCAGCTGATGGTTTGGAAGCAGTTGCGGCCGTAAAGGCGTCAAAAAATGGATTTGATGTAATTTTCATGGATATTTCAATGCCAAACATGGATGGATTCGAAGCTACTCGACTTATCAGAGATTGGGAGAGCGAGTTATGTGTAGGGTTGGATGGTCTAATCGCTTGGGGGCATGGCAGAGAGAAAGAGAAGGAAATGGAGATTGAAGGAAAGACGTATGATGAACTACCAAGGGGCAAGGCTTATGTAGTTGCTATGACTGGTTTGGGGAGTCAAAAAGCAAGAGACGAGGCGGATAGAAGTGGATTTGATGATTTTATGACTAAACCGGTTAAATTACCGAAAGTTGGAGAGTTGTTGAAGAGATTGAGTTGTGAGAAGGCTGCTAGGTTGGAAGCTAGTAAGCGTAATACAGATTGGAATTAAATGGAAATGGATGGGCGATTGGACAGGCTCGGCCGGCTGGATGAGAGGGAGAGAGATACGGTACGGAGTTGATATGAAATATATGAAATGCAATATACGGATAATTGGGTCAACATGGGAAGGGAAATGGAATGAATTGTATAATAATCGATGATACCTAATAGCGAAAAGAGACGAGAATACTAATAGCTTTTTTACGGTTTGGGCATTAATTTCACAATATATTCATATGTTTAGCGATGTCGCTAAATGGCTAGGGGAGCACATATAATAAAGACATCCTCGTGGTATGTACTTGATGAGATGGCGTAATGTCTCCAGATCAATGGTATAGATAATCTCAAATCGCTCGCTTTTCTCACATATACGTACATGCGTTCAAAAATCACAGAGTTTTCATATCGGGTCTACAAACACTTTCAATTGTCGTCCCTTCAATTACAAATTTCTCAATCGCGATTGCCTCACACATAGAAACCGTCTGAAATGCCAAATTAACATTTTGCATTTTACCATGCTACGTGATGCTTTTTCACCTCTAGATGATGACCAAAAGGGCTAATTTTTGATACCATCGTTTCGTCACTTGTTCTTGCCTAACTGTCTCATCTCAACAAACCTCAAACACCATCCAATAAACCCATCACGTGTATGCCAAGCTTCTGCCCCACCACTATCAAACCCCGCCATGCCTCAAGCTCTGGTGCTCTCCTGCTGTTTACACAGTCAATTCTGTATATAAAATCTCGGGTCTCAGATCTTTCTTGTTTTTCTGATCGCAGAATAATATTACTTGAAAATGGAATTTGATACCAAGACTCGTAAGTTCATTTTCTATCGTGTGTGATTGAGGGGAGAGGGAGAGGAGGAGGGGAGGGAAAGATCATATGAAAGAGGGAGGAGGAAAGACTAACGGTTAGTGAGCAATTAGCTCTCTATTCTACTCAGGATAAAACATCTTTCGCGTATATTTCTGCGAGAGATCGTTGGCCTGTTATTCTTGTAAGTGGCACTGTTGTTTCATTGGAGATCGTCTATTTCATGGATGATGTTGGGAATCGATATGGAAACCCCCCAACCCCTTTGCTCGCTGCGCTTGAGACTTTTCTACTCGCCTAGTCTGCCTCCACGGCAGTGGCCCCGGAGGACTAGCGGAGCGTCATTCACCTATACCAAGATATTTGCTAATACTGTCTCTGATAGACTGGAGCAATTGATGATGTTCACAGAGCAGTATCCGAATCGACGGGTAGCAAACATGAGGAAGGAAAACGCATAGTCGAGACTCTCGCAAAGCTAAAATATGAGCTTCAACACGACAGGAAATTAACGTATGAAACATTGTCTTCGCAGGCGATGAGAAGCTAATTTGAGATGTAGCCCTCTTCTTGATGATGGACAGCCGGATATTGAGGGCTATAATAAGGAATTGGAAAAATTGGGTTACCCATCATGGTTCAATATTCCATGGTTATTTGCGGAATGTTATCTCTACAGGTACGGATTTTGCTCTCTCGCCTCCACTTCTTTCGAATTATAACTAATAACTAGTTTACAGACGTATAGCAACCTCTTTCTCCCTTTCTAAAGAATGGAAATCCCACGATGTGTTTGCGCGCCAAAAGATGTCGACTTTCCGTTCTTCCCGTCCTGCTGTTCTCGAGCTCGCAAGTCGCTACCACGAACTCATAAACCAGATATCAAATGACAAAACCCAAGACGAGGAGGCTGAAATGATACTTTTCATGGAAATGTGCGAGATTTGCTTATGGGGAAATGCAACCGATCTTTCGCTTCTCACATCTCTCACCTACGAAGACATTCAAAAATTACAAGGATCCGAAGCACGAAAAAATTCAGAGAAGAATATCCTTATCAATGATTTGGGCAAGGCGTATGATGTTCTTAGGACTGCCAAAAAGGAAGGAAAAAACCGTCAAGTCGATATTGTTCTCGATAATGCCGGATTTGAACTTTATGTCGATTTGATTCTTGCTGGATTCCTTCTCAGCGCAGGTCTTGCTACAAATATCGTTTTGCATTCTAAAGCCATCCCATGGTTCGTATCAGATGTTGTACCAAAGGATTTCTCCGATTTACTAAACGCATTGAATAATGCTCAATCTTTCTATTCCACACCTTCCGAAGACGAGCAAAGAGATGGAAAAACACCAGACCCACTTTCCAAAAAGGAAGAAGAGGAATTGGATTTCTTGTTCAAGACTTGGAGCGAATTCCATGCAGAAGGTCAATTGACTTTAAGAGCTAATAGATTCTGGACTGAGGGAGGTAGTTATTGGAGATTACCAGGCACGGCACCTCGACTATATGAAGATCTCAAGGAAAGTGACTTGGTTATCTTCAAGGGAGATTTGAATTATCGAAAGTTGACAGGAGATGCTACTTGGGATCCTACAACCCCATTTTCAAAGGCCGTTGGACCATTAGGTCCAGGGTCCGGTGTTAACGTATTGGCATTGAGGACGTGCAAGGCGGATGTGGTGGTTGGGTTGGAACCAGGACTGGATGAGAAGTTGAGGGCTATGGAGGGAGGGGGTGGAGATTCCGGACAGAGAAAATGGGGATGGAGTGGGAAGTGGGCGGTGGTCAGTTTTTCGGGAGGGAAATAGAGATGCTTTGTAGAAGGTGGATGATTACCAGATGGATGGATGCATGGGAATGAGAAAGATAGATTATTCGTACTTGGAGAGTAGCTATAGATAGGTAGATTAAGAGGAATGGGGTTGTGAGCTCTGGTACTAGGTAGGTAGCTACATGGTAGAGATGTCTCTAGGAATGAGAGATATTCTTAGATTCGATTACGAAAATGTATTGTTTTTAACGTTTTATACTATGAATAGTGTATCTAATTATACATTATACATTATACATTGTGAAACGTGGAAATGATTTATTTGTTGATTTGGAAGATATCGAGTTTCAACTACCTACCTAGACAAATTACTACTTCAAAGTCTGAAACTTCTTCCTTACCTACTGATTCTTATATCGTTCGTTCATTTGAGGGGGGGTGGAAGGGGGAAGGTGTGTAAACCATAATAGTAATAATATATAAATTAATAAATATAAATAAGTATAAAAATATAAATAAGTATAAATAAGTATAAATAAGTATAAAAATATAAAAAGCTCCACGCCACTGCTAAATATACGTATATACCCATGTACCTGGATGTATCTACCCACATAGATACCTAGATACATAAATAAATACCCAACCACGAACATAAACATAAACATGAAGAGAGAGAAAAAAAAGAATTTTGCGTGACCGATCATCTTCAATCCATCTGATCCGATCCATTCCCATTTCCATTTCCGTTTCCGAGAGTATCGTATCTTATATCCTGTTTCGCTGCGGTTTCATTCCATTCCTCGGTTTCGGTTCTGTTTCTTGAGTTTGGGTATAGTGTATAATGTATAATGTTAATTTATAATTGTGAGATGCTGTGATTCTGAGATCATGTGATTCTGTGATTCTGTGGTTGATTCTGTGATTATGTGGTTGATTCCTCGTGTGGTGTGGTGTGCTCGTGTGGGGAGGTGGTGAGGTGGTGCGGTAGGAATTTGGGGAGGTAGGTACTCTTTGAGTTGGGAGGTGGGAGGTGGGAGGTGGGAGGTGGAACGGGAAAGTTGGGACTCGAGGAGATTTTTGGACCGATGGGGTCAGAAGAATGGATGGATGGAAGGTATCCCGTCCTATCCTATCCTTTCCCATCCGGTGATTGTATCTGATATGATGAATGGGTATACGAGTTATTCCGTTGATTATTAAATTATATATGTAAAGCCTCCTCTTGACATCGAGGTTTTGGGCCGGCGTAGCCTAATTGTTGTTGTTCTTGGTTCGGGTATCCCATTCTCTTTTCTCCCCATCTTCTACTTTCGAATTCATATCCGTATCCATATTCACATCTAGATTCGTATCCATCTTCCCTCATATTAACCATCTAAAGATCGCAATCCACAGCACCAGCAAACTACTCAAACCGATTCCTCCGCCCAACCCATCCATTCGTGATCCTGCACCTCCCGTCACCACCGCCGCAGCAGGTAAACTCGCATTCACAAATCCCGGTCCGCATTGTACATTTACCATTCCAGCGGCTTGGGCATAAGTACCCGCTATCGCGCTCGTTCTGACCGCGCCCGCAGATTCAAAGATCGCCATTGTGTTTTTCAGACACTGGTTGCAGGTGGGTTGGGAGCCGCCGGGGAGACTCGTGTTTAGAGGGAGATAGTATATGTAGCTGTCTGTTGGGGAGGAAGAATTTGTGACGGCTTGCGCGTAGCAGTATGCGCCATTGGAAGGATCTTTGAGACAGGATGCGGTGTAGAGGGTGGAGTAGGCGAGGAGACCTAGACGAGCTTGTGTGACGAGAGGATTGGCGGCGAGGAGATCGACGGAGCAGGCGGTGGTGGAGGTGATGTTGGAGGCGATGGAGGACATCAGGGTTGAGCATGATTGCGCGTTGGCGGAGCAGGAGGCATCGAGGGTTTGGGTGATGCGAACGAGGGATTTGGAGGCTTGGAAGAAAGAGTTGGAGTTCTGTGGGAAAGGGAGTTAGTTTTGGATTGGGTCTTGGTTGAATGTATGCATCAATTGGGTTTGTTGGAGCTCTGAGAATTAATTTAAGGGGGAATGAGATTCGAGGAAGAAATAATGCCATTGTTTGAGCTTGCATACAATGAGCTTGCATACAATGACCTTGCATACAATGACCAATCTTCAATTCCCCCGTCCTCCCCCTTTATCTCATACCCTCTTCCGAAAATGAAAATCACATACCTGCAATAACAATGAAAAAGGCAAACAAGCTTTAAAAGTCTCGTTTGCCAAAAAGTCCATCATAAAACTCGAACATGTTGAAGTAATGTTACTCGTAAACCCACTATCGAACGGCGTGGGTAAATTGGTTGTTCCCGTAGCAGCGGACACCAGTCCGCTACTCGTTTGCGATTCCGCCAGTGTTGACGACGATGAGGCGGAATCGGTCGCGGTTGCTGTACTTGTACTTCTGGGAGGTGTGATTGTGGCTGTGGAAGTTATCGCCGCTACGTTTCTCTTTTTAATAAGATCGGATTCGCAGTCGGAGTCGAGATCTAGATTTGACGATTGAGGTTCAATTGGAATGTTGGTTGCTTTTTCTTGGTCTCCTTCAAGTTCTCCTTCGTCACTAGAGGTCCTCGAGGTAATTTCCCAAGTCTTAAGTTCCGGAAGCGAATTGCGTGGGAGCGATGGATCGGGTCGTTGATCAACTAAAATAGTGCCAGATCTAGCTAGACGTGCGAGTGTGGATGCAAATAGTTCGGGAATCTCTTCTCGAACTTCAACCATTCGTTCTTCAATATAAAATTCGGCCGAACATGTTGTGATGAGGAGGGAGGAAAATATTGTCAATAGTATTATAAAATTAGTTGGAGAAGAAAATGTATGAAGATTACGAGTTTTGTAACTTTTGGAAGAAGAAGACGTCGATGGTAATGATGACGACGATGTGGTGAGAGAAGCTTGATTGCTTGAAACCCGTTTGGTGACGGTAGGGATGCGGATAGGGAGAGTTGGTGCCGCGACCGTTGGATAGTGCGACGTGAATTGTTGCGAAGGAAAGGAAGGCGAATAAGATGGCGACTTTGATATCGACACCTCATACATCGTTTTCATATCTATATTCGTATCCAAATCCATATCCATTTCCAGATCTAGATCTAGATCCATATTGTTCAAAGATGATAGGTATATACAACACGGTATATCTCTACAATCGTGGTTCCAGCATCACTTTTCGAACTTCAAATCGACAACCAGTATAGTCGTCGGTGGAAGAGAAGTTAACAATTATCGAACGTTCGTTCAAGAGGGTCGGTGGTATTGTATGAATTGTTATGAAACGAGAGAACAATCGATGATTCTTCTTCCTTCAATCCTTCCCGTCCCGATTGTTTCTTTTCAAGCCGGATCGATTGCGTCGAAGAATGATTGTTTGATGTAGTACCTAGGTATGATGTATTTTCGTCTGATGTCTACTCGATTGATTTCCTTGCTTGGATTTCCTTTCTTTTCCTTTCTTCCGTCGTCGCTATCCAACTTGTCGTACCGTGCCGTCTCGAATTCGAAGTTGATTTAGAAGTTAGACCAGAATGGAAAAAGGAATTATCGTAAAAAGGTGAAGACCTCAATATGCAATGCAGATGAAATCTGCCAACGACCCAAAAAGTAATTGATAAAAAAGAATGACTATAGTTGGAAAGGGAATCTTCTGTCAGAAAATAAAAATCCCTCGTATATTATATAAATCTTGAAGTCGTTGATGATTCTTCCGCAGAAGGAGAAAAATGGTATGCGGAGGAGGGTGCTCTCGAATGATATTTGATCTTTCTTTCAATCCTTCACTTCCACATCCAGATCCAGATCAATATCCACTTTCCAACTCTCCACTCTTGAATTTTCCCTTCAAGAGGCGTATGCCGGGCGCAGTCCAGGTAGGTAGGTAGGTCGGTCGGTACTAGGTAGTCCAAGCAGAGAGATTGATTTGATATCTTTTTGATATAGGCAAAATCCCTTTTGAGTTTCCAGTCCGTATTCAACCAGGCCAACCACAACGCACGCGAGGTTTCTAGTTTCGTTTCGTTTGAACCTTTAGACAATGGATAGTAGGCAATAGATGAACTTGATCAGAAGGAAGAACCATACAAGACGGCGGATGATGTGATATGATCACCAAGTAAAGTAGACTCGAAGGAAAATCATTTGGATTGTAGATTGGTTCATGGAGAAAGATTTACATGGGAGTTCTGGATCCAATATCCGTTATTATGCCTCCATTCATCCAAGTACAAAGTATCACTATCACCATCTATGCAGACTCCCCTCTATCTCCTCTTCCATTGAGAGAATCATTTGGGGGAGAATGATTAATATTCCGAAGATACTATACCTACCCAGGTCCTGGGCAGTCACCACCTAGGACATACCCAGATTCTTATCCGTTCTGTATGGAAACATCCATCCCATGTGGCATTCCACCAGTCAGAATTCCATCTGGATGCGACGAGATGCTAAGATCATCCTTTTGGGAAAAGCTGCAAGCCATCGTAAGCCATCATCTGCGCCATATGGGGTTGGAGACCGCTTGGAGTAACCATATGGGCGAGACGAGCAAGCCTAATATTGAATTTTGGGGTGAAGCGTGGTGGGTGATACGATGTGCGTACTCCATACTACTGATGATTGGGATAACAGTTGGAATGGTCGAGCTAGTGAGATTATTGAACTTATAACATGGTTCTTTGTACCTTTGTGAAGTATAGATATATATGTGACTTTATAACTTTACACACACACACATATATATATATATATAACTTTACACATAAACTTATATCTACATTGAATAACTTTAGATTACATATAAATTTATATCTATATTCAACATCCAAACATTCCCCCAATGCCTCCCCTCCCTCCTTCATTCTCTCGCCAACCAAAACTCCGTAGTCAGTCAATCAGATCTCGACCACGGCCACCACCCAAACTTCCCTCTCCACTAATTTGGCCCAGACCATACCCGACCAATTCTAGATCTCACTCCCGAAGCCCCTCGCGATACCCCTGCATAAGTGGCATCTGAGCCCACATCCCACCCCCCAACCTAGTAATATGCCCGACGCGCACGTCCAATGCCCACCAGGATTTTCTCATCCTACCGAAATGAGAGTTGTGCGTTTATGGATTGGGAAGCGGGATCCCTGATGGAGATGGCGTGTTTGGAATTTGGGATTTGGTGTCTAGGGAAATGGCCCAATGCAAGCACGTTTCTGACGATATACCAGTTGCAACTTGCAAGCCACGAGTGCGGATCATGAATAGTTAGTTGGAAGGCAAAAAGTGAAGAGGGCTAAGATCTGGTGATCTCTCTCTCTCGTCTGTACGATACGGAATATGCAATCAACAATATCATGCATACTAGGTAGTGTTATGTCATGTGGTGAACGGTTTGTGCTGAAAATAGCCCTGAACGGTCCGTGAGATGCTGATGCCGATGCTGAGATGCAGATAAGATGCCATACTTCGTAGTGGGTGTGTGGTAGACTTGTGGAAAGATCAACATATCTGTCTAGGTAGGTAGTCTAGAACCTTTTTCCTACCTCAGAGTAAATATCGTAAATATCGTATATACCTACATAGTAGCTTTCACGGGCAAACCAATATAAAAACCAACGGTTCGGCTCCTCACATCTACGTATCGATCCCGAATTTCCTTACAATCAATCCATCAATGCCACGCGGGTTCGGAAGCCAATCCCGTAGATTAAATATCGAAAAGACAAAAAAACAAATGATCGATCCAACAGTCAGGTATCCCATAAAACGCCCACGCCGTACGAAAGGCGTACTCCAGGCCTCCGAGGCGTTGGGGGCGTGGTGTAGCGGTAAGCAGACAAGCACAGAATGGCACTCTGTACATGAATTCTCATGTATTCCCCTTTTACTTACAGGACCAAGAAGGGTACGAGCCTAAGCATGTAAGCCTCTCTGCAGCACCACGTCGAAAGAGAGGCTTTGGGGTTATCTGCATTGCATGTGGAATAAGCAAATGAGCAAATGAGCAAGCAGGTCAGGTCTCTCGTATGTAGGTACGCGAGTGAGATCTCGATATCCAGATATACAACGAATGTCCAGCATCGATCGATGTATCTTACAATTACAATTACAATAAACAAAATCAACAACCGCTCATTTCCCCATCCAACCCTCAGCCAACACATTCAATAACACAATCCAGCCTTATCAAAAAACCAATCTCGCTATCTTGTATGCTTTTTCCAGTCGATCCATTCAACCCATTCCATTTACACCGTTGAGAACACAACTAATGCAAGCGTCCGGAAAATTTCACCTATCCTTGCCTTGTTTCCCTTACCTTGCTTCTTCTAAGCGTTGTACGAGCCGGTGTCATAAACTATAGGGCGCCACCAATATTTTCGTGCAGCCATTGAGTCTATCTGGTCTGGACTCCTGGAACAGAAAATTGGTGGAGCAGATATATGGCAGTTTTTGCGACGAGAGAGAAGAAAGAGTACAGTTGAAAGAATACCTACCTCGTAGATAGAAGTGAAGAGTACGTGGAGAGACGGGAGGATTCTTCGTACTGCGCCAGACGGCAGATTCAAATCCTCAAGGTTCACTCCATCTCCTCATCAAGAATCAACTCTTCCGTTAGTTAGTTAATCATTCAATCAATATTCGTACCACATATAGATAAGAAACTCCGATACACAATACAATAACATCTCGATCGCGGATTTCAGATCTACCTATTCCTCAGATACAGTCGTAGTGGGCTGGTATGGTGTACACTTCTAGAAACGAAGTATTGATTCTGAAGTGAAGGCAGTACTGTAACCCTGATGAGATGTGATGTGATGTTACCTTCTTATCCGGAAATCGGGAAGAATCAATTGGGAAGATGATGGGTGTAGATGAATTAGGGAGAATATCATGTGAATATGGGAAGAAGAAGGAATTTTGAAATATATTGTACTGTAGATACCTTCTTCGTAGTATGTCCTCTCCATTCTCTCTCACCAAAACAGTCTTCGGGTTAGGGTTAGGAATTATCTGAGACAGGCACATAGGATTAGGGTTAGGAGACATGCAACAAAATATTTTCATTGCAGATCAATGCACGTGAGTAACAAGGGACTTGTCCAATGAGATTGTTGCACGCACAGACACGGGGTGATGAGAATCAGGTGAGTGCGAACAAAATGTGATGGTTGAGCAAACAGTACCTAGGTATGTATAATAAATATGTGAGTATGGGAGTCTATAACTGTATTGACAAATAAACAGACGGGACTCCGATGAATCAGGGTCATGATTCACTGATAGTATCAAGGTAAGAAAGAACACATTAAGTAGGTATTGTCACGTTTCTCATTGAAAGCTTAAGCGATGTTGTGCCGACAGGTCGTTTGAGGGAACTTGAGGAGGGGAGGGGTAGGTAGTATGATCTTTCCAATATCTAACACGAACAATCATCATACTCAACTTGAGCGCATCACTTCATTCGCTTGAAAATCATTCATCTTTTGGAATGGCAAAGCAGAAAGGATACATGATCTCACCACGACTTATATAATTCATCCATCCATGAAACACAATTTTAATTCCACCTCAAGGTCAAAGCTGAAACAAATATTTCAAGACCACCGCCAATATCAAGTCAGTGTCCATCCTGTTGGGAATCAAAGCTTTCGATTTGGAATATAATGAGAAGAGAACAGACGCCGCCAATTGAATACGTCCGTCCGATTTTAAGATATAACACCCAGCGTGACAAGGTGAAGTAGTACAAGACCTAGCATAATCTTCATCGATAGTCATTGAGCTCAAAGTCGAAGAACTGAGCACCTAGCATTATTCCTTCCCTCTCTGCATGCTCCATCAATTCCTCTTTCAACCTTGGGGAATTAGGAGACATATCAAATTCTAGTTGACCCATGAATGCGGAGACAATCGAAAATTCATGTCAATTTCATATGGAGGCATCGCGATGTGTGGGAGAGATCTGGTGAATGGGAAATATTAGCACTAAAATTGGAAAGATCATTGGCAATTCTGAGATCAACCTTGTGGGAGCAAGTTCGTGTGCGTATGACATATCGAAACGGCTTCATGGAGTATTTCATCGAATTGGTCGATCTTTGTATCGTTTCTTTTCAATGTTTCTAAAGAAAATCTCTAACTATTCAGGCATATGATGGTCCCTTGATACACCAAAAATATTACTCAACAAGCTTCTTCTTATTCCACCAAGAGCTACCAGTAGTTTGAGCAGCTGCTGAGCATTCTCGAAGACGATTGATATCAGTCTAACCGGGAAGAGAAACCGCCATCTCCACAGGTATGATTGTTCTTGTGGGTAGTTGACCATGGACATCTGGCCGCGGATATCATAGGTCAAATCCCACTTCGGCTCTTTCTTCCATCAACCACAGCATTGAAAATATCACCACCAAACACAAAGGGCTCCATATTAACCCATTCATATATTTCCCCACACCTTACTCCTCGAAACTCTCCATCTCCGGGTCACGGGAGAAGGTCAACCACTTCCAACTATATCATCAAGGATGAAATCACTTAGTCGAGTCACCACAACATCAAAGGCTTGTTGCATCCCGCGCCACCCTTCAATCTCATAACCTCCTCTTTTTTTGATCCGCTCGTTCATTTCATTCCTTGCGTCATTTTTTCGCTCCTTCTTTTGTTTGTTCAAATCGACGTGAGT